ATAGAATCCTGTAAACATATTTTCTTGATCTGAATATTACAAATTTTGTTTATGAAATTCAATTGATTTAGTAAAATTACCTGCATTATAATAATTAAAGCCTACTCTATTAGTACCTAATGCCATTCCTATTTTATCTTCCATTAACTTAGCACAAGCAACAAATTTCTTATAAAATCTCACTGCTTCATTATGATTTTTACTACTCTCATAAACCATTCCTAAATAAAATGATAAATGAGCTTCTTTTTAAATATCACCTGCTTACATACCAGCCTTGGCTCTTACAAGTAAATCTTTAATACTAGTTCTATTATTTTCTTTAACATTATGTGTATAAGGTATTGATGGAGCATAACCATTTCCAGGTGTTAATGGAGATGCAATACTAGCATTAGGTAAATCTGGTGGTTAAACAGATATCTATTAATCAAAGAATTAAAAGTTAGTTTCAGGTTGAACAGGTAAATCCATTTAAGCTACTTTATCAATTTCTTTTTTTAAATCTATATTATCTATTGGAGCTGTTGATTTCATTAATTATTCATTTAGTAATGAACCTAATAAATTTTTTACTGGTTTATCCTCATCATCTTTAATATTTAAAATTTTGTCATATTATTTTGCTTATCCTTTATGGAAGAGTGCTTCAAAATCCTTTTCTTTTTCTTTCAACTCTTATAATGCATCTGCTTTAGGTTATACAAAGATGTCTTTATACATTTACATATCGTTCTCTTATCTTCTTAGCGGTTTCTTTTTATATTCTTTTGGCTATTTAATAACTCTCTATTTTTTATACTTATAGAACTCTCTATTAACTAGGTTACACACTCTTCAATTGATTTGGTTAAGTAGAGAAAGCATCTTCGATTTTTGTTTAAAATTCACTTAGAATTTCTTATGCTTTATATCTATATCAATAATGAAACTAATTCAATTACGTTATAGGTTATAATCGCTCTGCTACAACAAATCTTGAAGGTTGATAGTTTTTAGATGAAAATTTCTCATTTGAAAATTACTTCTTCATTTTGTTTTTGATTAATTTCTTAGTTGGAGGTGATTTTGATTTATCACTCATTTAATATTATATAATATATAAATTATAAATCATATATATTTCTTATATTTATAAATATAAGAATTAAGCAAGCTTACTTTTTTATTTTTTACTCTTTAACTATTCTTTTCTTAACTTAATTAATTTAAAACATGAATATTTGTATTAAATCTATTTATTTTTTTTTATAGGAAATATTTATCCTTTTTTGATCAACTATAAGTTGAAAATAGAAAATATTATTTATTAGATTAATTGATGACAATTTGTCAATTTCTTAAAAAAAGGTTTCAAAACTTAAAAATGAGAGATTAGATTTGCTTTGTTAAGATTTTTGCTTTTTCAATTAGTTTTTTATTGATTGGCTCATTTTATATTGTTTAGAAAAATGTGATTATTGGAATATATGAAAATTCATCTTACATAGTTTTGTAACGCTAAGATAGAATGGCACTTAAGCTTTTTCTTCCATAATTAAACCAGTATCTCATATCCAAATAACATCAAAGTAATCGTTTATTTTATTTATGAGGAATATAACTTTTAACAAGCTTAGGAACACTTTACTAACAACTGGATAATTTTCATATATCAGAATAATTTAAAGATTCTATTAAGTGTTAAATTTTAGAAGAGAAAAATTTTTTATTTTAGTTACCAGAACTTTGTTTTGCATGCTAGCTTTGTAAAGATGGCAATAAATTACCATCAATGGAAAAATATCAAAATTTATCTAAATTCTCTCGATTAATATCTGAATATATCCTATTATTTGATACATAATAAAATAACAGAATCTTTTATATTGCAACTGGAGATATTTAAGCTGGATTTATTTTTCCTTAAATCATTTATGATTGGTCATTTTCTCCTTAATCTAAAGATTGGTTTGTAAATCATTTGAATAAATACTAATAGGATTTAAATTAGAAATACTTTTTTTCTTAACTTTACTTTTCTGGAACTCAATTCATCTATAAATAAACTATATCTTATTCTTTAGAAAATTAATACACAAAAAGTTTAGATGCAATAGCAGGTACTGATATAGATGCTGAAGACCCTGATATGAAATTAATTTAAGCTAATACTTATTTGTTAAATGAATAAGGTTAGATTATTTACAGAAATGTCAATCTAAATCTTTCAGTAACTGAATTAAATTTTATTTATGAAGAAAATAAAACTGGATTTAATCAAACAGATTGGATTCAAATTTTAAACTTAGCAAATAATTATCCAAGCATTTCAAATTGCTTACAAGATGATAATCAAATATTATGTAGATATAATTCGATCTATAAAAAACCTATTAAGATAGTAGCTAATTAAATTCCAGGCAATTTCACATTAATGATGTAAACTTAAGTTACATTATTATTAGGTTTACTAATGCTAGTTTTGAATAATTGTTACAATAAAATTTTCTTTAGCTTGAACTTTTAGTTTAATAGGTAAATTAATAGGCTTTATTTACTTAAATTATAATATCTTGTTCATTAATTACAATTTCAATGATTATTGTTATTTTCATGTTTCGTCCTATTCTTCGAGTAATGATTACAGCTAAAATGTATATTAAAAAAATGGGTAATAATTTAGATAAAGAAATATTTAAGTTAATGAATTCTAAAAAAAATGGTTAAGGTGTTTTTAATAACTTAGAAGTATAAATTGTAAACTTCAGCGATATTTTATCTAGAAGCCAATAATAAAAAGGAAAAATTTGTAAATAAATGGAAGAATATCAATATTAAAAAAAAATAATTTAACCTATCGAAATAGAATTATTATCTGAATGCGCTAAAACGAAATTAACCAATCAGATATCTATTTCAACTCAAACTTTACACGAAATGATTAAACAATTATTAAAATAATTTAATTAATATAATCACGTTGTTTAAAAAAATTGAATAGAATTAACTATTTGAACTTTCAATATTCATAACACATTTGATTTATTAATTTATATGTAAATTAAATTAATATTATGATTGCCATATTAACATAATTATCACAATTAATATTAATTTATACATAGTCTTACAAACTTCATAAGAGTTACAAATACTTTTTATATCTTATATATTTAAATAGTTCTTATAATAAATTAAATTTGATGGAAGTTGTTCAATTGAATTAATTAAACATTATTGGAAAATTAATTAAAAAAAGAGAAATATGTAAAAGATTAGAATAATTTTTTATTAAAAATATAATTAAATGAAAAAAGACAGACAAAATTATTATTTTATAGTTGTGAATAAGACAGGAGGTTTATAATTTTTTTCACAACTAAAAGAGCAATATCGAGATGAATAAGACAAGATAACTACAAATTAAGTTTTATAAGCTTCTTCAATATTTTATGCAATTGATCATCTTACTTAAACAATAATTCCTGAAGCAATATAGAAGGTTGAATAAGAAAAAGATAAGGATTTTGAAAGAGATAATGCGATAGATTTATTAATAACTGAGAATTATATGGTGTCAACTTTAGTAACTTTAACAGGATTACGCTTTTTGGTTATTTCAAGTAAAAGATGATTTAAAAACTAGATAAAAATTTAGAAGTACCAAAAAAACATGAAGACAACATATAGAAGATGAGACAGATTTATAGATTGTATACAGATTATTTTTCAAAAGACCCATTTCAATCAGATGATTAACCATTAGGAGAAAAGAAAAGAGCCTAATTTGATAGGGATGTAAGGGAATTGTTAGATTTTTGAATTATTTAATGATATGTAAAATAGATTTATTGATGTTATAAATATTTTACTTTTTGATACATTTATAAATTGTAGATGTTAGATAAAAATTGTATTTGGTAGGCAAGTTATTAAAATACAAACAATTTATAAATCAATCAATCTTAATGTAAATCTTAAAATATTAAAGAGAGATGTAAAATTTTGATGATTATCATCGGTTTTCGTTAATCATTTTTTATTTTTTTAATTAATAAGGAGGTTTTTCTTTGAATATTTAAATTATTTAGAGTTTACTTCCTATGTAAATGATTAATTAAATACTATAAATAGTTTTATTATTAGCTGATATTAAGTTTACTTAAAGTAACTCAAAGGAATTAATCAAATTCTTATTTATCATCAGAAAGGGAAATAAAGTTGGAAATAGTAAATTTGCTTTTTAGTTTTGAAATGATTAATTATTTCTGATAGAACTTTCGTATTAGAGGTACAATCATTTTCTTATATGGTGAAAATTAAAATGAATTGTTTATTTCATGTTATTGAAAAAGAGAGCCATTTTTAGGTTTGTTATGTTAAACAAAAGTGATAAAGTTTTTATTAATGGTTTTATTATGTATTTTTTGATAGATCATTCATATTATATTTATAATTTCAAAAATCCCTTATAAAACTTTTAGATGCAATTGGTGTAACAATTTGTTTCCTATTTTACAAGATTGGATTATTCAAAATTCAAGCATTTATTTGCGCAGATATTGCAAAGAGACTTTAATCTTGTAATTTATTAGGTGTCATATTTAATTTTAGGGTCAGAAAGCATTTGTTCATTAAATTTTTCTAGTATTTCCATAAAATAAATATAATTATATTTGTCTTAAATTATAATTAAAAAATATCCGTTAATATATTATGTAGAAACGCTCTTCAAACTCAAAGAACAAAAGCTTTGACAGGTAGTTATTGTTTAAGATTCTAGATTAGTTCCAGAAAAAGTGAATTTGAATGATTTTTAATTTTATATGGTTGAAGAAAAGGAGAGAGAATAAAAGAACGAATTAGACTTAAATGAAAGATTGAGAATGGAAGGCAGTTAGGCAAAATATAATTACTTTTTGAAGTAGAATATATTTGAGAGTAAATCAGAATCAAGTCTATTTGTATATAAAAGATAACAATGTAAATATAAACCGTATATAATTAATGATAAATGTCCTTCACCTGTAAGAAAGATAAGCAATACTCCATATAAAGTTTTAGATGCTCCTTATTTAAAAGATGATTTTTATTGTTAGTTAGTAGACTGGAGTTCTAAAAATTAAATAGGAGTGGGTTTAGATAATTCAGTGTATACATGGAATGCTTAAACTAGCGAAACAATTTAATTATTAGAAATAGAAGCTCCATCATATATTAGTGCAGTGAAATGGTGTTATCGAAATGATTTGATGGCAGTTGGTGATGATAATGGGACTGTGAGAATTTATGATATTAACAAAGGTGCAATATTATAAACATATGAGAATCATGATAGAAGAGTAGGTTGTTTGGATTGGAATGGATTATGCATTACAAGTGGTAGCAGAGATAAGACAATATTATTATAAGATATTAGGACTAAAAATGATTTTGAAATTAAATTCTCATTTCATAAACAAGAAGTTTGTGGATTATAATGGAGTCCAAATGAATCATACTTAGCTTCAGGAGGTAATGATAACAATGTTATTATACATAATATCAGAATGTCTAATAAACCATTATATATATTTCGAGATCATTCTGCTGCCATTAAAGCATTAGCATGGTCTCCAAAAGAAAATAATATTTTATGTAGTGGTGGTGGTACAACTGATAAATCAATAAAATTTTGGAATATCTCTAATGGTCAACTTTAAAAAAGTATTGATACAGGCAGTCAAGTTTGTAGTGTTAAATGGTCTATCAATACTAATGAAATTGTTACTACTCATGGGTATACATATATATATTTAATTCTTTAGATATTCCCTTAATTAAATTATAATCTGGAAATTACCTAAAATAGAAAGAATTGCAGTCCTTCATGGTCATTCTCTGAGAGTCCTTTATTTAGCACTTAGTCCTGATGGAGAAAATGCTGTCACTGGAAGTGGAGATTAAACCCTTAGACTTTGGAAACTATTCCCTTAAATACATTAAACTTCTTTTTCTTCACACATTTCACTAATCAAATAAGCTAATTTAGATATTAGATGATAATTAAAATAACAAACTTTTCTTTTTCATTATTTCTACTATATTCTAACACATAATATAAANATTGAGAATGGAAGGCAGTTAGGCAAAATATAATTACTTTTTGAAGTAGAATATATTTGAGAGTAAATCAGAATCAAGTCTATTTGTATATAAAAGATAACAATGTAAATATAAACCGTATATAATTAATGATAAATGTCCTTCACCTGTAAGAAAGATAAGCAATACTCCATATAAAGTTTTAGATGCTCCTTATTTAAAAGATGATTTTTATTGTTAGTTAGTAGACTGGAGTTCTAAAAATTAAATAGGAGTGGGTTTAGATAATTCAGTGTATACATGGAATGCTTAAACTAGCGAAACAATTTAATTATTAGAAATAGAAGCTCCATCATATATTAGTGCAGTGAAATGGTGTTATCGAAATGATTTGATGGCAGTTGGTGATGATAATGGGACTGTGAGAATTTATGATATTAACAAAGGTGCAATATTATAAACATATGAGAATCATGATAGAAGAGTAGGTTGTTTGGATTGGAATGGATTATGCATTACAAGTGGTAGCAGAGATAAGACAATATTATTATAAGATATTAGGACTAAAAATGATTTTGAAATTAAATTCTCATTTCATAAACAAGAAGTTTGTGGATTATAATGGAGTCCAAATGAATCATACTTAGCTTCAGGAGGTAATGATAACAATGTTATTATACATAATATCAGAATGTCTAATAAACCATTATATATATTTCGAGATCATTCTGCTGCCATTAAAGCATTAGCATGGTCTCCAAAAGAAAATAATATTTTATGTAGTGGTGGTGGTACAACTGATAAATCAATAAAATTTTGGAATATCTCTAATGGTCAACTTTAAAAAAGTATTGATACAGGCAGTCAAGTTTGTAGTGTTAAATGGTCTATCAATACTAATGAAATTGTTACTACTCATGGGTATACATATATATATTTAATTCTTTAGATATTCCCTTAATTAAATTATAATCTGGAAATTACCTAAAATAGAAAGAATTGCAGTCCTTCATGGTCATTCTCTGAGAGTCCTTTATTTAGCACTTAGTCCTGATGGAGAAAATGCTGTCACTGGAAGTGGAGATTAAACCCTTAGACTTTGGAAACTATTCCCTTAAATACATTAAACTTCTTTTTCTTCACACATTTCACTAATCAAATAAGCTAATTTAGATATTAGATGATAATTAAAATAACAAACTTTTCTTTTTCATTATTTCTACTATATTCTAACACATAATATAAATTTTTCCATAAAACAACAAATTAAATATCAAAATTAATTTTTAGTTTATATTTAATACAGAACTTATGAATATGATAGTTTTATCATATTTAGATAAAATGCTTTCAATTCCTATAAAGATTTGCTATAAAGAATAAAAAACTCAAATTTCATATATCAAATTATTAAAAAGGAGGAGTTCTCTATTTCTTGGTTGATCATATATAATAAAGAAGTTAGTTTTTTTTGATTTAGGATCTTATGGAAGGAATGTCCTTTTCTGATACATAAATAGATTAGGGATTAATTTTCTAATATAATAGAAAGAGTTGGCTGAAATCAAGAAAAATGTTGGCTTAGCAATTTACAAGTAATGGTAGAAACATTAATATGACAATGCGAAAAATTTCAATTTTAAGATGGCTCTATAGATATTCTCACGTTCTTAAGATAATTGACTAACAAAAGCCTTCTTTGAAAGTGATAATATAGGTATTTCAGATTTGGGTGTTGATGTCAACAAGAATAAGGATAAGATGGTGCTATTTTTTTGAATTTGTTAATTATTTTAAGATAATTTATACAAAAGCTTTAAAAAATTAACTATTTTTCATTTCTTTTATCTTCTGGTGACAAAGAATTTTTAAGAGTATTGTAAATTTAAAAAAAAAGAAATATAAATATTGCTGAAATTGATGTAAGAATTCAAAATCTAAAAAATTAGCCTAATTAAGATAATATATTAGGTACTATCTTTAAAGAGGTTATAAATAATAACATCACCAAGGAAGAAGCTATAAATTAATATTTCATTCTCTTAACTGTAAGGATAAACTCAACTGGTCATATTGCGAAGAACTTTTGTTATGTATCGACCCTTTATCCAGAAGTATAAAATATAGACTTAGAGAAAAAATTGTTCAGCATATTCCATAATTTAATTATTTAAGACCATAATAAATGAAACTAATTGAAAATGTTATATAATTTTTTTTATGAAGCTTTTGGAAATTTTATTGCAATACCTTTACTCTTCTATAGAGTTGTTCTTAAGGAAATTTAATTAGGAGAATTAACAATATAATAAGGACAGAGTATGGAAATAAATATGATGATAAGTCATTTTAACCCATCTATTTTTGAAAATTTACTTAAATTTGATATTGATAGAGGGAATTCTCCAATAATAGATCCATCTTTATTTACACCATTTTAGCTGGTCCTAGAAATTGTATTGGATAACACTTAGCAACTTTAGAGATGAAAACCTTAGTTGTTTATAAGTTACTCGATTGTAAATCTAGAACTTTAATAGTGGTAAGATTCAATTGGGTTTAGCAAATATGTATGGTCCAACACGAAAAGATTTCTTAGTATTGAAAAATATTAATAAATAATTATGAGTTCAAATCCTTATTTTTTGATTCTTCATCATTAATATGAATAAGCTCTCCAATTATTGGTTAGTGATGATTATGAAACGCTTGTCACCAAATCATTAGCATATTATCATCTTGGAAAATATGAGGATGCATTAGTCACATTAGACAAGGCAATATAACTTAGTTCTAATAGGTTTGAAGCATATTACAGAAAAGGTACTATTTACAATGTTATTTAGGATTGATAAACTTTATAAGTGGGAAAATCTAATAAGCATAATTAGATTTATAAAAAAGCCTTGAACTCAATCCATAACATAAGGAAACATAATAATAACTTTTGAAATGTGAATTAGAACTTAAGAATACTAAACTTATCTAAACAGCTTAAGAAAAGTAAAACAAAAAATAATTTCTAGAAAAATCTAGTAATTGAAAGAAGTACCATAAAATAATGAAGCAGAAAGAACTGATATTTATTCAGCTTCAGGAAAATTAATGTATAAATGGTATTAAACAGATTTGAAAGTTGGTATTGAAATACATCATGCATTACCAAATAGTGGCGACTTAAAATATTAGTTTGAAAAATAGAGGTATTGAGAATAAAGTAAAATTTAGATTATAATTATCATTTCCAATAGAAAAGGGAAACAATTTTGAACTTGATTTAGATTTATTTGCTGAAATAATACCAGAAAGTAGCAAAGCTAAAGTAGGATTAAATACAATAGAAATATTAATGGACAAAAAGGATAAAACATTGAATTGGAGTAATTTATAAAAGAAAGTTGAGGAATAATAGTAAATTCCTGTAATGGAATAAGCATCATACCCCACTTCATCAAAGAAAAAGAAGGATTGGAGCAAAATAGACAAAGAAATTGAAGAAGATATTAATAAACATAAAGAAGAATATGGTGAGGATCCTTTAAATAGTTTATTTAAATAAATTTATTAAAATGGAGATGAGAATACAAGAAGAGCAATGATAAAATCAATGTAAACTTCTGGAGGAACAGTATTGTAATAAAAATGATTATCATTATATAGATCTACAAATTGGGATGAAGTAAAAGTTAAAGATTATGAAAGAAAGGATAGACCATCTCCACCAAAGGGATAAGAATATAAAAAGTTAGGATGAGTTATTATTAATAAACAATAAATTTAATATAATGAAAAAAAAATAAGTGGAACATCGTGCTATATTGACTACTCTTCCTCAAGCACTTGATATCGGATTTACTGCTGTAACATCTATGTCTAATTTGGTATTCATGCTTGAAAATCCAAATGAGTATCCAGTGTAGTTTCATTTTGAATTTGAGAGATTTAAGATCACTCCAGATAGGTATTGCATAGTGCTAAATAAATTAGAGGATAATTAGCACCTGGAGCTAAAATCAATTTTACTTTGACCTATGCTCCTTTATAAGCAGAAGTGATTGTTGCATCAATCATCATGCATATTCAATATGAATAACCAAGAATTATTAAAGTATCAGGAATTGGTAAATATCCATTCTTATAACTTAATACAAAAAAACTTAATTTTGAAACTCTATTGATAGGTAAAACAGTAACTAAAGAAATCACTATTAAAAATTCATCAGAAGTTACAGCACAATTCTAAATCACTAAAATGATTGATGATGAATTTAAAGATAATGCATTTACATTAGATTACTATTCAGGTGTCATTCCTCAAAAAAGCACATTCTTAATTAAAGTTACATATTAACCTTAAATTCTCAATGTTTCAGTTATTAGATTTAAAGTTATATGTTAAGGTGGAAATGAATTAACTTTTGAATGTGTTGGATCAGCTGTGGAACATGCTGTATATTTAAGTGAAAAATCTATTAATTTTGGTGAAATTAAAATTGGGAACTAAGCAACAAAATTATTGACTATTCATAATGATTCTGATCTTGCCACATCATATTAATTTTATACTGATATGAATAATATTTTTAGTTTCAATAAAATAAGAGGGCTTATTCAAGGGAAGAGCTTTGATAGAATTATTATAACTTATACACCTAGACATACAATTAATTATTATGAAAGAGTCTATTGTATTGCAAGTAATTAAATTAAATTTGTTGATTTAATTGGTACATGTTATGACCTATTGATTAAACCAATACCATTACTTTAATAACATATTGACAATTTTAGAAGAAGAGTTATTTAAGGAAAATTAAGTGAAGTAGATTTTAAATATATGGAAAATTCTTATTTAATGAAAATAAATTAATAAAATTAAAGTAATCTTTAAGGAGAATGGTAGGAGAATCCTAATTAAACTGTTTAATATAAAGAATTAATGCTTCCTCCATCTTCTGATTACAGACTTATTAAATTTTCTGAAGATTTTATAGATTTTGGTTATGTAGAATGTTATTAATAAAGTGGAGCAAGGGAATTAGAATTACACAATAGACTCAATTGCAAATTAACTATATTTTGGACAATCTAAACACATCCTACAATTAATGGAGAAAGAGTTCCTGTATTTACAGTATATCCAGAAACATAATCAGCATAGGCAAACTCAAAATGCAAGTTTTCAATTAGTTTTAGACCAACAAAATCTTCATACTATTATTTTTAATACATACAATTTTTTGCAATAAAGTATAATCCTAAACTTACAAAAAAAATTTTAGATTCAGTTAAAAATAATAAGGGATCAATTTTGAATGAATCTTTTGGTAACAATGCAAATTTAAAATTATCTTAAACTGGAATAACAAATTAAAAAAATACTAATGATTTTTAATCTAAAGAAATGATTCCTACATTTAGTGGTTAAATTGGATGTGTGGGACATTCTTTTGGGATTAATTCTTAGCCTTATATTCCTATCGTAGAACTTCGACCATCTAACAAATTATACTTTCCACCTTGTACAATAGAAGAGTCGGTTTATTAAACAGTAGAATTCATAAATAAATCAGATACTCCAATTTATTTTAATTTTAGTCCAGATCCAACTAGAACATTTAGAGTGTTTCCAAATCAAGGTTTAATTTTTGGTAAGTCCTCTTAAATGATTGTTGTTGAATTTGTGCCAATATAAAATAAAGCATATAATCAAACTCTGGTTTGCCATATGAATCATTAATCTTCTAACTAAATAACTCTATAAGCTATAGGATATTGCTCTACTCCTTCATTAAAATTATAAAATGATGGTAAAGTTTTCTTTCCACCATCTTTTGTTGGTGTTTATTCTAGATAAAAATTAACAGTTCATAATGAATCCAGAGTACCAATGAGTTATTCAATTGATGTTCCAGAGAAATATTAGAATGAACTATACATTGAACCTTCATCTGGATAGATTAAACCAAATGAAGTGCTTCATTTAGATTGCCAATTTATACCTTATAAAAAACATAAAGAATATAGAATAAAAGTACTAATGACTGCTACTGAGATATTGGCTGATAACTAAAATCTTATTGGATATCATATTCCAGGATCAGGAAATCAAGATTTTCCACTTGAATAAAGAAAACCAATAGAATTATCATATCAGTTTGAGATATTTGGAAAAGGTACAGATGGAGAATTAGAGCTCAATGTTTAATAAATTGATTTCAATATAATTAAAGTAAATTTCAATACAAAGAAATATGCAACCCTCATTAATAATTCAGATTGCACATTTTATATCGAATTAGTTCTTAGACCAAAAAGTAAGGATAAAGATAAAATTGATCACTAAATGATTAGTCTTATTAATAGATCATTTACTTTGGATCTATAGAATGGAATTATAGCTGCTAATTCAAAATTAGATATTGGAATCATGTTTAATCCAATAGAAGTATGTGAATTTGATTTAGTTTTGGATGTTATAGCAACTGAAAAAAATCCAAAAGCACCAAAAGGTCCAAATTTTTAGAATCGTAAAATTGTATCATAGAAATGTAAATTAGAAATTAAGGCTAAAGGAAGTTATCCTTTGTTAAAGATAGCTGATGTAAGAAATGATTCAATAAGTGTTGCCACTTTATGGGAAAACTTTTAGATCAATTAAATTAATACAGAATTAGCAAAAGACTTAAATGAGGATGAATAGAAATTTTTAAAGATTGAATAATTGACATTTGATTAAGCATAACAATTATAAAAGAGATTGAGAAGTTATGACTGGAATTTTGGATATTTACCATCTAAACCTTAGGTAAAATCTAGAAAAATAGTAATAACAATATAAAATATTGGAGGTACTGATTTAGAATGGTAATTTAAATTGCCATCTGATCATTAAATAGAATTAGAACCTTGGGCTGATCCAGGTGAACCAACAGAAGAAGATACATTTGAAAAAGCTATATTGGAAAAGAATATATTTTAAATTAGACCTAAAGGAGGTGTTATTCCTCCTAAATGTTTTAGAGATATAGAATTAATCTATACTCCTTGTAATTTAGATGAGGAACTAAAATCGAAAGGTATTTCTAATGAAAGCCATTTTTTAAGAGTTGTGCTTTAAATTTTAAATGGCAAACCATTAGTTTTAAATTTAAAAGGAACAACATTAGCTCCATTAGAAGGTAGATTGGCAGTAAAGAAAAATTCATTTGAATTACCAGACACTCCAGTAGGATTATTGTAGCCTGTAAAATATCCAATAGAGATATAAAATGTAGGAAGCTCTAAAGTTTCTTATAAAACACTAGTATAAGAATTGGATATAGATGGAGAGATTATAGATTCTTAATTTAATGTATTTGATATTTAGAATCCATAAGGATCCCTCTTACCCAATGAAAAATAATATTTATATTGTCTTTTTAAGCCTTTGGAATAAAAGATTTATTATTTTGAATTATTGGTTGAAGTATCAGATATGGTAAAAGTGATTCAACCAGTGAAATTAGCAATTCAAGGAAGAGGATATGCTAATTAACCTAAAACTTAGATTTAAAAATAAGCAATTGAGATTCCTAGATAAAGATCACATTAATCTCCAATTGGATCAAAAGTATTCTTTTCTTTGGAAGAAATAGATTTTGGAGAATTGTTACCATTGAAATCTGCTCATCGAATGATAATATTATACAATTAATCAAATGATCGTAAATTTACATTTGATTTTGGTGTCTCTTAATTTACACTTTCAAATAATAGACCAGGATTGTGTTGTGGAGATGAATTTTTAATAGAGCCTATACAAGGAGAATTGGAACCTTAAGCTTTTATTGAATTAAAATTAACATTGACAGCAGCTTCAACTCCTTCAGTTTATGAAGGAGAATGTGAATGTACAATCAGTTGGGAAAATAAGAATTAATAAATCAATACTTCTTAAATAAGTTAAAATTCTCAAGGTATTACAGTAGATAAAGAGACTTTGTTTTTAAGAATAAAGAAGAAATCAAGTTTAAATGTGGAATTAGTAAATTCATTTAAATAGCCACCTCCTCCAATTCATAATGCTATGGCTCACCCTTTTCAATAATTATTAGGTTAAATAATTACAGAAGTTCTTACTGACTCTCATACAGATTAAATACTTAGAGCTTTAGATTAACAACCTATAACATTATATTAACCTGAGTAGTAACCAAAAAGCGGAGAAGAAATACAAACAGAAGATTTGTAATAATAATTAATAATAAATTAGATCAATCTAGAGAGATTATAAAGATTACAAAACTATGTTTTTAGAAGACGAATTCATAGAGTTAACTGATTTGATAATGGAAAACACATTCTTTAATATAATCTAAGAAACTACAAGAAGAGAGTGTGATTTATTACGTATATCTAAGACTTTTGTAACACCTGCAAATAAGTGATTATTATATAATAATATATTATTATAAATTGATGATATAACTAACAGTTTTGAGAATCATTTATAGAAAGTGTATAAGTATTTCAGTTTTGAGTAGATTCTAATTCCTATTATGTTTATAACTTATCATTCCATCTAACTCTAATTCCATACTACCAAACTCCTTCTCTTTATTATCCATCCTCTCTAATATAAATACCTTTTCCATGTTATTATCCATTTAACCATTCTCCTACATATTTTCTACCATTCCATTTATAAGTTCCAAAACCATGTCTCTTATCCTCTTTAAAATCTCCAATATATTCTCTATCATCTTCCCATATCATTACTCCTTTACCCCATAATTATCCTTGTTTAAAATCTCCTTCATATGTTTTACCATCTGGCCATTTATACGTACCTTATCTCAGTTGGATATATATAAATACCTTTTCCACTTATTACTCCATTTTCAAACGTTCCAATATACTGACAACCATCTTTCGTAACTAGTTTTCCTTTACCATGTCTAGCTCCTTTATAAAATTCTCCTTCATAATAAGATCCATCTAAAATATCTCTTCGAACTTTTACTTTAACATTATTCTTTTCCAAAACCATTTTATTTATCATTCTTCCATTCTCCTTCATAAAATGATCCATCTGTGCTGACAAATTTACCAAATCCATTTGCCTTATCATTTATCCATTATCCTTCATATATATTCCCACATATATTCACTAATTTTCCATGGCCCTATGCTTTATCATTTACAAAATCTCCAATATAATAGGATCCTTTTTTCACTAAATTCAATACCATCTGGCCATATTTATTTTCCTCTTCCATGTCTTTATCCATTCAATAAATCTCCTTCATATATAGCACCTGTTTCTAATCTTAAAATCTATTTATCTTCCACTTATTATGACATTTATGCTGATAAATGATAATATTCATCACTAAATGCTCCTTCTACTACTTCAATCTCTGAAACATTAACTATTATTGGTTTCTCTACAGTTATTTTTGAACATAAACCAGAGCAAGTTCCCATTTTAATTTGATATAAAATTAAATAACAATCATATATCATTTTAATATCAGTTTTCTGATTGTACATAAATAGAAAGGATAGCTTGGAATAACTTGAGATGTGGTTTATTTAGGGAATATCTATTTAAAGCATAATATTTGGATATAATTAATAATAAAATTAAGATTTAAATATGCTGAGGTTAGTGAGTAAGAGGTAATTCTCCTCTACATTTAATGTGCTTGATACATTTAAGACTTTCAAAAGCGTGGTAATATAGTAAAATGTATGGAAAGATTACAGCCCCAATCAGACACATAAGGTCATATGTACGATAAGATGGTGTTCACAGTTCTATGACACCAAATTTGACATATTAGGCTTTTGATGAAGTGCTTCATGAATATTATGCTGCCTATTCTGGAAATCCTTTCCATTTATAAGTTTACAATAACTTAGATAATATCTAAACTGTTAATTTTGGTACAGTTGATAACCCATGTGTGATTTTTACTGCTGACACTCCCTTTAGATATGTTGGATGCACTGGTTTGTAGAATGAAGATGATTATGAATAACATGAAATCCATCTTTTTATGTTAAGAGAAGGTCCTTTGTAGAGATGTCCAATGTGTGGTCAAGTTTTTAAATTGGTTAGACTTCGATAATAGGAAGATGAAGAAATGTCTTACTATAGAGATTCATTCCATCCTATTGATATTTTTGAATTGGATGTAATTTACTTAATTAATTTTAGAATGAAAATGTTTAATCTATTAATATGTTCAAGATGTGGACTCATAGAGAAGCTTCATTATTTGAAAGTGCTTTATATGAATAAAATATTATGGTAACAATGGATAACGATGTACATGATAGATTACTTGTTGATCCAGCTTATAGAATGTGGAGATTCTAACATGGTGAAGATAAATTAAAATATATTGATTAACAATTAAAATAAGCAGGTTACAATGAAGAAAGAGTATATAGAAATCCTAAATATAAATTACCTATGTAAAAGGCTACTTATGCAGCTGTTATTGAAGCAGAAAAAGTTTTAGCTATCTAAGAAAGATTAGAAAGAAAAGTTAATAGATTCCATGTGAGAGAATATCTTGATTTTGCAAATCATGCTAGAAGAGAAAGAAGAATGAGATTAAGATAAAAAGAAAGATGGGAAAATAATTATACTTATTTCTATGGAGGTCTTACTGAAGAAGAATAATTATATAATGATTACTTTGAAACTGATTAAGAATTATATAAAGATGATGAATAAGTCGAATAAAGAATTGATGAAGCTGTTGCTTAAGTTGATCCAAAATATAGTCCACTTAGATTTGATTTCTAAGAAGCTTATACTCATAATCCAGAAGAAGATTAAACTTCATTACTTGAAAAGAAATTATGGAGATTTAAATACAGATTAGCATTTGATTGCACTAAAGATTATTAAGTTAGAGAAAAAAGATTAATTGAAAGACATTTAGCGAGAATGACTAAAGATCCTGAATATATTGCAGTATTCAAAAATCTATAAACTGCTGTCAATTCTGAAAATGAATTTGCACTCTTAGAAGCTGAAAAAAATTATTATAATCTTGCAGCTAAAGAAGGATGTAATATTATTATTATATAATTTATTTAGTTCTTTAATACAAAGATTATTTTGAAGGAGATGCATCAGCTGAAATTGAATTAGTAGAAGAATTATACAATGCTTCACCTTTAGCATTTAGCAAAGTTTTTGTTAATCATTCTGCTAGATTATTTTAATAAGAAGGATTCTAGAAATTCCCTAAAAGAGCTTGGAATGATAGTCTTGGTTTAATTTAAAATTATGTATTGGATTTCTAAGATTTTTCATCTAATATTGTACCAAAAGCTTAAAAATTGGCTAATTTTGCTGGTTTATAAAATGTATTTACAATATTTTTATATATTCTAGGTACTTCCTGCTGATGAATAAGAATTAGTAAAACTTGGTTTAGATAAAACTGAATAAATTGCAAGATAAAAAATTGCATAAGCTTAAGAAAAACCATAATTAAATGAACCACCTAAATAAACATAATAATAATAAGCCCCACCAGAATAATAATAATAAAAACCTCAATAATAAGATTAATAAAAAAAAGGATCTTTCACCAAAAAGAAATGATAATTTAATTATAAAAATAAAACAAAATAATTATATATAATTATATATTAAAATTTTATTGATTCAATCTTATTAATCTAAATTTTATTCTAATTGCATTTCCTGTCTTATTTCATTATATTAAGAGAATAATTCTTAATAATCTACTTTTTATCTGCTATCTTTTCCTATAGCATAATGATCTATTTATGCACAACCTGGCTATATCTACTTTAAATTATCTAAAATTTAAATTCTAATAAATATAAATTGATTAATACATATTTTTCTCTAAGTATTCTTTAGAATTCTATTCTTCCATGTTAGAAATAGGTAAATGCAATTTATATTCAGGTCCAAAATAAATCTTATAATCTGATTCATCAGGAATATTATCAGGAATTGATACATTTAATGCCAAAGATGTCTCATAAGTCCAACAACGTGGAACATTTCTTAATGTATAACCTCCACCTCCTACCATTATGATAGGCACATTAAACTTTTTTAAGTATTCAATACAAGAACCATGACCTTAATATTTATTAAGAAAATATAACCTTTTATACTTAAATTAAAACATCCTAAACGATCTCCACTAAGACTATCTGTTCCTCCTTATAACATAATTACATCAGGTTTAAAGTTTCCCATAATACTATCAATCACAGGTTTGAAGATTAATTATATAGAATCATCATTTAAACCTTCATTTAATGGAAAATTCACTGCATAATACTTTCCTTTATCATGACCAATATCATCTATATGTCCTGTTCCAGGAAAGTATTCTTTAAATTTATGGAAAGAACAAGTCATAACTCTATCAGTTAAATAAAATGCTTCTTCTACTCCATCTCCATGATGAATATCGATATCTACATATAACACTCTTTAATATGTTTTCAATAGTTCTAATATACCTAATACACAATCATTAACATAACAAAATCCACTTGCTTCACTTTATTTGGCATGATGTAAACCACCACTCCAATTTATAGCAATATTACTCTTCTAATCTGCTATTACACAAGCTGCTCCTACTGAGCCAGAAGTTTAACACAAACAATAATCAAATAACCTATCTAATACAGGACAATCTTCCATGAAATTAACTAATTATTTAATTAAATCCGATTACATCTATATAGTTGATCCTCGTGTTAACACTTATTTTCTGGTGTAATTATTTTTATTAAATCAATATATTCTTCAGAATGAAATTAAGTCAATACATCTTCATCTACTCGTTTTATGTAAGTTTGAACAAAAGTTTGATCCTAAACCTAAAAATGAATACATCTTACAATACAATTCATATATTATTTTAGTCCATAATGACCTACTAAATCATCCGTTATCGCAACTCTTAATGGTTTCATTGGATGAGTTGTTGAATAATTAAATGTCCCAATTTCCTCATCATAATAATACGTCACTTTCTACTTGAAGGAATTCATTCTTTCCCCTAAATTCAATTTTTAAATTTTATTATTCNGTCCAAAATAAATCTTATAATCTGATTCATCAGGAATATTATCAGGAATTGATACATTTAATGCCAAAGATGTCTCATAAGTCCAACAACGTGGAACATTTCTTAATGTATAACCTCCACCTCCTACCATTATGATAGGCACATTAAACTTTTTTAAGTATTCAATACAAGAACCATGACCTTAATATTTATTAAGAAAATATAACCTTTTATACTTAAATTAAAACATCCTAAACGATCTCCACTAAGACTATCTGTTCCTCCTTATAACATAATTACATCAGGTTTAAAGTTTCCCATAATACTATCAATCACAGGTTTGAAGATTAATTATATAGAATCATCATTTAAACCTTCATTTAATGGAAAATTCACTGCATAATACTTTCCTTTATCATGACCAATATCATCTATATGTCCTGTTCCAGGAAAGTATTCTTTAAATTTATGGAAAGAACAAGTCATAACTCTATCAGTTAAATAAAATGCTTCTTCTACTCCATCTCCATGATGAATATCGATATCTACATATAACACTCTTTAATATGTTTTCAATAGTTCTAATATACCTAATACACAATCATTAACATAACAAAATCCACTTGCTTCACTTTATTTGGCATGATGTAAACCACCACTCCAATTTATAGCAATATTACTCTTCTAATCTGCTATTACACAAGCTGCTCCTACTGAGCCAGAAGTTTAACACAAACAATAATCAAATAACCTATCTAATACAGGACAATCTTCCATGAAATTAACTAATTATTTAATTAAATCCGATTACATCTATATAGTTGATCCTCGTGTTAACACTTATTTTCTGGTGTAATTATTTTTATTAAATCAATATATTCTTCAGAATGAAATTAAGTCAATACATCTTCATCTACTCGTTTTATGTAAGTTTGAACAAAAGTTTGATCCTAAACCTAAAAATGAATACATCTTACAATACAATTCATATATTATTTTAGTCCATAATGACCTACTAAATCATCCGTTATCGCAACTCTTAATGGTTTCATTGGATGAGTTGTTGAATAATTAAATGTCCCAATTTCCTCATCATAATAATACGTCACTTTCTACTTGAAGGAATTCATTCTTTCCCCTAAATTCAATTTTTAAATTTTATTATTCTTTATATAAATATTATAATGTAATTATCATTTCTTAAAAAAATTATGATTTTTAATATTAAAATCCATTTTATGAACTTTTTGCCATCCAAATATTTTCAAGTTGAATATTAATAAATTTAAATACTCTTTAAAATAACAGTTAATAATACTGCAATTCAAAAATACAATCATTAATCAAGTTTATCTAAAATCATATTTACTAAATCATAATTTTCATCTGATATCTTCATTTATTACACAAACAATATTCTTGATTCACAATTTTCATCATTAAATATTTTCATATTAACCTAATCTAATTCTATAAATCTGTATAAAATGGAAAGTATATTATGTAAAAATTAATTACCTTTCTCTTGGTAATAATCATTTAGTTCTTGACATATTTATTTAATTAATTTATAATCTTTGTTTAATTTTATAACATCTTCATCTTTGGAGAACTTTATTATGTAATGGAGAAATTAAAAAAAATCATCACTCTCTAAAAATGTTAAAGGGATATTTTGAATAAATGGAAAGACTTCTTCTAAAAATTCATTTATAATTTGAGGATCATCTGTAATAAAATTACTTAATGTAACAAATCCTCTTTTAATTAAAATCTTTAATTCTCCTCCTGAAATATTTTCTGATTCTAAATATTTATTAATTGTTTTAATTATAGTTTAGGCCATTTAAGATTAAAAATTTAAAGTAATTTCATTATCTATATAATAATAAAAAGATTACCTAATAAAGATATATATTAAAAATATTTAAATATTTCTCCACATAATTAGATATTGTCGTAATCACCTTCCAAAAGATAATTTAAAAAACTTAAATCTAATTTAGATTTATCGTAAGAATAAATCCTGTTCATTAACTTTAAAATCCATTGCTTTTCTTTAGCATTATAGAGTTAAATATAAAGATCTTAAAATACATCGTGCAATTCTATTAATTTAAATTTATTAATTTCTGGTTTCATTCTATCCAAATTAATAATCATAGAATAAAAGTCTTCAAAAAGGCATTTCTATTTACATTAGAGTGTATAATTCCTTAAAATTAAATAAATAATGTACCATAAACATTTAGGCACTTAGAGGACTAGAATTAGATCTCTACATAGATAACAATCACATGCAAGATTTGCAAATATATCTAATATATACTATTATAATTCTGTATAATAAGTTGAACAATAATAATCTGTAAGCACTTGAATATATTCATGAATAGGCTGAACCTATTAATGATTTCCAGCTGAAATAGCTAATAAAATATGTAAACAAGATTTCTAAAAAAATGAATATTAGTTACATCTATTTAAGGATAACCTATATTAAAGATTTTGAATATCCTTTCTACATCTTTGGTGGTATCATAATTAGGTTCGCAATCATATTCATTATAATAATTGCTTAATTACTAAACTTTGAAAATACAGTCAGTAATAGTTTCATCTATTAATGAATCATCATTCATTAAGTTAAAGTTCTAAATTTAATTGCCAAATTACCTATTGATTTCCGCTTTCAAAAGCATTTTAATATGATTATTGTAAAATAATATTGCTTGATGCAAATGGAATGATTTCTTTAGACTATGGAAATCTATTTTTTCTAAAGATTTCTTCTCTTGCTTTTTTTTTAAGTCCAACAATAAATTGTTCTCTTTTTTGGGCTATATTTTATAGCATTTTTAATAATTTTTAAATAATAAAAAGAGAAATTGGAGCTAATTCTAAAATAATTTTACAAATCAATTCATCATTCACCAAGGAGAAATATCATCTAAACTCTATTTAAATGCCATTTAAGAGTATAAATTTGACTTTAAATTTCGATTTACTATATGATTGAGACTATGTATTTTTGCTTAGTTATGATTATTTACTAATTTTTTCAAACCTGGAGAAGTTCTTAATCTTTTATCAGTTGAGTATTTTGTTTGATTTATCTCTTTAAAAGTTTAAGATTATGCTGAATTATTAATGAGACATCTAATTCGAAGATTATTGATTGATACAAATCTAATATCATTTTGTTCTTTTTTTGGATTAACCTCTTAGTTTTCAAGATTTCGAGGTATTGACCATGGTTTAAAAGAAGATGTTAACTATTACTATTATAAAAGAATTTTATCTAAAAGGTCTGCTTTAGACCTTTTTATTCGAAATTATTTTTTTTCCTATAACCTCATAAAATACTTTTTCTAAAATTATGGAGTTGAAGGTTCTCTTTATTTAAAATAGATTGGATTACTGTAATTACAATAATCATGTAGAGTTTGAAGTGTATGGATTTGCATAATATTAATTATATTTTATATATTTATAATATACTATAATTAAATAACTATTTAGATTGTAATTTTTGTTTAAATATAATATATTAAAGAAATGTTTAAATTTAATAATTTCAATGAAAAAATTAATATTTTTAGATTAAGATTTTGGTTTGTATAATATATCTTTCTATTTAATATGTTAGATATAAAATGATATTTATATAAAATAGTTCGATGATCAAGAGTCTTAAGTATAAATTGAAATTAAACTTATAAGTCTTGAACTTTAAATTCTTATCGACTAACTATAAAATTTTATGAAATCCCAATGTGATAAATTTATATTTAAATATTAATGCTCAAGCATCTTTATGATACCGACTGTGTCACTTGGTCACCATAAGGCAAATTATTTTAAGTAGAATATGCTATGGAAGCTGTAAAATAAGGAAGTATATGTTTGGGATTAAAATCAAACGATCATGTTGTATTATGCAGTCTTAAAAGATAACCATCAGAATTAGCAGGATATTAAGAGAAATAATTTAAAATTGATGATCATATGGCAATTGCCATTGCTGGTTTAACAGCAGATGCACGTATTTAATAAGATTTATGTTTACAGGTGTTTTATGCAAATACATGAGAACAGAATGTTTAGAATACAAATATACATATGAATCTCATCATCCAGTTGGAAGGTTAGTCTTTAAAGTTGCAGAAAGTAAGATTTATATATTTATATAAAGAGTCACAACATAAAACTTAAAGTGGTGCCAAAAGACCTTATGGTGTTGGATTACTTGTTGCTGGTATTGATCCTAATGGTGTTCATTTATTTGAAACATGTCCTTCTGGAAATTATTATGAATATAAATGCTAAGCTATTGGATCAAGATCTTAAGCTGCTAGAACTTATTTTGAAAGTTGGTTCCATCTCTTTTAAAAAAGTAATTTAGAATAACTTATTTTACATGGATTAAGTGCTATTAAAAAAGCTATTATGGAAGATGAAGAGTAATTTACTTTTTCATTATTCTTTTTAGATTAAATGAAAAAAATGTAGAAGTTGGAATTTTAGGTAAAAATCAAAAATTTACTCATTTAAATGCTTAAGAATTAAAAAATTATATTGCCTAATTAGAAACCTTCAATCCTAATTCTTAAATTTAACAAGAGTGATAATTTAATATTAAATATATTAATGTCTATTATTCAAGTTCTATTGTTAAATATTAATATAATTTTTATTTAATACATGTTATTTGTCTAGTTATTTGATATTAATTTAAAAAAGAGACTAGAATTTTTTATGAAAAAATAAATTGGCAATATATACTTATTTGTCTTAAGAAATATATATCATTTATTTTTGTTAAGATTGAGTCTTTTTATTTATATCTTTAAAAAAATGACTCAATCAATTAATAGAATAGGCATATTTGATATTTACTTTCTATTTTTATATATATTTAAAATTGGTGATTCATGCAATAATAACATCTATATCATGGTAATCATAATCTGATTTTCCTTTCTTATTATATAAATGAATCTATAACTAGTCGTCTTGCCATTTCAATTTTAATCCTTTATCTTCCCATTTAATATTTTATTCTTCAATTTTCCATGACACATATTTTTCTGCATTATTAAAACAATAGTATGGGCATAATAGAGAAAACCCACAACTTAGAGGAACAAGTATATAGGATATGAGAATTAATGTTTTTGGAGGCCAATTATTAGCAATTGTTTTGTTTAATTCATCTAAAAAGGAATTTATTTCATTTTCACCAACATATTGAAGTAACACAGTGTTATGTTTTAAGTAGTAGTAAGGATATAATTTCGACAAGATATATTTGTTTCCTTTTGTTTTTATTGTAATTACTGCATTAGATTCTTATAGCTCAGTATAATTTCTTATGCTTTTTAATTTATTTGGTTCCTAAGCACATGGTGTTTCCAAAGATTTATCTAAACTTACTTAATACATATAAATAAATATATAAATGAATAATTATATTAGTATCAAACTCAAGCTTAAATTAATGTTATTTGTTAAAACTCTGTAAAAAATAGAATCAAAATTTACTCTATATAATGTTAGTTTGTTAAATTGTTCTTTTTAGTTTATATTTATTATATATCAATATAAAATTACAATTATTATATTAATATTTACATGTTGAGTCTCAATAAATTAATTTACTTGAATCCTTAACCTTCTTATCACCTCAAGACTTTTGATGGCCATTAAAAATTAAAGCTACTCTTTATAAAAGCCAAATAAAATAAACATCAGATTCCATGTTTATTTATCAAAGCTAATTCAGATGAATACCTTTTGTATTTTCATAGTAATGCAGAGGATATGTAAATGTTAATTTAAATTTTTAAAAGAGGAACTTGCTATGAGTTTACATCTGCTTTGAGTAATGGATTGAATGTAAATGTTATTTGCATGGAATATCCAGGTTATGGAATTTATACATAAGTTGAACCTTCTTAAAACTAAATTGAGAAAGATGCAGAGGATGTGTTTATATATATAAATTTGGAATTAAGAGTTCCTGATTCTAAATTGTCAATTTTTGGAAGGTCAATTGGGACTGGTCCAGCTTGTTTTTTAGCATCAATTTATTAACCAAAAGCATTAATTTTATTAAGTCCATTTACATCTATTAAAGCTCTTGCTAAAAAGCATTTTTACTTTGCTGCTAATTTGTTAAAAGTATGTAAAATTTAATTATCACTTTTAGGATTAATTCAATAACGTATAGAGGGCCTATAAGATTTTTTGCCCATGTATCATCATTCATGGAAAATTAGATAAATTTATTCCAATTTAAATGGCAGATGACATATATAAAAACTTAGCTTCAAAAAGAAAAATATTTTTTTATCCTGAGGATAAAGATCACAATAATTTCAATTTTTTATTCGATATTAAAGAAATTGTTTTGAACTTCATTGAAGAAATTGAATAGTTAAATCATATGTTTTTGCCTAATTGAAATATCTAGATCTCCAAAATTAGATCGAATTAACTTTTTTCAAGAAATTATATTTTGTACTTAATTATGATTTTTCATTATTAAAAACAAAACTATTTATTTTAGTTATTAATTTTCTTGAAATTTTATATCCCTAAAATGAAATAAACATTAAGATTTTCCCTCCACTTTTGAAAGTTTGTGAAACCCATGGACTTTATTCTAATAATATTAAATCTAAAATTTTAATTAATTAATGGATTATTTTATTTCATTAATTCACAACTAAAAATTATTAAATTTTTTCATTATATAATTATTTTCAAATTAAAGTAAAAAATACTTAGTATTGCTTTAACATATTCTTTTTTTACATGAATTATTAATTCAATCTCAGTATAACGAAAAATCGATCTGAAAATATAAATATTTTAAAGAAAAATAAAAATAAATTAGCCTATTTCTAAAAATAATTTAATAATCATTATTCTTTAATTTATTGTTATTTCTAATCCTCTAATTCATACTTTCTGCTTAAAAATAATTTTGATTGTTTAAATATATGATACGTATTTTAAATATCGATTCCTAGAGTGTTGCAATAGTTATGTTCAGCCATAAATTGGTATAAATCTAAAGAATCTTCTTCATCCATTTCTGCACCAAAATATTTTTCAAATTATTCTTTGAAATGATGTTGCATATCCTTTTTTTCAATTTCTATAAGGAATTTTCCTACCTAACTAGGTTTTAACTCCTTTCTTAATTATTCTAAAGTTTTGCCATACTAACTCAATTCTATCTATATTTGGTTTTTAATTTCCTAGAAAGAAGATAAAGTGCTAAAAATAAATTTTCACACAACTTTGTTAGATCATTCTAAAATCTGAGTAATTTTTTGTGTTTCTTTAAAATAAGCTGTTTTTATTTGTCTGTCAATTTCAAATTTCTTAAAATCCCAGTTTCAGAATTTGTATTTTATCCTTAAAATATATCTTATTCTGTTTTTGCTACTCCAATTATGTAATTTAAATAAGGGGAAAGACAATTTTCATAAATTTAATTAAAATAATGGTCTAATTAATGTTGCCTTTCAAATGATCCTGCTCCAAATTTTTTCTTTTATATTATTATATTTTTACATTTAGAGATTCAATTATAGTATCTATATTCATTTCGCTTACATTATGTTGGACTGTATTTTATAAATTTGAGAATAAAATCATTTTATTCTGATCTTGTTCTTATTTCTAAATTATAATACAATATAACTTAGGTGATTTTATTTTGTAAATTTAATGCCAAATCAGCTGTTAAATCATTCACTTTTTAAAAACTCTCCAATTATTCTTGTAATACTGAAACTTTATTTTCTAATAATTCTAAATAAATTTTCTTTCTTTTTCTGCTATTTCTTGCAGATTCTCTATTTTTTTTAAGCTTGTCTTCTTTATCAATATTAGATCCTAAGAGTTGATTTGTGGATTTCGCTTAAACTTATTTTTTTCCTCCTCTATTAGTATATTATTTAATATACTTCTCTTCTATTAATTCTGGATTTGCTATCCTTATAAGGGATGAGATTTTATTAATATATGTATTCTTAGTATTTCCTTTTTGTTTTTTCATAGTCTGACCTTAAAATTTCTTATCTTCCTCATCTTCTTTATCATATTAGAGATCACTAGAATTAGATTCTGACTCTAATGGATTAAAGTAATCATAGCGATTCATTTATAATAAATATTTCTCAACACAATTGATATTAATTAAACATTTCAAAACATTCAAATATAAATCAATATTTTATATTACAAAATTCTTCTCCTAATCTATCTATCTTCTACATTTTGCAACTATAATTTCAGACTTTCAAGGAATACTAGAAGGTATTATGATTAATTTATTATTAGGGATTATTAAATATTAATTTGAAGATAAGGCATATTTCTTTAGGAATATAGAATGAGGAACAATCAAATACAAAAAATTGCCAATCAAATTTTGAAATTCTCTTTTTAAAATTAAGTTTAAAAAGTTAAATCCTCTATTAAATTCGGAATTCAAATTTTAAAAAATGCATTTAAAGATATTTATTTTTCTAATTGAGCATATCAATAACAAGATTATGTTCCACGAAATAATGATTAAAAAAGGCTATCAAATTCTGAAGAAATTTCCTAAAGAAAAATATTGATCAATTGAATTAAATATTTGCGTAATTCAAAAAATTCTTATTAGATTTCTTTGAGATAGTAAAAACAAAAATTGATAACAAATGACTATTAATCAGAATTAGATCAGAATTAACAAAAAGAGTANTTGTAAATTTAATGCCAAATCAGCTGTTAAATCATTCACTTTTTAAAAACTCTCCAATTATTCTTGTAATACTGAAACTTTATTTTCTAATAATTCTAAATAAATTTTCTTTCTTTTTCTGCTATTTCTTGCAGATTCTCTATTTTTTTTAAGCTTGTCTTCTTTATCAATATTAGATCCTAAGAGTTGATTTGTGGATTTCGCTTAAACTTATTTTTTTCCTCCTCTATTAGTATATTATTTAATATACTTCTCTTCTATTAATTCTGGATTTGCTATCCTTATAAGGGATGAGATTTTATTAATATATGTATTCTTAGTATTTCCTTTTTGTTTTTTCATAGTCTGACCTTAAAATTTCTTATCTTCCTCATCTTCTTTATCATATTAGAGATCACTAGAATTAGATTCTGACTCTAATGGATTAAAGTAATCATAGCGATTCATTTATAATAAATATTTCTCAACACAATTGATATTAATTAAACATTTCAAAACATTCAAATATAAATCAATATTTTATATTACAAAATTCTTCTCCTAATCTATCTATCTTCTACATTTTGCAACTATAATTTCAGACTTTCAAGGAATACTAGAAGGTATTATGATTAATTTATTATTAGGGATTATTAAATATTAATTTGAAGATAAGGCATATTTCTTTAGGAATATAGAATGAGGAACAATCAAATACAAAAAATTGCCAATCAAATTTTGAAATTCTCTTTTTAAAATTAAGTTTAAAAAGTTAAATCCTCTATTAAATTCGGAATTCAAATTTTAAAAAATGCATTTAAAGATATTTATTTTTCTAATTGAGCATATCAATAACAAGATTATGTTCCACGAAATAATGATTAAAAAAGGCTATCAAATTCTGAAGAAATTTCCTAAAGAAAAATATTGATCAATTGAATTAAATATTTGCGTAATTCAAAAAATTCTTATTAGATTTCTTTGAGATAGTAAAAACAAAAATTGATAACAAATGACTATTAATCAGAATTAGATCAGAATTAACAAAAAGAGTATGCTTGATCACCAGAATTTAATGTTAAATATTAAAGTAAATTAAAATTTAGAAAATAATAAAAATTTTATTTTTTCATAGAGATTTCATTAATAAAGTATTTTAATAATGAATTAGTTGTAACCTATTAATAAAGCTTAAATATACTCAGTTTATATCCTAGATTCTTTTAAGTATAATTAATTACATAGTGTTTATTTTTAATAATTAGATACTTATGGGTCGATGCTGATAAATCTATTAAAGTTAGGAAAATCTAATGGAGAACTCTTTAGGAAGTAAAAATTAAGAAATTTTTCTATTTTTCTGCATTGTTAATTTTTTAAAAAGCAATTTATAAAGTGGAAATTCAAGAACACTTCCAAAAATATTTGTATAAAAGTAAAAATTCTTATTCTTACTTAATTAAAGATTTGTGCTTATAATTTATAATTATTTGTTAATTTTAATTGCATAAATAAATTTATATAATGCAGCAGAATACATTTTCATAGAAAAATATAAAACACACAAAAAATACTAAAAATCATCATTATTATGCTTACATGCCTCAAAAAGAAACCCTTAATTTTGAAGATTAAGAAAAAATTAATGTATTAAATGAGTCTGCCATGTCATCAAAGACTATTTCAAATAATAGCTAAAATCTTTAGATAAATGATGGATATTATAAGAAACCTTCAGTTATTTTTAGAGAACTAAGAAGTATTTCAAACTAGAGTCAAAACAATTAAATCAATGACATTTCTTAAGGTTTTATATTTCGAATAAAATCAAAGAATCATATTTAGAATGAGCCTATTATAGTAGAAAATTTTGAGTAAAAAGAAAAAGATCGAAAAGGCAAAGATTTAGCTAAAATTTTAAGGGTTATGAATAAAAAGCGACAAGAATATACTTAGAAAGAATAATTTAAACCAACACCTCTTATTCAACTATTAAAAAATAAAAATTATAAAACATAAGAAGATCAATCAATAGAAAAAAGCCCTAATTAAGTTAAAAAGTTGCCAAAAATATATAAAAAGTAAACTCCAGTAATTATAGAGGTGTTAGAACAATATGAACCTTTAAGCAAATCAAGTAGAATATAAGGAAATGGTATAGGAGAAGACCCTTTTTAAGTAAAACTTGTGAAATATTACTAATTTCTCTTCAAATTCTAATGTGACCATTTATTTTATGTGAAATAATCATAGGTGAGATGTCAAAGTTATTATATTGAGTAAATTAATGAAAATGAAATTATTGTGAAAGAATTAATGAGAAAAAGATGGTGGTGGTATGAATCTATAGAAAAAACTGATGATGTATAATTTTATTGGTCTTAAAGATCAAATTCATAATACTTATAAAGATAAAAGATAAGGGTCTTATTTGATCAAAGTTTTAATAAAGTGGTAGATCCTTTTAATTAAGAAAATTATGAAGAATAAATAAAATTTGCAATAGAACACAAATTAGTTCTAATTCAACCAAATGGAAGATTGCATAATCATATAGAAATTAATTAATTAATAGGATATAAGAAAAATTTTATAAAATTCTTATAATCATATGCATAATTGTTAAATTAAGATCCATTTTAAAATTTTCCTTATTCTATTAATATAATAAGTGAAAATGATCCAAAATTAAATGTATTTTAGATATAACATAAAAATTAAAATACTTTATGGATAGTAAAACCTGGAGAATGGGTAAATAATGGATAATTTATGAAGTTATGTGAAAATGAAAAGTAGGTTTAAGAATTTATAATGAATGAATTCAAAAATTAGGATCATAATTTTGAAACTTTAGTGATTTAGTAATATATAAAACCATTATTGTATTATAAAAGGAAATTTGATTTATATACATATATGTTGATAAGTTAGATAAATGGTGTTGTGAGAGTTTATTTTTATGATGAGGTATATGGAAGAACTAGTAGTAAAGAATATAAAGAAAATGATTTAGATCCTCTAATACATTTTACAAATAGTGAGATATAAAAGGAATTCAAAGGATTTTCTCTTTATGAGGCAGGAAATAAATTGTCAATCGACAAATTACAAGAGTTTTTTGTTTAGTATAAAATAAATTTTAAATAAAATATGATTCCTTAATTAAAAATGATAGCAACTTAAGCTATAAAATCAGTGTTTACAAATTTAGTAGTAAAAGATCATAACTTTGAAGTAATAATAAATAGTTATAAAGATTATAGGTTTGAATTATATAATTGATTAATAATTGAAACCTTGGTTAGTAGAATTGAATTTGAATCCTAGTTTTAGTGCTGATAGTTAATATCATCAAAAAGTAATAACTCAAATGTTAGATAATGCATTGCATTTAACTATAGATTTGATATATCCACCACCATAAATATGGCCAATAAACAAAAAATAGTTAATTGATAAATTTAGTTTATAAAATAAATTTTAAGTAATAATAGATTCAAGATTTGATTCAGAAATGTTAATAGAATTATTCGAAAAAAAATGAAACTGATATAAATAATTTTATGTAATTAATATGATTCATTCTAAATATTTGGTATCAATCAAAATCATATAGATTCCAGGATGTTTATTAGCAAAACTAATTAAATCTTTCCTAGCAATCTTAAAGATAGTTGCTTTTCTGGTTGCTCTAATGGATGTAGAAATAGTAGTATTTTCAATCATTGCTCTTAATTCTCCAACATAAGCTCCTGAATCTAATTCTTCTAAATCTTATTCAGGAGAATCATAAAATGCAAATGTTCCTCTTTTAATAATAAAAGCAAATTCTGGTTTTTCACCAACCTTCCATATAACAGTACCTTTTTCTATTTCTTATTCTCTCATAATCATTTCTAATTATGTTTTTTATGAAGGAGTTAATTCAGATAGAATAGAATTCTTAAAAAGACAATGAACAGCTTTTGATCTTCTAGCTGCAGTTAATTATTTCATTTTTTAAATAATAGGACCTTATCCACCTAAACCATCGCCAAAAATAAACCAAAAATCATGTTTTTCTAAAATCAGAACTTTAAGATGTGTAACAGCTTCTACCCTAATAAATAATAATATAATAATTACGATGCTCCTCTTTTTCCTTCATTAGATAAAACAGCAGATTCACCAAAATAGTCACCTACTTAGTAATATCTTTCAAATTCTTATCCTTTTTAAGTTGAGTAAACTCTTGCTAATCCTGATTCAATTATATAAAATCTATCTCCAGCAGTACCTTCTTTAATAACATCTTATCCTGGTAAGAATTCTTCAGATGTTACTGAATCTAAAAGCCATCTTACATTTTTTAATGTTAAATGTTCGAAAATATCTATGGTTGAAAGTAGATCAAGTCTTCTAATTGTTGTTAGATGTTTATTCGTATTGCTTGGTATTAATATCATAGTATTTTCAATACCAGTTTTAGCTATCTTTAAACCTAATTCTTTTTTTAGATCTTTTTAGGCTGTATGAACAAGATACAATCTATTTTTTATATTATTTGGCAATTTTCCAAGTACAGCTTATGAAGTATGAATAGGAGGTACTCCTGCTTCATGAAGAATTAAATCTTCTTTAAATTCAATAAAGGCTAAATATTCATATCTCTTTTATGAAAGAATTCCTTAATTTTTATAAACTAATAATTAATCTGGATCAAAAAATGTATCAGATGAAAAATACATAGATTTATTCTCTAATTTAACACTAAATCCAAGGCTTGGAATAGTATGCATAGCATAAAAGAAGTTAAAATAGGCTCCATATATATTTAAAGGAATTCCAATAATAGCTGGTCTATGTATATATTAATATATTATACCTAAAAATAAATAATTTTCTTAGAGAATCTATATCAATACTTGACATTGCTGAATATTTTCTTAGAAAAGAATTCATTATTGTTCTAGTTGTAATTATTTCTACTCTTGTATCATCTAATATTTTATGAAATGTGCCAGCATCATGATCTGCATGACAATGACTAATTATTACTGCACATATTAATATTGATGGTATTCCCATCTATTTCATATGATAAGATGCAAATGGAGGTGGATCAACCATTATTCCTCTTCCATTTACCCAGAATATATAACCTGAAGTTGAACCTTTAGGATCAAATCCATGTGACTAAAATTATAATTTAATATTAATTAATTACACATCCTAAAATAGTAACACCAAAATCTGGAGGTGTAAATGATTTATTTTCATCAATATCTAATTAAAAAATAGCTGAACCACTTTCAACATGTCCTCCCATCTAATCCCATAAAACAACTGATAATTTCTTCTCTCCTCCTCTTTGATATTTATTACCAATAACCCAATTTTCTACTTTTTATTCAACTGTCATCTCTGGCAATTATTTTACTAATAATGGTGTTGGACAGAATTCTTTTGCTGCATCTCTTTTAGATTTAATATTCTTCATGCTTTCAGCTCTATAATCATCAGGTTTTGTAACAATATATTCATAATATTATGAAGGGAATGTAAATACATCTTATATACCTTTAAGATATATTCCATTTTCTAATATTTTAAATTAATTGCTATCCTTAATTATTCGAATTGTTATATCCCCTTCAGTTATAGTTGCTGTATTATTTTCATCAAATAAACAGAATTTCAATAAATGATCTATTGTTAATCTTTCATCTAAATTTGAAGGATTTCTTGAAAATACACTTCTTTCTTTATGAAAGTCTGGGTAAGCACTTTTTGGATATTTATGATAGAAATCAAGTGCTAAATCAGGATGATCCACAGGTCCTAATAAAGTTTCTTAAAACACAGTTCTTATAGCTCTTTCTGTATCAGCTGTACAAATTAATGTTATTTATTTCTTTTTACAGAAGAAATTAAAATAAGCTGGAAACTCAAATTCTGCAGTACTAATTCCTAATCTTTTATCAAATCTAATAATTAAAAAATTTTATACCTTTTTGATGGAATTATATAAAAGGTTGGAACTTCCATTCCCATATTTAAACAGTCTTTTATTGTTTCAGGAGGCATACCATACTAAATTGGGCCTATTTTCGTCTATAATATGCAGCCTATATTATTTATAAGATTTTACCTCCTCTTTCCAAATCAACTAAATCTGCACAAGAGACATTAGATTTAGCATCTGATTATTACTTTTACAGCTATATTGAACATGATTAGGATTTCAATAGAGAAGGACATTGATCTGATTATTCTAACATGTAATCCAAATCTTATAAGAAAGATTTATCATCAGAAAATACATATGAGCAAGCCATAGTATAACAAATAAATTATTATTGAGTAATAAAATTATTGATTCATTTAAAATTATAAATGAATCAATCCAAAAAGTAATCATTTCCATTAATTTAATGCCTTTCTTACATCTGGTTTTTATAAATTAAACTTAACACTTTTCTTACTACTAATACTACTACTTCTGGAATTATTATCAGAAAATGATGAATCTAATGTTTACTTCTTTAATATTCCCTTCACGCAATTTTATTTTGAACCCAATTTTGAACTATACGATGATGAATTCGATTCTAATACATTATTTCTACTAAGACTTTACTCTGAAACTTTTATATTTTTTCTTTTTGCTTATCTGATTTATGAATCAATCTATAAATCACTAGGCAGCCTTTCATAAGTTGCACCTCTTTTTTCAGTTTCATTAACTTTCTCATCAATACGATGAAGTTAAACTAACCTTTAAATATCAGATTTGTGATGGTTCAATCTTCTTTTTATTTATCTAAATTTCTACTCTACAGAATCCTTTGTTTTTATTAATAATTGATTTATCATCTTAAATGAATCAAATTATCGAGATGGTGATAATTCATCACAGTTCAAATCTTCTTCAAGCTAACCTAATGATATTGTAAATTCCTATTTATAAAACATTTTTTATAATTTATATTATAAAGTAGTATATCAATTCAGTTTTTATAAACCTTTATATTCGATGCATTGTTATTATATTATAATAAATCACAGCATATTCTTGTAACTTAGAATTTTTACGAACTTGCAATTAATTATTATAATTAATATACAATAATTCTATCTATCATATAAAGTAAAATTAACATATATAATCAAATATTATTTAAAAGTTTCAAATAAAAGTAAAATTAGCAAAATTTTAAAATAGCTTCTCTTTAAACGAAATCCTTTTTTTAGATCAGAATTCTAGAGAGTTATGTTTCTCTCAAATTCATATTTTTTACAAAATAAAGAAAAATAAAGTATAATTTCCTTAAAAATGGAAAAAAATAAAATTAAAATAAGATAGGTTTGTTAGATGACAAAATTAGGATAAATAATAAATATTATATTAATAATTAGAAATAGGAAAGAAAATTAAAATTTTTTTGAATAAAATTACAGAACAGTAAAATATAAAAGCATATATATCATTTTCTGATTAAAGAAATTGTTTTGAAGAGTATTAAATTTAGAAATTTCTTGATATAAAGTTGCCTAGACATATTTATTATTTAAGATGAAAAAATTATTGTAAGTTTTTTTATTTGATAATTTATTTTTATTAAGTTAAATAGCTAGAATGTATTAATAATGATGAAGAAATATCAAAGAATTTGATTTATTATAAATGAAGAAGTATAAAAATTAATAATTTAATATATTCGTTTTTTAGAATGGCTAACACTTGCCTATATTAACTAATAAACTCATCTGATGATAGTTGTCAATATGCAAAAGATAATTGTAATGATCAAACAATATTCCCATTTACACATTATTATTTTTGCTAACTTGATCAAAATTGGGTGATATTAATCTTAATAGCTGTATGAGAATAGAATTAATATTTGAATAGCCATTCTTGTTTTTCATATTATTTAACTTTTTAGCAAGGACAGTAGATGACTATTTATCACCTGCAGTGACATTTATAGCTGAATACTTCAAAATGTCATAAACATTTGCAGGGTAATTACAAAATATATATGAAGAGTAACTTTAATAGCCTTTGCAAATGGTGTGCCAGATTTTTTATGTGCAGTTTTAGCTTCATAAGATGATGATGGTATTTTGATCGCCGTTGGAAGTATTTTTGGAAGTGGACTATTTATGACAACAATAATAGTAGGTGCAGTAATTTTATTATCAGGAATAGTGAAAGTAGAGATTATAATATTAATATTAAGGCAGAAAAAGTACCTTTTATGAGAGATATTTTATTTAATGGAGTTGCTATTGTATTGTTGATGATTTTTGCATTTATTGGTCAAATTAATCACTACATGGCAATAGGGTTTTGTTCATTATATATAATCTATATAGTTGTTGTTTTAGTGAATGAAAACAGTATAAAGAAAAGTAATTAAATAAAATACTTATAGAGTAAAGATAAGATGAAATAAATTCATAGGAAGAAAGAAAAGAATAAGAAGAAAAATAGTTATTGGCATAAAAAGAATAAGGAGATGAAGGAAATTAAGCTATATAAAATGCTGATGATGAATTGAAAAAGGAATTAGCAGAATCTATACCCGAATCTTTTAAGAAACCATTTGGAGAAATGTCTTTCGTCTCAAAACTTAAATATGTTTATATTACATCATTGGAATTTGTTAGAAAAATCACTATTCCTGCAAGTAATCAAGAAAAATATGATAAAAAATATGCTGCTATACATTAAATTGTATGTCCAATTGCAATGATAGCATTATTAGGATGTAATAAATATGGATGATATATTTTAATAGCATTTTCAATGGAAATTTATGATATTAAAGTATGGATAATTTTAGAAGTAATTGGATTGTTTCTATTTATCTATTAAATAATATTTGAAATTCCTATAATTATATTATCAATGGAATGTGTTGTATGTTCTATTATTTGGTGTAAATAAGTTATTTAAGTTTTAATTGATTTTATTTTGGTAATAATAATAAATTAATGATTCTAGTTGATATAAACAATTACTGGAGTAAGTTATTCTTATTTAGGAATGACATTTTTAGCATTTGGAAATTCTACTTGTGATTTCTTAGTAAATACTAAATTGGCATCAATTGGTTATGGATTGATGGCTATGACAGGATGTTTTTCAGGAACTATATTTAATATGTTATGTGGATTTGGAGGAGCATTGGTTAGATTAACTGCTATAGAAAAATATCCAGGAATTGTTTCTTTTGATTTATTCAGAGATCCTAAAAGTGATTCATAAACTGATATTGTACATTACATATTAATCTTAGATTATCACAAGAATGAATAATTCTATTGCTTATTGTGTTATCATCTTTTCATTGATGAATATTATAATGACATGCATTGTAGTAATTACAAAAAAGTAATTAATCATTATCTATTTCTAGATTTAAACTCACTAAAAATTTAGCTTATTATTATTTCTTTATTTATTCAGTATTTTTTATTTTCATCACAACATTAACAGTTGCATTAAGTTCAATAGTCAGCTATTTATCCGAACAATGATATTATTCATTATAAATTAATCTACAAAATATGAATACTTATATATAATTAATGTTGTTTACTTTTAGCTAGTTATATCTAATAATAAACAGAAGTCTACTTAGATTTATATAAGACTTTTTGGATTTATAGTAATACACTTTTAACAATAATATAGAATAATATTGTGATTTATTAATTTATTTGTTTTATTGCGTAATATAAAAGATGATGCTACGAAATCGATAAATTTTGTCAATTATAAATGATTTTGCATCATCGTTATAATCATTATTAAATAACATAAGGTCAATCCTCATGTGTATATAATAATATTATTTCAATATAATTTAAAAAATGATGGCATCCTATGAGATTGTTCACTCAGATTCCTTAGTATAGTTAATGAATTCCTCATATGAACTTGATCAAATGACAAATAAATGGATGTTTGGAGAGTAAGATTAATAGTAAGCTTCCCCTCCACACAATGATCATATAAGGAAATGTAGACCTTATGAAAAACATAACTCATCAATCCTCAAGAATAATCAAGACTTATTTAATGTAAACTTTTCTAAAAGTGTATATGTAAATAAAATAAGCTCTTTGATTGAAATAGCTCCCCATCATCAAGAATCTTCAATGGCATTTAAAAAAGAGTAAAATATTATAATATACAATATAGATAAAAGAATTATATTAAAACGAAGAAATAGTTAGATAAAGATAATGGATTCTCCTAAGAAGAACAAGTCTATGATGATAGTAATAAAATAAAGTTGGCAAAAAATCGATAATCAGCAAGAGATTCAAGAAAGCGAAAGAAAATATATGTAGAACTTCTTGAGTTGAAAGTAGCTGAACTTAGTAAATAAATCGAAGTTCTCTAAAAAAACGTTGAATAACAGAATATTTTTATAAATCATTGTGTCAAGATACCCTCACTCGTATTAAAATTTTATTACTAAAATTAGATATCAGATTTTAATTTGAGTTATTAAAATTAATTCTAAATTTTAAGTTAGAATATCACAAAAAAGCAATTGTAAATTTTAGATGATGAATTTGGAGTTAATTCAGAGAGAAGAGATAGTTTGTGTAATATCATTTTCAATACTCTGGTTGATCATATATTACCTTATGATTTAAAGAAAACAATCGAAACAGCTTTAAACAGTAATTAATCTTTTTAATAAATTAGATCTTGGCATATTCAAAGTAGGAGAATAATAAGAGATTAAATAATTGATAGAATTTTAATAACAGTTTACCTAACAATATAAGAAATTTGAATTGTAATAATTTTAAATAATTTAATAAATAGAGCTGCTTATGATATGGCAAAGTCATATGAATACATAAAAAGAGAGGCAGGAGGACTTGAAAAGCTAAAAATGTAGTTGATATAACTTTTGGGTCCTTAAAAATATGTAAAAAACATTCTTGAGATTCAACAAGTTCATTAATAAATAATAGTGAAAGAAGAAGATATGAATTAGAAAGGTTATTCAAAATATGAATTATGAACTCGATTAAATTTTTATATATATATTTTTATTTAATGGGTAATTGCAATAATACTCATGATCTAAATGTAGATGAAATAAAATGTAAATATACTTTTAATTTAAGTGCCAAATAAATGCAATTATAATTTTTAATATATAATTGGAAGAGGTGGATTTGGAAAGGTTTGGAGAGCAGAACATAAAAAAACTAAACATTAATATGCTATAAAAGAAATGTAGAAATGCAAGTATATATTTTTTAAGTATATAATAGAATTATTAATAAAAAAAGTATTGGTTCTGTAATGAATGAGAGATATTTATTAAGCAATCTTCGACATCCGTAATGAAATGTGTATAACTAGATTTTTAGTAAATATGCATACAGCATTTCAAGATCGAGAAAGTTTATACTTAGTAATGGATCTAATGACTGGAGGAGACCTAAGATTTCACATTTGTAAAAATAGGAAGTTTAGTGAAGAATAGACAAGTAAAAAAACCTATTTCTTATAACAAGAATTTTTTGTTATTTGTGTTCTTTTAGCATTAGAATATCTTCATCATAATACTGTTATTCATAGAGATATTAAACCAGAAAATTTAGTTTTTGATAAAAATGGTAAATTGTTGTTAAATAACATAAAAAAGGATATTTGAGATTAACAGATCTTGGTATTGCAAGAATATGGAAACCAGGAAATGATGGAGATACAAGTGGAACACCTGGTTATATGGCTCCTGAAGTTATGTGTAGATAAGTTCATGGAGTAGCATCAGATTACTTTGCTGTTGGAATATTAACTTATGAATGTATGATGGGAAAAGTAAATAATAAACATAAAGGTAGAGACCATATATAGGTAAAACTAGAAAAGAAATAAGAGATTAAATATTATCTAAATAAATTACTATTAAATCTAATTCAATTCCAGGCGATTTGTCTGAAGAGGCTGCTGACTTTATTAATTAAATGATATAAAGAAAACCAGTTAATAGATTAGGATTTTATGGACCTGATGAAGTATTTGCCCATCCTTGGTTTTAAAATGTTGATTGGGATGCTTATTTTACTTAATCAAAATAAGCTCCTTATAAAATTAATGTATATTTAGAATTTAATTCAGTCAAATTCAGATAATTTCGACTAAAAGTTTGCCAATATTAAAGATCCTGAAGAAGATGCTTAAGCTAAATTAAACGCTGAACTTTTAAAAAGAAATTCCATTTAAGAAGCCTTTTATGGATATACTTATAAATCTTAAAATTCGTAATAATAAACAATTTAAGATTAAACTAATTCAAAACCAACAACTTCAATGAGTTAACAAATTACTCCCACAAAAAAGAAATTACTTGATTCTGAACCATAAAATGAACTAAAATCTTAAAAGAAATATAATTTAGTTTAAACTCAAAAAATTAATAAAAAGATAAACTTTACTTCTAATCCACCTCTTTCTGAAAAAGGGAAAACTAAAACAAATTTTGATTTTTGATTAATTTATATATTAATTTTTATGTGGTTTTATTATGAGATATATAAATATTGATCTGTAACACTAATATATTGTTCATTCTAAAACTTTATCGTTTAATTTATGCAAAAAATCATAAGCTACTTAAACTTTATTGTTGCAAATTTCTTTTGTAAATTAATTGAGCATTTACTTAAGCATTTTTCTTAATCTTCAGTCAATCTTTTTTCTGCTACTTTGATGCATTTCTTGAAACAAATTTGATCCTATTTAAATACTTTGGTCAATAATTAAATCTGTGCTTCTTTTTAAATAATCTATTCTCGTGATTCCATAAATAAAAAAATTAATTTAATAATTATAATCAAATATAATGATTAACATAAGTATCATTTTAGAAAAATATACTTTCAGTTTTACATTAAGATTATACATTTTAATTTCTTAATGCTTAAGATAAAACATTTTCTTAAATTCTTTCAGTAATATTATACTCAGTAGTAATTTATCTTCTATTTTTTAGTTCTTTTCTTTATCTTAATGTTTAACTTGATTTTGGTCTGATATTAAATGTTTTTGTAATAGATTCCATTCCTTTATTGATTTTATTTTAAATTAATAAGTAATTATTAGGTATATTCCCAAACTCCACTCTCTCATCCATAGTAGTTAATCTATTAGTTGATAACTTATTAAAATTCGCTATAGATTAAGTTCTTTCTAAAGCATTATCAATAAGCCAATTAAAAGAATGAAGATTAAAATTCATTTTACCCCCATACGGTTTATTCAATATATCTTCTAGTTCTTTTTTTTTATCTTAAGCCCATATTATAGGTTATCTTTTTCCTTTACTTGATTCAATAATCATCATTCCTAATAATTTATTTGCTACTTTCATTGTCAAAAACTTGCTTGTTCCCTATTCTTTCTCTTCATTATTTACAACACTATCAGAAATATCTGCATTAAAAAAACTTATATAAAATATTAAATTGTACTCAAATTATGTATTTCTTTTTTAATGTTTCATTTGAGAAACAGGTGATAAAATATCCTGTTTTGAAGTAACAATGTCACTTTGAGAATTTAATTTAGCAAATAATTCTTTTTGTAATTCAATTGGAAATTACATTACTCTTTTATCCTCAGCATGTGCAATTCTAAATGCTTCAAAAGTTTTTAATTTTGGATCTAAATTACTCATTTCTAGTACTTTCTTCATGTTATCTATCCTTTATGAAAAGTCGTATCTTTTTTTCTAGATAATAATGTAATTTTTTAAGGACTTCAATTTCTTTTATTTTATTAAGTTTTCCCCTTAGTTCCAATCTTTCATTCATTTTTTTCTCAATATTTTTTTATTTAAGTTTTTCTGATATATATAAGAATTCTTTGACAGATCTTATTTCATTTATATGAGAATAATATTTCAATTATTGTTCTGCCTATGCACTTATTACTTTATCAAAATTCTCTTATTTTTTCAAATACTCTTCCTTCGAAATAAAAGCTTCAGTTTCTTTTAAACGTTTTAAATAAACCTATTCAACAGTTGTTCTATGGGGAATCTATAATTTAGTTGTAATTGTAGGGGGTTTCGAAAGGATTATTTATTATTTAGCCATAAAAAATTAATATAATTTATCAAAATCAATTTAAATTGTCCAGATTGAGAGTGAGATCAAGAATTAGAAACAAATTAAGAATTTAACTAACTCATATATAAAAATAAACATATTGAAATATCATTGGCTTAAATAATCAAAACATTGAAAGTAAAAATAAATAATATATATAATAATAAGTATTAATCAATCATATAAATGACTTTTAGTTCATTATAGATCTCTTAGCTTCATGAAATTTAGTATAAAAGTCTCGATTATCATTTGTTTTAATAGATTTTTTCTAACTAGATCTTTCAATAAAACTGATTGAATTGTTGTTCTCTTTTTCTTCTCTTAATACTTAATTATTTCCAATCATAGAATCTCTAGTTTTATCTTCAATAGCTTTTTAATAGATATATTATTCTCTTTGAGTAGGATTAATTGATTCAATTCCTCTTAAAGAAACTAATTATAATTTAACTCCTCTCATATCAGTGATCATCTATTGTATGGAACCAGAATCTAAACAAAATTTACCTTAAATAGTAGGGCTGATCTTTTCTTGTCTAATCTGTTCAATTAAATTTTATATTTTTTTTTTCTCTTTAACAACAAAATTACAAGCTTCAACACATGATGATACATTTGGAGAACTAGATCCAAAAAATGTAATAAGTTATTCATTATATTAATTAACTCTATCTGTTTATAACTTAATTTTAGCCATTAAACCTTCTATTTCTATAAGTTTATCAGCAACTAATTCATCAGCAGCTTATAGCATTTCTTATTCTTTTAACTTTAATGTTTTATATATATCTTCAAAATTTGAAGTAATCTACATTTTTGCTTACCCTACTAAGTCTACTAAATCTTATTTTTTATTCACTATTTTACATTATTCATGTAATAAATATTCACAACAACTTTATAAAGATACTTAGAGTTGATTTCCATTTTCTCTTATTAAGTCAAAAGATTTTTAAATATTTCTTACTTCATGATTTTTATGTAATCCTTATAAATAGCATTCCATACAAAAACATTATGCTTCACAAGTAAAACAATACAATACACAACTTTCTGTAAGATGTTATTAACAAGTGATATTACAAAGTTATTATTATGATTAGTTATGATATTCTACTTGTTATATTTGTTGAGATTATTTTGTTTCTAATATTTCACTTCTTTAATCAAAATCATCAGAACAACAAGATGATTATGGATTCATTTCTAATAATACTTACACAGCTGATGGATCCAATTACGTTTTTGAAGAACATATTTAACAAATTAATGGAGGGTACATAGTATATTAACCCCATTTTGCTACAGCTTTTGCTGCACAATTCAAACACAAATTATGATCACATTGAAGTGATAGAATTTAATCGACCTAGGCTCCACATTTACAACATTCCAATAATTCACTTTCAGTATCAGACATTTAGCAGTTAATATAAATTTACTGTTAATTTTATTAATTTATGGATTAATGTCTTAATAAGCTTTTAGAATCATTGAATCAAATTTATGAGCATACCTTTTAAAAAATCATTGAAACGCTTTATAGAAGCAGAATTATTAGACCTAATACTAGAAGATCACCCATATAGACTTTGGAACTACAACCTATTGATCAGTCATTAAAATAGCCTTTAACACTGCATTCATGTTCTTCAACTCCTGTTTTTACTAAAAGTGAATCTATTTATAGAAGAGCAGAATCTGAAAAAGAGTTTAAAAAGTGTATTATACCAAAGTATTTTTTGATATTAAATAAGTCTAGGTGACACTATCAATAAAGTTGAATGCTACTCAAAAGACATTTCTTTGCTTAATTTATTTGATGATAAACCAGAATAAAATCCAAATCCTAATTAATTAGATAATCATAATATAAGAAATAAATTAGAGCTAATAATAGAAAAAAATAAAGTAAGTAATAATTTAGAAAATTTAGAATGCGAAAAAAATATATTTAATTAAAACATTGATAATAATTAAGAACTATAAAAAAAAGAAAACTCTCTAGAATAAATATCATAAGATTAATTTTATTCAATTATTGATAATCAAAATAAAATCACTTAAACGGAATAATTTTTTAGTATAATTGATAAAAGTTCTTTTAGACAAAGCTTTAACAAGACTCTGCAAAAAAAATGATTTAGTTTTATCATCTTAAATAATTATATTTTCTATATATTTAATTTACCTTTTTAAATTATCCATATAAATTAAAAATGAGAAATTTTTTTTTGAGGATTCAATTTTCCAATTATTTTTCTTTTTTCAATAATTTGATAAAAAAATGATAAAATTTTTTCTAATAATAAATCATTCACCTTTTTTTATAATTTCCTATCCTTAAAATTTTAATTAAAATGAGCCAAATATCTATTCAATCAGAAAATTTTTAAACTTCTTTTTAATAATTATGCTCAAAATTTAATGCAACATTTCAATATCATTACATATTATGATGGAAATAAATTATTATAATAATGAACAGAGGATTGGAAAAGACAAATTAATAATATTCTCAGTTAACCGATTAAGGAGAGGAATCTAACATTCTTATATGTACTTAAGACCCTATAACTTTATATAACAACGTAAATTTTAAAGGATGAGCATAGTTTATTAAAATTTATAACTTAGATGATAACAAAGTTAATGGTAATACTTTGTAATACATGACACCAAATAAAGTTGTCCAATTTATACATAACTATTTAAGAAATTATTTGGGAATGTTAGTTTTTTTCTTAATACTTATTTTGCTTCCTTTTATTAATCTCTTTTTTTACATCTTGCTTTTTGTGGCTTGGTTTAAATTACGTTAAAATTAATCTATCTTCTAGTAGAATTTAAGTATGATCATTTAAAATAATTATTAGGCTTGGTGATGGATCCCTTTGCAAATATGATTGAAAATCCAGAACTTTGTGAAATGATGAATAAAAATTATGTTATATTTGATATGGAAATTAAAGAAAATGAAGGTTTGCACTTTTCTACTAGAGTCAAAGAAATGATTAAAGATAGATCTAATGGAAATAATAAAATTAAATATACAATTTACAATACAACATTAAAGGAATAATTTTATGGATATCCAAACTCAACATTAACATACATGTAATGGATTGTAATCTCCACTTTAATTGTAGCAGCTTAATTAATATTAATGATCATTTATTTTTCGAAAATCTGAAAATTTATATTCTTCAATATGAATTCATGAGTAAATAAAAATAAATTATGTTTATGAAAATTCATTCTATCAATAAAAAACTTAAATAAATCTAGGAATTATCTTATTAAATAGATTATTACTCAATAGTTTAATTTGATTGATTAAAAATTCTTTATTTTATCCCTTAATTTAATTTAGTGTCACTACAAATTTAAGTATTACAATCTTATTATTCTTTTATATTGAAGTAATAAAATTATTCTTAATCTGTTAAATCTTCACTTAATCCAAAAAAAACTTTTGTTTATTATAGATTCAACACTTTAATCATTAATTATGTTTGTTATCGAATGCCGTAATCAATAGCACTTCAGATGATGGGCAAACAAAATTTTCACTAAAAATATCTGTTTCACAAATGGTACTATGTTCTTCTCTAATAATGCTCAAGACTCAATTAGTTTATTTCTTGATAAAATGTTTGATATAGTAAACTGAAAAAATAAAGATGTCTCTTTTAAACAATATTAAACGATAAGTCTTAAGTTTTTAAGATCAAGCCTAACTTAGATTGCTCTATTTATTCTAATTTTAATTTAATTATTTTAGATTTTCTCTAATAAAATTTCTTTCCTTTTTTCATTAATATTAATGGCATCCTGTGTAAATATTTTCCAAAGATATTTATTTTATGTTCTGAAAATTTTGAAAAAATGACGCAACAACTGATTATTGAATTTTAAATAAAAATTGAAACTCAAAGAATTTAAACAAATTTATTAAACTTAAAAAATGCATATCATATATTTTATTATATTCTTCTTTATTTTAATTATTTTCTTAAATCTTCAGGATTTCCCTCCAAAGATTTATTCCATATATACTTTTATTTTTATTATTCTTCTTTTATTTATTCTTCATGAGTTGAAAAATGATCATAAGTATCTAAATTTTGATATTTCTTTATAATATATCGTATATTTTAACCTAATAAATCTAATCTTCTTTCTAATAGTGATTTAATTTAAGACTTATTATGATATAATTATATTTACTTCAAATTTTGGTAGTTCTATTATTTTATTAGGCTAATCCTCAAATGAATAATAATATTTTTTAACCTTATTATCAGATAAGAACTCTTATTCAAATTCTTTTTCTGATAATGGTGGATTTACTTAAAGTAATTAAGTTTTGTAATCTATTCTCATTTTAAAGATATCGAATTCAACAACACAATCTTCAAATGATTAATAAGGTAAACTATTCAAAAAATCATAATTTGATTTGATGTATTCAGCTACTAAATAAACCTTATCACTATATCGAGGAATCTTTTCAAAGAATATAATACTCCATATTAATGCATCTAATTTAAAATAGTTATTTTTAACTGTCTAATGATTGCGATTAAAATGATATTCTAAATACTTTCTACTTGTCTACATATATGCTTCAATATCTCTAACTAAATCGTGTTTTTTCCTTAAATGAATTTTATCTACTTCTTCAGAAATATATCTATCACATGCCTTAAATAGTAAAGTGGATAAATTATTTGATTCTCTCGTGTTTATTTATTACAATCTATTACATATTAACCATATATGAACATTAATAATAGATAATTCAATATGAAAATCAGGAGGAATATCTAAAACTCTTAAAAATTCAATGCAATTTGTATATAACATAGTCCTAGTAAATAATGTTTATGCTATTGTCAATAACCTTTTTTTGGATTTTTATAAGGCATGTTTTTCAAAAAAATGAAATAACAATTTCTCTTTTATTGAGACCTCATCTATTTTCATCAATTATTAATAAATTTTAATCTTTTAATTTAATAATAATGGCTCATAAATTGGTCTTAAATCATCATACAAATTAATATCACGTGCCATCCAATTTTTCATCAACTCAACCCTTCTTTGTTAACTATGTGTCCATAAACATTTATCTTTTGATCTTTGTTATATTTGATATTTAAAAAATTTCTTTTATTTTAAAGCTAAATATCTAAATTCAATCTCTCTTTCTAATTAGCTTAAAGGATCTCCAAAAAAAAATACTTAATAAAGTTGTAAAATTTAATTTCTTATTTAATTATATTAGTCATATTTAATAAGAGGAGGCATAGCACCATTTATCAATACCTTCTTTGTGTATTCATCCATCATTGGTTTAAAGTGTTCTTCACTTATTATTGAAATAATATATTAGGAATCCATCTAATCATTATCATACATGTTTTTTAATCTATTTTCACTTAATAAGATTTTTAATGGTTATAATTGCTATATTTTTAATTAATCTTAAATATCTTCAATTTATTAGATGACATACATTCTTCCAGGAATCTCATGCTTCTAAGTCCATCTTTTTTATAAAAAAGCCCTCAATTAATTACTAAATTACATAAATAGATTTTGGATATCTTTCCAAATCATAATCTTGCATGATTGATTTATTTCCAATTTCTACTTTTGCTCTTTAATGTTGATTAGAGTAAACAGAAAACCTATTAAAAAATTTTCTTAACATAAATTTTAATTATTTTAATAAAATTCTCATTATATAACAAAAATATAGAAATTTAACTTCTTGAACATTTATTATCAAAGTTTTGTTAATTCATAATCATTTTTATTTTAATTTTTATAAACTAGACTTTGCTAGTCTAATAGAAAATTTTGATCGTTTGCTATTAAAAACTTTACTAATTTTAGATTCAATCTTACTAATGAAGAAATTACTAATTATTTTTTATTAGTTGGAATCATTTTGTTAATAATTTAATAATAAAATATATTCATTAAATTAAAGATGATTATGAATGAATCTCTAACATAATTGGAGATGGAAAAAACAGCTTAGTTTTTTAATCCCAGAAAAACAATAATGAAGTAGAAAACCATGAAAAAATTGCAACCAATTGTAGATGAATAAATAATGAAAGAATTTTCCATACCTACATTTAATAGAAAGATAAGCTAATAAGAAATCTATGACTTCGATTACATAATTTAATAACAACTACAAAAATATAGTAGTCAACCAAATATATTGTAAAATAATCAAAATTTTAACAATTTCTATCTCATTAAGTCCTCGCAATAACCAAATAAATTACAAAAACCTTTGAAATCTCTTCTAGGAGTTTAACAAAGATTATTATTTCCAAAAAATTAATCAACTCATCTCATTATTAATGAATAAAGTAAATAATCTACACCTGAGAAATGTAGAAGAAACATAAGAGTATTACTTAATCCCTTTAATTTGGAAAGAAAATCATCTGAAAATTAATAAAATAGAATTTCTTCGTAAAGTTTAAGACCTTCTAAATCTCAAGGCAAAACTTTCTTACAAAGAAAAGCATAAATCGGTGTCTTAAATAGAATATTCTCTTCAAGATCATAGGATTAGATTTGAATTATAACATGTATTTATAAGTTAATCAACTTTATACCATAATTTATTAAATAAATAAATATAAATATGAGATAATAACAAGTTTTTCAATCTTAAAATAAAAAGATGAGTTGTATTTTTAGTTTAATGTATAAAGATTATGTTAATTTTGAATTTTGAGTCAAATAATAATTGAAAAAGTTATTGAAAAGGAGAATTTCAAGAAAAATATATATGTACAATGTATTCAAATGAAAATTTTGTTTTTTAAATCATTTAAGATGATTGAGATTGGATAGGGTAAATTATTTGGAAGATGTATAAATTATTATAAAATTTATTTTATTAATATATTAGTTGTAATGTATTTATATTTTAAGTGATTATATATCGAAGAAATTCATAATTTAAATAAAAATTAAGAAGAAGAGGGGATTAATAATAGAAATGAGAAACTGTTTGTTTATTAATATACTTGAATATATTGCAAGTTTATCAAAGAACTGAACCAGCAGCTGATGCAATCTTTGGCCATAAGTCGGCAGCTTCTTTTCCTACAGGACCTGTAATAGCAGATCCTTTCATTTCACCTTTAGGATTAATGATAACACCAGCATTGTCTATAATTAATGATAATTCAAACCTTCGAAATAAATATAATATCCTTCTCGACGTCTGTATGGTTTTCTTTATCTAACAACGACTGCTTACATAACTATGATAGTAAATTTAAATTACCCTTCTTTCTAAGTGCTGGCTTACCCTATTTGACTGAGCATAAGACCATATCACCAATGGAAGCAGAGGGTAATCTGCTCAAATGTCCTTTAATTCCAAAAGTAGAAATAACATAGATATTTTTGGCTCCTGAGTTATCAGCACAGTTAAGGACTGCACCAACATTGCATGCAAGTGTAATTCTCAATTTAATACCAACTTATCCTCCTCTTCCTCTCTTTGACATTCTTAAATTTAATTAATTTTAAAAATAGATTTGTGAATAATTTAAGTGTTAATAAAGTAATCACCATGGTCTTTTAATCTTATTGAATTACTAGCATGACTCTGCTAAAAATTCTATTTATGAAAAATTTAAAGCATCGAAATCATCAAATGTGGTGAATTTCAACTATTATACTATATTATAGAATCTAATTCATATTACATTTAAGCAATTCTCCAAATGAATCTATTTCATTATCAGAATCCTTATAACTTGATTTATCTGGATTACTTTGCTTTCTCTTCTATTAATATTCAATAATAGCATCTTTAGGAACAGATATTGATTACTTTAGTATCATACTTTATTTTATAGTACCCCTTCCTGATCTTTATGATTAAATAGTTTTAATTGAATTTTTTTAATAAAGTGATTTGATATCATTAGTATGTATAGAGAAATCTAATTAAAATTCTTTACTTTATTTAGATCCATTAGATTCAGAATTTTTAATACTCTTTACAGATTACTTATTGTGAAAATCTAATCCTGAAACCATCTAAAATGATTTATAATTTGTTTCTGATGCTATTTTAGTATAATGAGTAATAAATGAAGATTCTAATGCTTCTAAAGTTGTGAATCTTTCTTCTTATTTTGGTTCTAACATCTTTTTCACAAGACTCTTTAATTCAATACTAACATCAGGCCAAGGAGACTTTTCGTAATTTACTTAGCATTTTGAATTCAAGATTTAGATTTAACTAGGTTTTCCTCTAAATGGAGCATAACCTGCTGTCAACTATTATTTAATTATTAAATATTACTATATATAATATACAACCAGCACTAAATACATCTCCTTTCTAAGTATATGGATAACCTCTAAATATTTCTGGAGCTAAGAATCCAGGTGTACCTGCCTTACTTATTAACTCTTTTTCATTTATTTCTTCAGCAAATCCAAAATCAACTAATTTTATCTGAAAATGCTCTTTTGATTCCATCATTATATTTTCTAACTTTAAATCCCTATGTACAAACCCATTTTAATGCATTTCAAAAAGAGCATCCAAAATACCTTTCATTAATTATGCTATTTATTTTTCTGATAATTTTCCTTTGGATTTGTAAAATTGATATAATGTACCTCCTTAACAATATTCAACAATGATAACTAATTTATCTTTTTCTTAATAAACTTCATAAATTTATTCTATTCCTGGATGACTTAATGTTTTTAAAGCAATAACTTCATTATATACCATTTACTGCACTAATGTGTTTAATAATTTTATACTATAAATTTATCTTTATGTTTATTTTCTTCAAACAAATTTCTATAAATAACTTTAGCTGCAAACACATGTTCATCCCTTTTTCTTTAAACTTTGTAAACAGTAGCAAATGCTCCACTACCAAGAGTATCTATTTACGTATACAAATTATCATATCCTCTCATTAAACAAAACTCTTAAAGAGATTCACTTAATTTTAATGTCTATTCAATTTAATGATCAAATATAGATATTCCTATTCCTTCAACTCTTTCTAAATATAATACTGGCACATTTTATCCTTTCTTTGTCTTTTAATATGAGATTATTACTCTACTATCCATGCTCAATTATAGATACCCCTTTGGTTCTTTATCTGACTCCTATGTAAATTTTATTTAAGTTTACTTTCTTAAAATACATCAGCATCCCAGATTCTGTCAATTTAAAATAATATCCTTTTATACTTTTTTTCTTTCTCCCTATTCTTAACATTATCCCTTCAAACAAATATCCTTCACTATTCCAATTTTTATTATGGTCTTGTTAAGTCCTTCTATTCCAAAATTATTTTATAGTTTCATCTCTTTTTACTCTAAAAAATGGCCATTTTGCTTCTCCAACAAACCTTTAAATTTTTGATACTTATTTTTGGGCTTTCTTAATATGTATTGATGAATTCATTATTATCTCATTTTTCACTATTGGAGTCTTAGATTAATTTTAATTATCATCTTAACCTTGATGTTAAAATGGTTTCGAAAAAGAATGAGTTCTTTAAATATTTTCATGAATGTTTGTTGAATATTCTTAACCTAATCCTTTTATTAAGACCGGTTAATTATTAATATAGCTGCCTTTAAATATTGTTTAAGCTTATTTCTCTCTTATAGCTTCTTCATTTTTTTATGTTTTTTTCATTCAAAGAAATTATTTATGCAAATTAGATGATTCAAATTAATCCGATATTATATTTCAAATATGATAGACTCCTCTAATAATAGACTGAATGCATTATTTAGATCAATTACTTCTAAAATTAATATTCATAAGTTATAGCTAATAAATTAACAAATCAAATCAGTTAATTTATGATAATGCTGATTTTCAACACTATCAACTAAAGTAAAAATTCAGAATTTAAAACTTCAAATCAATTTTATCCACTTATGATATCAATAAATGATTAATTTTTATAACTATGGATTTTTATTCCAAAAAATAAATTTATTTAGATTTTTTATGAATAAACTTCAAATATTCTTTTATTGAATTTCTTCAAAAAATTTATAGCACGAAAATGTATTTCAAACAACCTATTTATTATTTAAAACAAAAGTATTTGTAAAACCAAAGCTCAAAATTTTATAGTTTCAAATTATAAAAATCTATTTTTACCAAGAGTACCACTTAAGATTTTTCAATAATAATAAGAAAGATATTAATAATTAAAAAACTCAAAAATCAATCCTTTAAAATTTTATTTAAGTTTGTTTCTATTATAAAAAATTATTTAAATTTGCAACTTGAAATTAATTCTTTTAATTTGATATGCTTAACAATATTTTAAACAATCATAGAATTCTTAATGCTTTGAATATCATCGAAATTTTAGCATAACTCTAATGAAAAGATATAGATATTTTCTATGATGAAGATTTGCCATTCAGAGTAAAAAGATTAAAATTTTTGAATTACATTTTCAATAAAAGCAAATTTATAATTGAATAAAAGATAATCTGATCAGATTATAAATAGTTCTATCAAATTCTTATCTATTCGGATATTTTAGTTAATTAAAATATTGCATCGAAATAGTTTAACATGTAATTATAATAAATCAACAAAAATTTATTTGAGATTTTATATTTCTATTTGAGAAAAGAAAGTTAAATAATTTTTTGAAAATAAATTTCATCAAATTTATTATTTCAACATCATTATAATAATTTTGAAACATCAACTAAAATCAGAATACTCTTTAACTTTACTATTTATGTAGAAGCTAAATTAAAAGTAAATAAAAGTAATGGAAGTTTAATTATATCATAAGAAAAACTTATTAATTGACATAAAATTATAAGCAAACAAATATTGAAAAACTGCCAATTGATAAAATAAAGGATAAACTAAATAAATTATAACCCTATTTGTAGGTTTTAATGATAAAAAAGTAAGTATTAAAAAACAGAGAATAAATTAATTATATTCATTGCATTTGTAGTAATTATTAACTCCAATTCTAAGAATTTTGATCATTTCTATTTTTAATATATGGATTTGCTCCATTTAAAAGTAATAAATCAGCGATATCATAATATCCAAATGCAATCGCATAATGAAGAGCTGTGTTCCCCTCTAGCTATATTTAAACTAATAATTTACATCTTTAACATTTAATAATACATTTTTATTGATCATATACTAAACAAGTTCTTTATTTCCTGATTAGGCAGCAATCATTATCAACGGTTTTCCTTATGCATTTCTAGAATTAAGTGAAAAATTTGGATTTTATCTTAAATAATCGATAAACTCATCAATTAAGTTGTGTTCTATCATCATTTACAAAACTACAATGGCTGAGTTTTCTTATCTGATTGCATAATCAAATATCTATAGATTTTACAATTTTAATTACTATTTATATTTTACAGGCTTAAATTAAAAATATTTATTACTTTATCTTTATAATACTTTTAAATAACATCCCTTTAGTCACTTTCATTTGTATGAACTATTTCATCTCCTTAATCTAATTCAATTTCTGAAAGATTTTGCATCGATTTACTTTTTCTTCTTTTAAGTTATATGTCTGATAATTCAGGAATATGTAAATTTCTAAGACCCCCAGAATTCTATAATTTTTTTTAAATTTGAAAATTCTCTTTTTAAAATTCTAATATTGATTTTCTCCCTTAAAATTTTGCTTCTCTAGTTTATTTTCTGAGATTCATCATCATAGCCTTTTTATCCAGGATGGCAGGGATTTATTATTATTATAAATATAAATAATTATTGTGCTCTAAGTCAACAATATCATTATTATTTTTATAATTACCTTGCAAAATATCAGAATATTTTTTAAAAATAATTTTTGCAATAAATCTTCTTATTTCGATTTTATCATATTCCATATTAAGAGCAATTTCATCTATATTATTTTAATAAATTATTTTATCCAAATCAGTAGATTCAACAGATAGCAATAAATTTTTCGTTTAATTGTCCAATTTATTAATAATTGGATAGATTTTATATTATTAATAGTCTTATGATTTTTCAATTTAAAAGTATTCTAATTTTTTTCCTTGAATATCTTCTAAAGAATCTTGTATTAAATATTAAGATTAGAATTCTTCATCTTTTACTTCAGTCAATATATCTATTCTAATCTATATTAATTATTAATTTTTACATTCCAAATGAAATAATTTCTTATTTGTATCTGAATTATTATTCTTCAATTTCTGTATGTGTAATCTTAATATTATGATTTTCTATATATAATCTTCTTAAATCATGAATAGATTCAAGTAATTAAATATTTTTTTATTATCTATCCTCTATAATTTCAAGAAACTCGTTTATTTAATGATATAAACGAAACTTATTTAGGCATTTTTCAACAAACTAGTTAAAGTATAATTTGAATTGTTGTGAAGATTTTGTATATTTTTATTACTCTTAAAACTAAGTTTGAGAAAAATTTTCCTTCCAAATTTTTGAATATTTTCTAATTAACAATTTAGATTCTGATTTCTCACTTTATGAATCTTTGATATTCTTTAGTACTTTTTACAAAAAAATTTATTATTTTTAAGTTCCATATTTATGCCGCTTGAACAATTATTTTGATTTTCTTTCATATTCTTAATAAGTTATATTTACAAATATTTAAGTTTTTTTTAATGATCCTTGTTTCATAATGATTGGATTTTCATCCAAAATATCGTTATGCTATTTCATTATTTTTATTAAAGCCTCATTATTTTATTAAATACTCCTTGCTGAACGAAATGAAGATTGATAAAATTATTTTTGCTTCTCTAAATCATGCTTATCAAAAATAGGATTATTAATACTGATTTTTTACTGTTGTTCTTTAGCAGTTATTTAATAAAGTGAGACTACTCTATTAGTTTTTGTCAAAGTGTTAATTTAAAATTCAGATGATAATAGGCTTATAGATTATGGTCTATCTGTATTAATTGCTTAAACTTATTCATCTAAATTTTATGATAATTATCCTTTTATATTAGTTGGTGTAGTCGAATAACTTCTTTAATGTGATGTAGTATAAGCCCTTGAGGAAGCTGGAGTTGGCTTATAATTCTTAATGATTTGATCTGTAACTTTAGAATTTTGTAAATATATTGCCCTGTCACTATTACTTTAAACTATTCTTCGAGCAATGTAGAATGTAGATTTTGTTTAGGATTTTGCTTAAACAACATCTTATTTTGGGAATTTCAATTTCAAATGATGTTTAATCATTAAAATAATTATAAATAAACAAAATATAATCACCTTTCAAAATACTTCTTATGTATATTTGAGATAAGGTTAAGAAATGTACTTCTATTTTTAAGGTATTCTTATCTGATTCAGTGATTTTATTTTTAATTATCCATTTTATGTATTTAGAGCTGGAGATTAAGTTAAATTATTAACTATTCCTAAGGTCTTCATTGATAAAAAATTTTAGAAGAGTTTTAATTCTTCTTTCAGCTCTTATTAATCATCTCCTTTTAGTGGTTTATTATAAACTTATTTTGTTCTGGCTGTAAATGTAGCAAATTTTTTCAATAATTTCACTGTTTTCCAATGTCCATATAATTAAGCAAATCTATTAGAAATCTAAAACACATTTATTATTAATAATACTTCTTTATATTTTTCAGAGTTCTTTTTGTAATGTAAGAACTATTACCATGGATTCAAATAAAGCTTAAGCTTTAAAAAAAAGAATACAAACTAAACTAGATTGAGGATTGAAATTCTAATTATAAGGTATTTATTATAGCTCCAATATTCTAATAATTATTGATGATATATACTTTTCTTCTTCTGTTAATTCTTTCTTTTTATTTTCCTTCTTTTTATCTTGAAAATATGCTGGTTTTTATTTATCAAAAAATCTTCTACTAGTAATTTTATTGGAGTTACTATCAATAACATAATTGACTGATTCTTAAAATAATTTTAATTATCTTCCAAATTAAGTTACTTTCTCTTAACAAATAAAGGATGGGGAAGTATCCAACCATACTTATTAAGAATCTTTCATCTAATTTATCATATTTAATCAATACTTTTTGAAAGGATTTAAGAATTTCAGCCAGTAAAACAGATTGAATTTTTAAAATCATCACAGAAAATGTGAAAACATTAAAACTTTTTTGATCCTTTCAAAATATTTCATATAGTAATACTTTAGTAATAATGCTTTCTAAATGTTTATGAAAATCATGCATTTCTGTTTTACATAAAACTAATTCAGTATTTTCAAAGAGTAATCTATCTTCTAGAGGTTATTCTGGTTCGAATAATTTAGCTGTAAAGATTGGGATTTTATAAGTCTCATCAAAATATTTAATTTCGATATAATTTACTTCATCTTCTTTATTTTAGTGAGTATTATTTATATCTAAATAAACCATTTCTAAATACCAAAGCTATCAAAAAAATCAGAAAGGTCATCATCTTCATCAACTGAGTCTTCTTATTATTGATCATCATAAACAGGGAATTAATGATCTCCAGGAGGAGCTAAAAGTTTTTCTTCTGTTTATTTCTTGATAACTTAATCTGATTCAGCAAAAGTTGAAAATTAAACTGATGGAGTTACATTTCTAAAACTAGGGAATGGCCTAAAATTTGATTCTTCTTCGGAATCTTCATCATCACTGAAACATTCTAAGAAATCTTCAAAATCTTAATCTAATTAAGCTCCATCATCTTATGCTAACCCATTAAAGATATCATCAATGTCATCTAAATTTTTTAAAAGATTAATTTAGCTTGAGTCCATAGAAAGAGGTGGTTGATTCATTATTTTTATAAATTTTATAATATTTATGATTATTCAATTATTTTTTATTCACCCTAATATTTTATATTAACAGCGTTTCATTATATTTAATACTATACTTACTTACTATTTCCTTATAAAAATCAATGAATATTTTAAATAAAGTTATTATTGAGATTTCTTTGAAATTCTAATTAATCATCATCGATCTCTTATATATTTTTGTTATTTATTTCTACTTTTTTCTCTCGATCATTTGAAAACAACATAATTGCCATTTTCTTCGGTAAAATACACCTTCTAATCTCCACGTTTGTACTTATTCAAATCAACAAAATTAAACATAGCTTTCTTTTTTACAATTTTTATAAATTAAATTTAAAATAAATTTTTTTTCTAAATATTTGCAATTAAAATCTTTATTGATAGAATACTCATTATTTATCTCCATTTTACTTATTTTAAATAATAACATATTATTGTGTTTATAGCCTTAAAATAGTTTTGGAGATATTTAATTTATTATAGATTAAAATCTAAAAATTTAATCTAATTAAAACTTTGATATCAGGAAATTAGTTTTATTTCAAATAATACATATTTTGTTAATAAAGATTTTCAAAATAAACAACCTTGACACAATTTTATAGATTTATTAAAGCTTCCAGAACCTTTAAACAGGAAAAATTATAAATTGAGTGTTAGAAATAAATTAATATCTACCCAACTAATTTTTTTTTTAACATCCTTTTTTCAGTTTTTCAGATTAAAAGTTGCTTATTAAAAAAACTACTCGAAAATGAAGTAGTGTTTCAAAATATGCACATTTTTGATATTGCTAAATATAAAATTTAAAATTATAATAAACTAAGAAAATATAAGAATCTTCAAAAATAAAAATCGAGAAAATGTTACTAATTTAATTTTAAATCTTAGCAATTAGTAAATTGGAAAAAAAATTTAATATGACATTATAATTATAAATAATTATGAAATTATTAAGAGTTGAATGAAAAAACTTGAGATGCATTTTATTTCAAACTAAAAAAATATCTATCTAAGCGAAGTAGGATTGTCAAATATTTTAAATTTAAAACAAAATTTTTTTAATAAAAAAAATTATTTGTCAACATAAAAAAATAATATTCCTGATTTATTCAATAATGATTTTATATTAAATAGTTTTATAAATAGATTTATTGTAAATATTTATCGAATTTTCACACTATCATTGCGTACTTCCAATTTAATGACTTAGCCTAATGAACAAGATTTTCACTTTGATTTTGTAGACTTTTAGTCACTTCTTCTTCTTAAGATTCTTTAATTGTTAAGAGTTACTTAAATTAAGAAAAATATATTACTATTATTATCTATATTTAATGGATTATATAGAATTAGCAAAAGTTTATCACAATTATATTTGGATTTATTTTAGAGATTCAACTCTGACAACAGTTTGATTATTTAATTATTCTTCTTAATGACTTTATTCTTCATATTTTTTCAGTAATCTCCAAACCAGTATTATTGTTCTTCTTCACCAGGCTTTTTTATTATTAAAATATAATATAAGTCTAATAACAATGGAAAAGTTTTCATTTAAATTTGATAATCGGCTTCATTAAATAATTATTTCAATTAAATGAATTCGCTTAACTCTTACTTCAAAAAATAGATTTTAGATTAGATAAATTCATTGTTATCATTTTGATTGTCAACTATTCCTTAAAAATTATGAACTGATTGATCATTATATTACCCAAATTCGTCATTCTTTATTTTCTTCTAATCTACTAAGTTACTTATCAGTTACTAGTAATTTTATCTATTTAAAAACTTTTAATACTTTTTATTTTTCAGATACTCTGATATTAAATGGCTGAGAATAATTCTATCTTTTCTTATGGAGAAGTAATATCATTTGATAATTAAGGTTGTATTAAGTCAACTGGAAGAGGTTAAATTGGTTTTAATTTTAAGCCTTGCCACCACAGTTCCCATAATAAAAAAAGTAAATTAATTTATATTAAGTCAAATTATATGTGTCATGTTTTGTTTAATTATAATATCTAAAATCAAATCTTAATATCTCATTTATCTGAAGAAGATGAGGAACTACTTTCTGACGAAGAATCAGAATCCGATGATGATGAGGATGAAGAAGAGGAGGATGATTCATTTGATGAAGAACTAGATTTACTCTTTCTCTTTTTCTTAAATAATATTATTAATAATTACTTATGTAGATTTATTTGATTATTTATTTTTTGTTATCACTTTTTACTTTTCTTAATCTTATTTAAACTTTTAATTATCTTTTTTATCATTTTCTGTAACATTTTCAACTTATTTAGTTTTATCTTTATTTTTTCCATCTTCTTATTATAATAATTTTTCTTTGGATTTTTATTCATCTTTTTTTAATTTTTCTTTCTCTTTTTTTCTTTATCTTTCTTTTTCTAATTCCTTTTCTCTTTCTCTTTCTCTTTCTTTTTGTTTTTCTCTCTCTTTTAATTACTTTTCTCTTTCTAAATCCCTTTCTTTCTCTTTCTCTTTCTCCTTCTCCTTTTCTTTTTCTCTTTATTTTTCTCTTTCCCTTTCCTTTTCCTTTTCTCTTTATTTTTCTCTTTCCCTCTCTTTTTCTTTTTCTTTTTCTTTTTCCCTTTCTTTTTCTTTTTCCCTTTCTTTTTCTTTTTCTCTTTCTCTTTCTCTTTCCCTTTCCCTTTCTTTTTCTTTTTCTTTTTCCCTTTCTCTTTCCTTTTCTCTTTCTCTTACCCTTTCCCTTTCTTTTTCCATTTCTTTTTCCTTTTCTTATTTTTCTAATTCCATTTCTTTTTCCTTTTATTTTATAGTTTCTTTTTATTTTGATAAATTTTATTGTTATTCAAGTTATTTTTCTTTTTTTTTACTAATAATTTCCTTTTCATTTGAATAATCTCTTTCGTATGACTTATGTTTATGTCTCTTTTTATCTTTTTTTCTTTTATTTTAGTATGAATTACTATCACTGTCACTTTAACTTGAACTTCTATGTCTTTTTTTTCTTTTTTCAACACTTTTTTTTTTTTTTTTATCTTTTTTTAATTTTTCTTATTATTATTATTGTTATTATAATTTTTGTTAACAATCTAATTATATTTACAATTATAATAATTGTTATTCTTATAATTTTTAAATTTCTTGTTAATCAATAACCAAATCATTACTAGCTTTAGTGTGAAAATAATCTTTTTTAAGTTCCAAAGATTCTATAAAACTTTAATCTTTATTTTTGCTTCTTTATGCTAATTCTCTTTATAAATTTAATTCTTTTTTTCTTCTTTATGCTTTTTTTAATAATGACCATTATTAATGAGCACTTTAACAAAAATCTACATGTATTCTTCGTTCATCTATAATGACATTTTCCATTTTCATATAAGCTTCCTCACATGCTGCAATAGTTTCAAATTCAATAAAAGCATACTACAGAGAAGATCCAGTTTTCCAATCTCTAACAACTTCACAACTTTTAATAAGTCCAAATTTAGAAAAAATAACTTCTAAATCCTTTTCTTCAGTTATGGGATTTAATTTACATACATATAATATATTTTCTGGAGGTTTCATATCTGCATCTGGAATATCTCCTAACATTTCTAATGTTACTGCTCTTTTCTTTGATTGATGCTATTTAGTTTTTTATAATAATTATTCTTCATCTTCTTCAATTAAAACTTTCTCATCATATTCAATTCTTCCTTCTGCTTTATAATTAGGAGAAGGAGATCTTGAAGGATAAATCATATGAGGTAAATCTTCAAAAGGATCTTCAAGAATATAAGTATGTTTAATTCTGATATTTAATAGTGGTCTTCCATCATCATCTATATGGGTTCTATTTATTTATTATAAGACTTCTAGACCTTCTTAAACTTATCCAAATATTGTATGTTTGCCATCTAATTAAGAAGCATTTGATGTCAATAAAATATAAAAATCAGAATTATTTGAATGTGGCTTAGGATTAGCAGTAGCTACAACTCCAAATTAATTATGCTAGAGTATAATAATTAATAAATACTCTTAATAATGGATTGATTTAATCTTCAAAATATGGTTAATTGTATATAGTTGTAGGTGGATTAACACTTTTTATTGATGTCAAGTAATCTTTTTAAACATTGTAAAAAAGTGCTCCATTATAAAATTTGGATTTGCACAGTTTAATGAAGTTTTTAGCTGCTACACTGACTTGGACATGTAGATCAATAATTATATCTCCTAATGAGGTTTCTAAAACAATTGACATAAATTAAAATTATTATGCGTCAGATCATTTTAGATGACTCATTAATTAAATAATGTTTCAAAATTAAGAAGGATCTTAAGGTGAAGTACTCCATCCTAAAACTCATATGTAAATATAGGCTGTCTAACATGAAAAAATTATTTAAGGCTTTGATCATGATCCTGATAAATTTTTAGGTGAATTTCAATTCAACACTCATTAACTAACAAGATAATATATAGTTGGAGAAGGTACTAAACAACATTAATTTAATAGGAACATAGTTAAGATTATATTTTACTAAAATAACTCCTAAAAATATTTAACTCAAAGCATCATTAGCAATTATACATGGATTTGGTGAACATTCAGGAAGATTTTTACATGTATCTCTTTTACTTTACAATAATAGTTAGCAGATTTTTATGCCAAAGCTGGATTTGAAATATATATGATTGATTTAAGAGGATTTGGTTATTCTGGTGGTGCAAGAGGATGTGCAACATAATAATAATTGCTTTTAGATGTTAAAGTATTAGTTTAATAAGTAAATCCATAATTACCTTTGTTTTTATATGGTCATTCTATGGGAGGATTAGTTGTATTAGCTTTTACATTATTAAATCCAGCTATCTAAATTGCTGGTGTTATTGCAACAAGTCCATTATTGGGATTTCCATCTGATAGAAAATTAGATTGGTTAAAACTTAATTTTGTTACTACTGCAGGTAAAAAATTAGAAGACATGGTTGTTAATAGTATGGTTAATCCGACTGCTTTAACAAAAAATAATAATTAATTAAAACATTCCTTTGGAGATAGATTAATGATACCCTTCTGTGGTTTAAGTATGGCTGCTTCTATCTTATCATCAGTAAAGATGATGAAAGGACATGCTCATCTATTTCATAAACCATTATTAATTTTACATGGAAAATAAGATGCTGTTACTAATTATCATGATTCTGTTTATTTCTTTGAAAATTGTAAAAGCTAAGAAAAAGCCTTAAAACTATTTGAAAATGGCTATCACGAATTATAACATGATGAAGAATGCGATGAATTAATGACAATTACCTTAGATTGGTTATAAAGGCGTCTAGACAACGCTAAAATCCTTGGTAATGTTCCAACTGTCATTAATGTACAACCCATAAAGAGAAAATCAAATAAAAAATTGAAGATTATCTTAGCAATATTGATTGCAGCATATTTTATTATAACCATAAAGTAAATATTGTTATATAATCAATAGATATAAGGATTTAGCTTAGGGGTCTAAACTTAAGCAACTAATTATCCCATTATTGTTATTTAAAAAATGAATAAATTAGTTTATTATTTTTATCCGAGTTATATATATAAAAAATTTTAGAATCAATTTGTAAATATTAAAATAAACCCTTAAATATTATATAACAATAGTAAATAATTAGAATTCTAGTGTAAAATCATTTACTAGTAAAAGTATTAATACATCTGATTAATCAAAATAATCTACAAAAAATATTCTTTTTTTTCTTTAAAACTATAATGTATTTTTTCCAATTTTCAACAATAATTATCTACCTCTCTGACTTAGTAGATCCTAATATACTTAATTTTTACTTTTTCTTATAACTATAAGCAAATAGTATAGCATAGTAGGAAAGTTCTTTTCTTTGAATTCTTGGCATTTTAATTTAGATTAATTTTAGCCTTTACCTAAAAGGAAGAAAAGAATATTCGATAATTCAAAAATAAATAACTAAAATTTTAGTTTGAGAAGTAATTATTAAAAAAGTTTAAGAACTATTTATTAAATAAGAGTTAAGATAGTTTTATTATATGAAAGGCAAATAATAAAATCCAGCTATAATAAGAGGTAATCATATGTATTGTTTAGTTCTTGATTTCATTCTACAATTTCAATTTACTTCTTAAATATTTAGATAAGTTATTTTATTTATTTATTATCTTTTCTCATATTTATTAAAGTTTAACTAAAATATCTATGTTGTTTAATATCTTTATATAATTGATAAACTTAAATTAAAACTCATTACAAGAATTTTCTTGTTATTTTAAGATACTAAATGTGATAAATGCTTCCATTAAATAGAATATAGTTGGAGCTAAATCAATACTAAATATTTATTAATACTATAAATAGTATAATAATTTCATATGGACTATGCCTTTTATAATTGCCATCTAATGTGATACTAAGATCTCCTAAAAAATGATATTGCGTTATTATCCATTTCATAATAATTTTTATACAATTCAATGATAATTAATTGCTATCATTATAAAGACATCCAGAGTGATCAAATCTAAGAAGATATCTATCAATAAATTATATTTATTTTCCTTGATTGATTCCACAATATTATCATGAGAATCTTCATCTCTAATATAGAGAGTCTCTAATTACTTAAAATCAAATGATTTTGGAAAAATATGAAATTATGAATCATCTTGCAATAATGCTATTTTTTATTACATCTTTTGATGAAATAGAAAGTAAAGTAATTATGATCAAATAAATGAATACTTAAAGTATCTATCAAAGAAAAATAATCTTCATGAACTAATCATTTAATGAATTACTTTCATAAATATCCTCATAAGTTATCTTGACTTTAAAATATCTATTAAAAATAAAGACAGAGTCAATTAACATACTAAATGAATTATTATTCGATATTTAATTAATTAATTATAAAAAAATGTTGTCTTAGATTAAAGTTTTAGAATTTGCTGGTTTAGCCCCAACTGTATTTATAGGCATGGTTTTAGCAGATTATGGAGCATAAGTGACAATATTATCAAGGCTTGATGCTTAGCCTTAAAATAGTCCCATGAATAGAGGAAAAAAGAGCATGACATTTGATTTGAAAAACAAATAAGATATAGATATAGTTAAAAGAATGGTTAAAGATAGCAATGTGTTAATTGATCCATATCGTCCAGGAGTGTTAGAGAGATTAGGATTATCTTATTAAATTTGTTCAGAAATTAATCCAAAATTAATTTATTGTAGAGTTACTGGTTTTGGTCAAAATAGTCCATTAAAAGAAAAAGCTGGACATGATATAAACTTTATTTCTTATGGAGGAGTTCTTGCATATTGTGCTAGTACAGGAAATTAAAAAAGACCAGCTATTCCTGGTAATGTAGTGGGAGATTTTGCATCAGGAGGAATGCTAGGTGTAGCTAGTATTTTAGCAGCTTTAATCAATATTTAAAAAGGTGGGAATGGATAGTTAATAGATTTGGGAATGGCTTAAGGAGCTGCTTATTTAAGTTAATTTATTTTACATTAAAAAAATGAAAAACTTTGGTCAAATGGAATTGGTAATAATGTACTAGATGGTGGAACACATTTTTATAATATATATTAATGTTAAGATGGAAAATTTATGAGTGTTGGATGTTTAGAAGAAAAATTTTATTAAGAATTTATTAAAGCATTAATTGTAGGTGGTCTTACTCAAGAAAGGTATTATTTTATTTTATAACTTAGAGGTTAATTTTTATTGGAAAATTAATTAAATTCTAATGAGTGGGAAAATTTAAAATCAGAAATTTCATAATTATTTTTGAAAAAAACAAGAGATTAATGGGAGAATATTTTTGATTAATTTGATGCTTGTGTATCACCTGTGGTTGAATTAGAAGAATATGAATCTAAAAAATATTTAGGAGAAAATGTCTTTACTAAAAGGAATGGTTAAATTGAAGTTAGTGGACAACCTATTTTTTCAGACCATAAATTTTAACTAAAAGAAATTCCTAAAATTGGCTAACATAATCATGAGAAGCCTAAGTTATGATTTTATAAATAAATTTCAAGATCAATTTAATTAAGTTAAAATTGTATCTCAATAAAATCCTTATATATTTCCAAAAATTATCAAAATTATAAAATATTTCTAACATTTAGTTAAGTTCTGACTTTAAATAAAATTCCTTAAAATTTAATACAAGAAGAACCATAAATTATTGTTTTTTTATAACGGTCTAATTTTTAAGGCAAATATTGTTAAATAAATAATCTAAAATATCGAACTCAAAAATTTGTTTAATTTAATATAATATTTTAGTTAAAGTAACAAAAAATAAATGAGTAACATTAAAAAAGCTTTTTTTATTAAACTGGTATTTTGTTTAACAAAAAGTATTAATAATAATTTTATGTTTTGTTCTTTTGATAAATGCAATACAACTATAAGTTTAGATTCATTAATAAAAGGATTGACTATATCATGTTTATTGTGTTCAGATGCTTATTATTGTTGTGAAATTTGTAGAAAGTATGATAGGTAACAAATAAAAAAAATTAAATGTTTAGCAAGCATTAATAATAATGTTTAGGGACCTAATAAACAGTTGGCGTTGAAAAAAAAAATATTTTAAAAGAAATGCAATTATTAGAATAAATAGGCTAAGGAAGTTTTGGAACAGTGCATAAAATATTAATTTAGGATCAATTATATGCTCTAAAAAAGATGAATAAAAATGGTTGTTCTAAGGAAGTTAGAATTCATAAGCATTTGAATCATAAAAATATAATTTAGTTTCATTACTTTTTAGAAGATTAAGATTACATTTATATAATTATGGAATATGCATGTAAAGCATTCTAAATCTTTAGCTTAGGGAACATTAACATAAAATAGAGAAAATTATAATGTTTAGAACATATTCAAATAATTATGCGAAGCTGCCATATATTTGCATCATAAAGGAATTATTCATAGAGATTTGAAACCAGACAATATTTTATTGGATTAGTACGGGAACCCTAAAATATGTGATTTTGGTTTGGCTACATATGAAAATTTAATAAGTAGTTTTTCTGGAACATTTGAATTTATGGCACCAGAAGTCATTAAAAACTTACCTCAAACTCACAAAATTGATGTATGGTCTTTAGCTGCTATATTATACTGGATGCTTGAAAACAAACCATTAGTATAAGGTTTAATAATATACAAATTTAGGTAATTAAATAGAGAAGATGCAATAAATTCTAGATTTTACCTAACCTTAATTTACTAAGATAAAAAATCCTTTTATTAAGGATTTATTAATACAGATGCTAGAACCAGATCCTGATTTAAGAATTTCATTGTAAAATGTGATGAATCATAAATGGATATAAAGTATAGATATAAGCGAGAAAGAAATTTATGATATTTCAACTTAATCAAGTGTTTAGAGACAGCAATAAATTGAAATTTAATAATAATAGCAAATACATGATTTGAGCATGTTATAAAAAATTATATTACTTTTTGGTTGGGGTTATAGAGAGAAGCAGTTTTGATATTGATTTTGATTTTAGTTTATTGAATTTTAGTTTTTTCCACTTAATAAATTAATAAATCTAACTGATATTAAATACATTATTTGAAAAATGAATTCTGACGTCTAAGACATAATAGATTTATATTAGTAGATAGTTTCCAATTTAGATTTGGATCCATAACGTGATGTCAATATGTATTTATAAAGTTTATAATAAAATAGCGAATAACTAAAAAATGAAAGAAATTATTGCACAATATTTAGAATAATGTTTCCATTTTTAGAAAAGGAAATTGATAACATTTAAAAAGAACGAAATCCAACAGGTGAAAAATTGTAAGGACTCATTGAATTTTTAGTAAATCATCTTGAAAATATAAATAGTCTTATCCAGTTTTAACAATGGATTTATCACATATAAGTGGACACTCTATTGCATAAGGAGATTTGAGACATCTTTATAACTTTTTATAAATTTTACTTGAGTTATCAAAACTATATAAAGATTAAGCTTAAAACTCAAGATCAAATTCAAGTAGCTAACAGAATTTCTAATAAAACAATTCAACTCCACCAGAATAGTAATCTGGTAAATATTTTTAATTATTTTAGATTATTTTAATGATAATGCTGAGTATGAATTATCATCATAAGAGGAAGGAGGAAATAAATAAACAAAGAAGATTTAAAGAATTAAATCTTAAAAGGATTTGAAAAATAATGCAACTTAAGATAAAAATGCAACTACAAAGAATTAATAATCTAATAATTAGAGAAAATCTTCAGCTAGAAAAGATGATTAGAAAAAAGTACCTAATTCTAAGGAAAATCAATTAAAAGCTATTAGTAACAATTTATTACCTGTTACTTAAACTTAATAGAGAATAATAACATAAGATCCAAATATTGCTACTAAATACAAAAAAAAATAATAATAACAATAAAAGTAATCCTCAAAAGAAGAAGAAGAATAATTAGATTAATTGGATTTTGACTTTCCAGATATTAGCGAAATAGATTATGATTTTTTAGAATAGCATGATGAAGAAGAAGTAAATCAATTAGAAGATGATGATCCTATAAAAGTTAAATATATTAGAGAGCAATAAAAGGATAATATAAGAAAATTGCTTTAAGAAAAAATGAAAGAAGGCGAAGAATTAGGAGATAGACCAGAAATTGATGACTTTATAGATTTTTAAATTAAAGTCATAAAAGAATCATTAGGTAAAATGAAAATTTAACCTCCAAGTGATGAAAAAGAAACCATTGAAAAAATCATAAAGAATAGAAATTAATATAAAGAATTTTTAAAAGATTATCTTAAGACTTATCAATAAAAATAAAAGAAACAAGAAATACAATAAAATAAATCAATGCAAAATTAAAAGTAACTCACAAAAATGAATTAGAAGAAGAAAGACGACTTAAAAAAAGAATTTGAAAATGAGCATTTGTCAATGTATTATAAATTAAGAGATGAGAAATTAAATTATTTAAGAAAAATGTATCAAATTATTAATTTTTCATAGTCATCGAATCATCTTTGAGTTAGAAAAAAGAAAAATAATTGATGAAAAAAAAGATCATCTTTAGATGAGAAGACAATAAAATATAATTACAAGAAATGCGCTAGCTTCTGTTGAAAATGCATATAATGATAAAATTACAATGTTAAAAGAAAAATTATAAAATGAAAGAAAAGACAGACATGTTGCAGGTGTTGCTTAAAAATAAGTATTTTTTTAAAATAAGAATATAAGATTCTATCAAAATTAGAGAAGGAGCTAAAAGATGAAAAAATTAAATAAATTTAAGAGTTGAAAGATATTTGGAGATAAGAAAAAGAAAGGTTTGATTATTTAATGAAGGATGATGGAGAATTAGAAAAGAGAATTCTATAAATTTATAAAAAATATTGAGAAAATTATATGCTATTTTTAATTATATAACAATTTTTTAAATATTTAATTTTTATTTTGAAATGATATTTGAAATATAAGGGTTGGATATTGCTATCGTGTAAATATCCTTAAATTTCTTGGTTTCTACATCATTTTTATTGAGAACTAAATGTAGTAATAGTACTTCAACAAAACCTCAAAAAATTGATTCAAAAGTATTGACATATTCTATTTAAGAAAATTCAAAAAAAATAAAGTGATGAAGGTTTTTAAACAAAAATAAATATATAAAATTAAACATCTTCGAGTAAGTATTAACGTTATAAAAGTAAAAAAAAATTTAAGTGCTTAAAAGTCTTTAAAATCAAATGAAATCGAAAATATAAATATGAAAAAATTATAAAGTGAGAATTATCCTCAATCTTCAGGGTTATTAATATCTCCTAACAACAAAATTGTAGGTCAAAATTGATTTAAATATTAGAGAATGACAAACTTATGTCAGATACTAATCGATAAACCCATAGATCAAGTTTAGTTCCTATACTTTAAACACAAAAATAGTAAACAAGCAGTAAAACCTCCACTGCAAGCTAAAATGATTTTTAACAGAATTCAAAACAATAGACTGATCCAAATAAATCTATTATTAAATAACTGAAAGAGAATCCTAGCTTTGTGGTATCTAATCTAGTTAAATGTTAAGTATGTTTAATAATATTATATTCAGTAATGTAAAGCTGATAATTCAATTGAATAATCAGATGATATCATTACTGTTGAAAGAAAAAAAAATATGAGTGTTCCATGTGAATTTAAAGATCATTTGGATTCTCAAAAAAAAATTGAGATAGAAAGACGAGAAGAATTAAAATTTTAAATTACCAAAAAAAACATCCTATAAGCATAGTTCATCCAATTACAAAATCATTTCCTTTTATTTTCTTGCATATTTTTTATGCAATCAATTATATAAAAAGTGAATTAACGTTTATAACTTTATGAAGAGATAAATTTGAATAATATTATGAAGATATAATATTGTTATTCTTGCATTGGAGCATTATATTTTAATGTTGTTTATGCTACTATAATAACCTTTTTGGAAAAATATCTAAATTGTGATCGAGTTATAACTCGATTGTTATTTTCAGCATATAACATATCGATTCCATTATTTGTTTATTCAACTATTTAAGAATAAAATGAGTACTTAAATTTAGAGTATTTATTGATGATAGGATGCATCTATTTTATATAATTCTTAGTTTTTATTTTCTGTAGAATTGTAAATTGGAAAAATTACCCATTAACTTTATTTTGAAATTTTATTACAATTTTTTTCATTAAAATATATTATTAATTAACATAAAATCAATAAGAAGTATATATTTACTTAATCAAAATTTCTATTTAAATGTTATATATATATATCGGAGTATTGTTATTATTTCGATTCTAACAAATCAAAAAAAAAACTAAGAATTATATCAAAAAATTGAATAAAAATAATATAAAATGTATAGCAAAGTGAAAGTAAAAATTTCTTGAGATTAATAATTACCTAATTTTAAAGCAGACTTTATGAATAATTAAGTTATGGAAAAATATTTACAAGGCAAATTATATTTAAAAGAAAGGGAATTAATCTTAAAGATGGGAAACAAAGAAAAAAAAATAATTAAAATTGATAATTTTTTTAGTTGAATAATTTATGTATGTTTATATTTTTTAAAATTTAAACTAAAGAACAATATTTGAGAAGATATATTATAATTATTATTTTAGTGAAGAATTTTTAAATTTTAGATCAACTTAAACTTTTATAATATGCAATACATTCTTTCCATGAATCTCTAAATGTTTGGCATTTATCATCTCCATTATTTTAGATGCATTAATTCATGATTCTTCTAACTGGAGCACATTTACAACAGGCACCATTTTTACATTTACATCCTTTTTTAGGTATTTCTGAATCCATAATTTTATTAATTTAATATTTAATAATGAATATCTTTGATATTATTGATCTTTAACTAAATTTATATATAAAGAAAAAATATCATTTTATTTATTACTAATATTCTTTGTATAATTTTTCATAATATGCTTCGTTAATCCAAGGTTAATCATCTTTTTCATATTTTAATGGAGGAAATTTGAATGAAAGTTATTCTATAATTTATTATTTCATAAGAGCTGAGTTTTTTTTTGGTGGATATAAAACACCTAATTCAGTATTAGCAATGTATAATTAAGTAGCATTTTTTTCCATTTTTCCCCAAGCACCTTAACTAAAATTGTGACTTCCTATATAAATAGATGTATAATCATTTATATCTTCATCTAATGTAGTTATAATCATAACTTTTAAATGAGGAATGTTTCCAGTATGCCAGTAATAATGATCAGAACCTTAGTATTTATGGAAAAGATGTTTAGGAAATTTAGGATTTTCATATAATTGTTTTTTTAAATATAAGGGATTGGCAAAGTCAACACCTCCATGAGTTTAATTCTCAACATAATCAGCTGTCGGATAGATTAATTTTAGTTTTGATTATTCTTCTTCTTATTGATTTAAAATCATTTAATTTAATTTTTTATTATTTTGTTCACTTGGCAAAGGTTGTTTATAAACTTTACCTGTGCAACATTATAATGCAAAATCAACATAATTATTATCTATTTATCCAATACTAGTAGTTTGATATGTAACACAAACTTATTTTAGAACATCCATTTTATTATTACAAAGTTCTTAAAATAAGACAGATTGAAGTCTCGTCATACCATATTTAAATAATTGATTACCAACAAATCTTCCTGGAATAGATGTGATAAGTCTTATATTAACATCTTTGAAATCATATTCATCATATTTAATTTTAAGAAGATCTTCAAATTTATGAGATGTCGGTAATATCTCAAACAGAAATTCTCTTAGCATAGTTTTAAATTCTTAAGAAGTTTGATCTAATTCACTTTTTCCTAATTTAAAGTCTTAAATCCACATAGCTTAAGACCATATAGTCCAATCACCTACATGTAAATTTTAACTTCCGATAACAATCCGAATAAATTTTGGAAATTTAAGTATCCATATTTTAGGATGAAAAGCACCACCAAACATACTTGATCCTAATTTAGATGGTTTAATAACCATCCAATTTGGATAATTATTATATTTTTCAATTATTTCCAACCTTTTGTTTAAATTATCATTATCATTTACAATATATAGTTATACACCTGATTTTACTATTGGTTCTAATAATTCATCCTCAAAACCATAACATGTCATTAAAGCACTTTCCAATGTCTTTTTAGGCTTTTAAGTTTTAACATCTATAAATGCATTTTCGTAAAGGATGTTAATAAATGGTAAATGTTGTGGTTGTCTATCATCTATTGGATATTATGTTAAACAATTTAAACAAAATTTTCCAATGGGAAATGATAATTAAACCTCATCTTCTTCTATTTATTATTATTTTAGTTCATCATCTTCTATTATTACAATATTGTCTTTCTCTTTTTGTTTTTCTCTTAACCTTTTCTAATTCTCTAAATAGAGTTCTCTCTAAACAGAATTAATTTCAACATAAGACTAATTTATCTGGTCTTGTTCTTCAGACAGATCCTGAAGTGTTCTTTTTTTCATAATGATAATTTTATGAGAAGAATTGAATAAATTATATTCAATTAAATGTTTATATTTCTTTTGTAATAAAATGAGTTTTTTTTCCCATTCTTTATCAAGATTTTGAGTTTGAATTCTGCCTTGAAACTGAGTCAGAAGGTGATCTTTTTGGACTAACACTTCTTTTTCTATTTCTTTGATCTCTTCTTGGGCTTCTACTGTGTCTCTTTCTTTTGTTTTGATATCTTCTTCTTCTAGATCTGGATGATGAATAAGAAGAATATGATCTTGATTCAGATCTTCTATGACGGCGCCTAAATTATTTAAATATCTTTATACTTTGATCTAGAATCAGAACGTCTTCTACTACGTCTTGGTGATTTATTATTTGGACAATTACGAGCCCTAAAAAATTTAATAACATCTTACCAATGACCACCTTTATTGCATTTGAAACATTTATCTTCTTCATTTGGACCTGTCTTTCTTCCTTTACGATTGTCAACCACATCTACTTTCAATTTTTATCCATTGTAAGTTTATCCATTAGTACCCTTTAAAGCTTCTTGTGCTTCTTACTCAGTATTAAAAGTCTTAATTTCGAAATTAGTTCATACAACAAATGAATATGATCCTTTGTAAGCAACTTCTTTGATCATTCCGTATTTTTTGAAGATATCTCTCACATCTTTGTCATCTTCTACTTTGCTACGACTGTACCCAGCAACGAATAGTTAATTAGGTATAATATCACCCATTAATTTAATTAATAAAATTGAATCCTAATAAATATTTATATTAGATATATCTAATCCTATATTAATTAACCAAAATATATCTCATTCAATCTCTCTACTTCCAATCAAATTAAAGATTTACAATTGCTTCATTCAATCAATTCTCTAAACACCATATAATTTATTTACATAAATTAAACATTAATACAAAAAGTCTTCATTTTATTATATTGTTTAAATTTATTCATATTATATTTTTTTAAACTATTTTCATAAATCAACTAGTTAATGTATTTAACATCCTCATCTTTACTCTCAAATCCAAAATAACAAATGAAAAATTGTATTACGTTATAAATTATACTTATTTTTTATCAAAAGCTTTTCTCATATATTATTCTGCCTTTTTAAAATTTTATATGTAGTATTCAATAACTATTAACTTAGATGTTTATTGAAATTGAAAAAGAAAAGATTTTCTATCATCCAAAATACAGAACATCAAGAAATCATTAAATCTTTCCTCTAAAAACCAAATCATGTATCTAATTCTAATTGAATAACATTAAAATTATTTCCTAATTTAAATAAAATAATATATTAAGATATTCAACTTAATAACATAAATATGTTTTTCTATTCTTATTGTGTGTAATTTTAATTCTTTAAATTCTAAATTCTTTCAAATAGTAAAATAATTATTTTGATGTACATAATAAATAATAATTTAAATCTTTAAAATAATGGCGGTTTTTTATATATTTAATTTCATATCACAATAATCATCAAAGTACTGATAAAACCGAAGATTCCTACAAAAGTCCAACCAACAATTTTTGTTTTTTTTTAAAAACCACCTTAATCCATAGGTGGAACAATAGCTAATGAAAGGGAAATTCCTGTAATAAGTCCTCCAATTTAACCATATTTATCATTATGATATGAATTTTCACCTTATAAAGTCATGACTATTAGGAAAATCAACAGAATCGAAAAAGAACAACATAAAAATACTCTAACTTTATTTTAAAATCCAAATGAAGGCCAATTTAAAATGATACACTAAATAAGAATAAAATAATACACCAAATAATGCACCAAATAATCCATATATTGCTGAATTTGCATGTAAATATATTAAATCTGTACAACAATTAATAGAGCTTCCAAATAAAGCTCCCATAGCTCCACTAAATACATATATTGAAATAGCAATAATTGGGCCTGATGCTTATTCAAAACTGGAAAATAATATCAGCAAAGATAGAATAATACAAAAATAGTGAAAAAAATCTCTACATAAGAAGATGCTTGTAAATAATTGTTAAAACATGAACTAATTTTTAATTTAATTTGTGACTAAACCCCCATAAGTTTAAAGTGATGAATCATTAATTTCTAAAAATTGCCCTTATTTTTCTATTCCTCCAAAAATACATAATGCAAATAGTAAAGTATAAGCCAATATTACTAAACTTGTAATAGATTGAATTTTGTAAGCAGGAAAAAAATTATATGATAACATTTCATAATAATGTAATTATCTGGGATTTGTTATTGTTACTTAAGCTCCTTATTTATTTAAAATAAAAATAACCTAGAAGAGGAAATCGTTTAATATTCTCTCCAAAATAATCACTAAGTGTTCTGTGTTACCTTCTTTGTTCATTATCAGGTTGTTATTCACCATAACCACGTAAATTTGACATTTTATTATTTATTAATTTTAATTTTATGTCAGAAGTAGAAGAAATCAATTTGGAATCAAATATTAAAAAGCCAAGGCATTAGAGACAGTAAAATTAATCTAGACGCATTCGAAAAACAAAAAATAACTTTAATAGACCAAGAAATAATTAATAAAATAGAAATAGAGATAGATAAAGAAGAAATGATTGGAAATAATAAAATGGAGCCAATACAAGAGATTTATATGAAATTGATATTTACAATTTTCTAGCTAAGAATTAAATATCTGATTTAATAGTATTATAATAGCATAAATTTAGAGTGATATTAGATCAAGATGTGGTAATTTGGTTAAACTTCATATTATTGCTAATAATATACTAGAAAATGAGACAGAAACTAAAGTAAATATTCACTTCATTATAGGTAATTTTGAAAGCTTTTTTCAAGGATTAAAAGTCAGCTGATGAATGTTAATTTCAATATAATGATGCCAAACTTGATGATTTATCATTAAGAACAGAACGTAAATATTGATATAAAAATTATATATAATATGAGATAAATATATGAATTTATTGTAATTCATATTGTTTTCTATATAGTCTCAGTGCACAATGATTTAAAATAACAAGAATTTGTAAATAATAATTTCTATTTTAGAATCCAAAAGATATTTATTAGGTTTGGATGCTATTAAACATGTTTTTTGCTTCAATTTATATTATTACTAAAAAACTTACTTTGATTCTTGTCTTTTTACTATAAAGCTATATGTATATTTACTTAAGAAAATACAATCCTAATTATGTGTAAGTAGCAACTGTATTGATTCCTATTGCTTTAATTGATAAATCTAATCTTTTTATAATATTGAATTAAATTGGAGCATTTTTGATCTCTGGACCATACAATCACAATTAATAGATATTATTTGTATTTTTAATTGTAGCTTTAGCAATTTATATTTATGCTAAATAACATGTTGAAGAAATATTAACGAAAGTAGTTATTATAAAAAATAATTAGAAAAAACAAAAAGTTGATTAAGATGAGAAATTTTTATAAGAATTACCATTCCCATTATTTATTGTTAATATTAAATCTTAAATACATTGGTCAAACAAAATGGCTAGAGAATTAATTATTAATTGTGGAGTTAAATAGGGAGGATCTTTAAAAGAGATATTTTAGGATCAAGATTTATTTTTATAATACTTAAATTAAGATTCAAAAGAATTGATTGTTTAAATGAATACTGTTTTAATTTAATAATCTCTTGAATAAAGTTTGCTGATGTAATAAAATAAAAACCCTCCATAATAATAATAATAACAGCAACCTCAAAATGCATAAGTTAGCAATGATCATAAAATGGCTAAGTTTTAGAGTTAAAAAGAAGATAATCTATAAAAATCAATTCATAAATATTTAAATATAGCATGTTTGACATTGAATTCTTTAAAAATTACAGAATAGATTCAAAAAGAAGTACAATTTTTTATTAAATTTTAGATATTAACCGTTTTAATTAAGTCATTTAAAATTAATTAAATGAGATTATTTATGATATGCATAAATGCTAACAAAACATTTTAGTAAAATAAAGTACTTTAAAATCATTTGATATAATAAATTAAATAAAAGTAAATGCTTATATATATAATTTTTTAAGTGGATAATAAATGTTGGTTAGTTTATAACAAGATTATCAAAAATGGGATAATATGAGAAGTTTGGAAATAATAAGAGAGTCAGATTTAAAAGTGATTTCTTAATCAATAGTAGATTTATATAAGATCATTTTTGAATTTGAAACATATGAAGTATCAACAAGCTTTTTTCCATAATCTAATTTAATTAATTTTTAATGTAAGTATAATTTATAATATATCTAAGTCAAAGGATTAGTAACCTACTTAATTGAAGTCTTTGCTGGGAGATATTTATAAAAATTTACTAGCATAAACCTGTATTTTGATAATAGTATCTAAGATAAGATGAAAGGAAATTCTACTAATTTTTCATTGATATTTATGAGTATTTTAGAATTAATAGCAAAATATTCAGGAGATAAAAAACCATCTTTAAAAATTAATTGTAATTTAGATTAAGTTACTGATTAAAATAAAGCATATTAAATTTAATTGTAATTTTTGTGGAGACAAGATGATGAATTAGATTAGATATTTAAAGAATTCTTTCATTAATAAATGATGCCTATGAATGTTGATCCATAGGTTTAACGTTATTTGATGACAATAAAAAAGTTATAGAGTTATTCTGCTATGAAAATATTTTATATAGAATAATCAGTTGAATCTATTGAATTATTAAGTGAACTACATATTTTTGTTGATTTTTACATAAGTGATTCAGAAGAATCAAATTTATAAGTTTATTAACCACCTTAATTATAAATAACTTTTAGTAGAGAATTTGTTGGATAAAATCCTAATGAAATAATGTGGCAACCTAAAAAATAACCATAAGTTATTATTGATAAAAATCATTAAGCAATAATTAGACCAATAAAACCAATGCCTCCTAATTTCTTTAATAAATCAAATTTACCACTTAATGTTGAAGCTAAATTACCTAAAAAATAAGATGAAAATATATCAGATGAGATTGCTATTTAAAAAAAATAATAAGTTATAAGAGAATTAATTTAAGCCTAATTTATAAAGGTAGCTCCACGTCTCTCTGAAAAAATAGCTTATTTGGTTAAAAAGAAATTAGAAACCTAAGCAAATAAATTTGAAGACATACATTTTGTCGAAGATCTGGAAAATAAAGTAGATAGGGAAGATTAAGGTGAAGAAAATGAAGAATAATCTGAATATGGAACTAGTGATGGAATTAAAGGAAATAGTTATGATGAAGAAGGTTAATCTGAAACTACCCCAAATCTTGATTCTGTTCCAGCTAATAAACGTTATATGAACTTTCCATTTTAAAATGAATTTTCTAATATTGATTCTAGAGCAACAAATTAAATGCTTTAAGCCTCCGATTTGTCAATTATTACATACAAAAAATTAAAAATTGATTCTATTATCGAAGAAATTAAATCAAATCTAATTGATAATGCAGATTTTAGTTAAATAACATTGAATGAACAATTTATTCAAAAAATTGCAGAAGCTTTGGAAAAAAATAGTTCACTGAAAACTTTAAAATTCATCAAGTGTGATCTTAGTGATCAACTTCTTATTAAAATACTAGATTCTATTGCAAAAACATAGTAAAATATTTATATATCTTAGGATTGAAATCTTGCATTTATAATAAAACTTATTATAAGAAAAAGCTTTGAATTATCTAATTAGTTTAAAGTAATCTTCAAAAGAATATCCTGTAAAAGAATTACATTTTCATAGTAATTTAGTGAAAGAAATTTAAATAAGCAAAGAGAAAGCATAATTATCAAATCTAGGAATAAAAGTTATCATTGGATGAGTTATTTATTAATATAATAAATTAAAATAAAACTGATGGACTCCTCAGATGAAGAAAAACCAGTAGATCTTCCACCCATTAGAGTAAGAAGTTCAGAATTGAATTAAAAGTAGATGAAAGACATCCTATTATGTAAGTCAATTATTTATTATAATCTCTTAGGCTTAGATAATTTATTCAAAAAATATACATTAGACAAGGATATTTGTGTTGAATTAGTCAAATTTATGAAATCAAAACCAGAATACAAGAAATGTATATGCTTTGCCTATATAATTTAGTGGGTGATGGTGAATGGCAATGTATTATAGGATCTAACTTTGGATGTTCCTTAAGTTATGATTTGGGACTTTTAACTTTTTTTGATTTTTTATCGAATGGGAAATCAATACTCCTCTTTAAGTCAGGATGATAAAAATATAATATCAAGATTAATATATGATATCAATGTTTAATTAAAGAGTATCAAAGAATTTTCTCTTTTTTCTTAATTTTGCTGTAATCACTTTTTACAAATCATAATCCCTATTAAATTGTGTGAGTTCTTTCTAAGTAATAATTGGAAATTTAGACGTAAAAATAAATATTCATTTATTTGGTGCTATATAATTTTTATTGTTTTTTTCGGAAATTTAAATAGGATTTAGATACAAAAAACTTTTAATGTGTCAAAAGAGTGTATTTATTTTTTGTTAAATGGGCAAATGATTTTACTATTAATTGTTATGATTTAAAAAATTTCAAAAGTAAAGAAGTATTTTTAATATTAAAAATATTTTTATTTATATTTTTCCTTCTTATATATGAATAATTTTAAAGGTTCTAAAAATTCGATTCTTAATTCTGGCTCATATTTCGTGACATTATTTAATTGACAAAAAATTTGATTAAACAGGCATAAATTATAATAAATTCTAATTTAATTTTAACTAATTAGTTAGTAAATATATTCTTTGTATCTAGAGGATGTATTAATCTCTAATAAAATAATACTATTTCATTAATATGATGTATTTAGGTATAAGATGAATCAATTATCTGTTTTAATTCTTAAAATTAGAGCATTTTTTTATTTTATGTAAGATATGTGATTGTAAATTTATTCTAAGTATCAAATAAATTGATAGGACCTGTAATTTAAAATTTATTGACACCCAATTTTTCAAAGAACAATTTTGAGATTGGGAATTTAGATAACTATAAATTCTAAATAAATTTAGTAATTTCCTAAGAGTTCAGGATAGAAATCTAAAGTAATTAAACAAAAATAGGGACATTAAAAATACTGATAGATTTATCAATATGTAAGTAATATATGAATTCGAAATTTTATTTTTTTTATGTATAATTATGATGAATTGAGGAATGTCATAAAATTTGTATTAGAAGAGAGGGAGATAAAAGAGTGAGATGAGGAATAGATTTCCATAAATAAATCAGCAATAAATTTATAAAGTGGTTATATAAAGGTTTCAAGTAAAATTTATGTCAAACATAAATTTTATTTTTGTTTGTAAATGTCATAGCTAAAACTTCAAGTAAAAGGATAAAATATTTTAGCATTGTTCTAGTTCATGTGTTTAGAGTTCTTAATGTAAGATTGAACCAATGATACATGGAAAGTAAACAGATCGGATAAGCGCATAGCAATAGGAGAATTTAATAAATTTAGGGAATTCAGATTAGAAAAGAAGAAACACTTATGCTGGGGATCGTTTTATTCCAATGATAAAGAAGAAATTCAATATTCTATCAGAAACAAAGGCTCCTGCTTAAGATATAGCATCATCATAAGCAGCTTTGGAAATGCTATACAAATAGTAAATTCTTGATTAGGAGCCAGTAATGGAGCCAGAGAATGGTTCATTGAAATTTGTGAATCAAAATAATTTTTAATTCAAGAGTGATCATTCTCATTATATAGATTCAATAGATCCAAAAAATTATAATAGGTAATGAGAAAATAAAATAATAAAAAGTCCTTTGGTAGATCATAAATACTTTGCATTACCAGAGACAATGTCAAGTTATTATGGGAAATATATAAGAAAGATAGCAAAAGTTCCATTTAAAGTATTGGATGCTCCATAATTATAAGATGATTTCTATTTAAATTTGATAGATTGGAGTAATTAAAATACACTTTCCGTGGCACTTAGTAACTGTGTATATTTATGGTAAAATAATATAATAAAATTAAGGAATGCTTAATCATCTAAAGTAACAAAATTACTTGATTTAAGTAATGATATAGTGACAAGTGTAGGATGGTCATTAAGAGGTCCATTTTTAGGAGTTGGAACAAATAATGGAGAAGTATAAATATGGGATGCATGTAAATTATAAAAGGTAAGAACTTATAAAAGTCATGTTGCAAGAGTAGGTACTCTATGTTTTGCTGAAAGTATGTTAAGTAGTGGTTCAAGAGATAAATCAATATTATAAAGAGATTTAAGATAAAAGGAGGATTACTTTTTTAAATAGACTGCTCATAAATAAGAAGTTTGTGGATTAAAATGGTCGCCAGACAGTTAATTACTAGCTTCAGGAGGAAATGATAATAAACTTTATATTTGGAGTGCATCATAACATGACAAACCTATATTTAAATTTACGGAACATTAAGCAGCTGTTAAAGCTATAGCTTGGAGTCCTCATCAACATGGATTATTAGCAAGTGGAGGTGGAACTGCAGATAAAACTATTAGATTTTGGAATGCTTTAGAAGGAAAATTATTATTAAAAGAAGACACTGGAAGTTAGGTGTGTAATTTGATGTTTAGTAAAATGGATAATGAATTGATTTCTACTCATGGTTACAGTTAACATTAGATTATACTTTGGAAATGTAATGGAATGAAAAGAATTGCAACTTTGGTTGGACATACTAGTAGGTAATTTAATTTTATTTAATTTGTAGAGTTTTATATTTGGCAATGTCTCCTGATGGTTATACTATTGTTACTGGAGCAGGAGATGAAACTTTAAGATTTTGGAATATATATCCTTAATGTTTAAATGAATCTTAAAACAATAAATGCCAATTGGTTCCATAAAATATCAGTATACGTTGAAATGATTAACTTTTATATACTCATTTTTATTATTGTTTATTATGGTGTTAATCCTTCTTCTCTGGTTCAACATATAAATGATCATATATAACAGCATGATTTGTTAATTCATCTAATAATTACATCAAACCCTTCTTCTTAAATTTACAATATCTACCCAAAGGCTAAGCTTTCTTAATATCTATTCCTAAGGCTATGTCTTTTCTTATCTGTAAAATTGTTGTTGTTTCTATAATAAATTAATCTATTATAATTTCTATTGGCTCTATACTCTAATATTTATTTTATAAATTTATACTGGTTAAATAAGACCACAACTAACTGTTTACTTCCAATCAAATTCCACCTCTGAATATATTATCACTATCTCTAAACTATTAGAATTTGTATCCTTCTAAAATGAAAAGACTAATCTGTTGTTTATAACATTTGGAGTCACTCTAAAATCTTATATTTTTATTTTTACTATTATTTTGTATGTCTTTTTATATCATCATATGCTGAAGTCTTTATTGAGTCAATTATATCTCGAGATTAAAGAATGTTATATGAATAACTACCAAAAATACTCAAATAACTAGGTTAATCTGCACTCTTCTTAAAAACATCTATATTTTCATAAATTTCTATTGAAGTACTTACTTACTTTATTGCATCCTTAATTTATCCAACCATTGCAACTGGGTTACTTGACAATGATTTTATTAATTCTTTATTTGCCATTCCAAAATAACAATTAGATATTATTCTATTGTGTAATCCTATCTTCTCTGTCCTAAACTTTTTTATTCTCTCTTATAATTCAAAATTTATTGTATCTAAAGCAGCCATATTCTTCTCCATATTATATAAATATTTATAAACTGATATCAATCTATCTTAAATAGATAATCTTAACTCTCTTAAAACTTTCTTACTTTCTTTTGTTTTTGCTAATTTCTAATCTTCAAGAACTTCATCTGATTATTCTATATTAAATTAAACTTTCTCATAAAATGCCTTCTCAAATTCTTTCAATTTAATAATATTACCAAAAAATCCTTATTCTTTTTATATTGTTGCCTTCTTTTTCAATATTCCTGCTACATCATTTGAACCTCCTAAGAAATCATCAAAATCTTTCTTATTTTTAAAACAAGAAACAATTCTAATCAATAAGGCAGATAAACTTACAGGATTCCATTAATCAAATCTATGAAAAGGTGGTTAATCTTCTGTTTTTAAAAAAGATTCAATAGCATAACATCCACAATCATGACAATGTCTTAATGATAAAGACATTGTTGTGTAATATAATTATCTTGTTTTTAGTTTAACTTATATCCTTTCTTATCCAGAATTTTCATCTGGTTCTGTTTCTGTTAAATAACTAATTGGTTACATTTTTATGTTTTTTGCAAACTATTCCATTAAATCTTAATTTTCTGCTGAAACATATTTTATTTTTTATATATTTTCTACAATGCATTTAGTAGCCCAATAAATTGACTTTACTCTTGGNCAACTAACTGTTTACTTCCAATCAAATTCCACCTCTGAATATATTATCACTATCTCTAAACTATTAGAATTTGTATCCTTCTAAAATGAAAAGACTAATCTGTTGTTTATAACATTTGGAGTCACTCTAAAATCTTATATTTTTATTTTTACTATTATTTTGTATGTCTTTTTATATCATCATATGCTGAAGTCTTTATTGAGTCAATTATATCTCGAGATTAAAGAATGTTATATGAATAACTACCAAAAATACTCAAATAACTAGGTTAATCTGCACTCTTCTTAAAAACATCTATATTTTCATAAATTTCTATTGAAGTACTTACTTACTTTATTGCATCCTTAATTTATCCAACCATTGCAACTGGGTTACTTGACAATGATTTTATTAATTCTTTATTTGCCATTCCAAAATAACAATTAGATATTATTCTATTGTGTAATCCTATCTTCTCTGTCCTAAACTTTTTTATTCTCTCTTATAATTCAAAATTTATTGTATCTAAAGCAGCCATATTCTTCTCCATATTATATAAATATTTATAAACTGATATCAATCTATCTTAAATAGATAATCTTAACTCTCTTAAAACTTTCTTACTTTCTTTTGTTTTTGCTAATTTCTAATCTTCAAGAACTTCATCTGATTATTCTATATTAAATTAAACTTTCTCATAAAATGCCTTCTCAAATTCTTTCAATTTAATAATATTACCAAAAAATCCTTATTCTTTTTATATTGTTGCCTTCTTTTTCAATATTCCTGCTACATCATTTGAACCTCCTAAGAAATCATCAAAATCTTTCTTATTTTTAAAACAAGAAACAATTCTAATCAATAAGGCAGATAAACTTACAGGATTCCATTAATCAAATCTATGAAAAGGTGGTTAATCTTCTGTTTTTAAAAAAGATTCAATAGCATAACATCCACAATCATGACAATGTCTTAATGATAAAGACATTGTTGTGTAATATAATTATCTTGTTTTTAGTTTAACTTATATCCTTTCTTATCCAGAATTTTCATCTGGTTCTGTTTCTGTTAAATAACTAATTGGTTACATTTTTATGTTTTTTGCAAACTATTCCATTAAATCTTAATTTTCTGCTGAAACATATTTTATTTTTTATATATTTTCTACAATGCATTTAGTAGCCCAATAAATTGACTTTACTCTTGGTATTATTATATCATCATTATAATCTATAGCATGAAAATATATATCTTTTATTTTATTGACTTCATTTTTTGATATATATTTACTAGCACTCTAAATCTTCTCTTATAATTTATTTGATTATACTCCATTTGTTGTACTAGCTCCATATGCTATTGCATTAAATGCTGTTGTTCTTCTTGGAGCATGATTAACAAATATTTCTATGATATTTTACCATAAAGGTGCATTCTCAGGTTCTTCTTCTTTTTCATTTATAAATTATTCAAACATTTCTAAAAAACATTTTATATTCAAAAAATTTGATTCTGCTTTCTAATCTATTGTTTTCTCTTATTCTAATTTCTATGATGATTCTACAAACATGTTCTGATAATTTTAATAATATAAGCCAAGCATTCTACATTATATTTGTTCTACTTGTTAATTATTTTTTTAAAAAAAAGGCTTAACTACTTCATAAGTTTTTAAAAATAATTCTCTTACTGCTACTGGTATATCATATGGTCCTGGTATATCTTAAGGCAAAAAAGTTGTTAATTTTGGAGCAAATTCATCCCAAAATCCTTTTATAAACTCTACTCTTTCTTAAAAAAACTTATTTTCTTAAGGACCATCAAATCTAGGAAGTAATACATCACATCCAGGATTTTAAAGATGATTCTAACTAAAAACTAAAGCAACAGGTTTTAAGTTCTTGGCTATGCCACTTGTTAATTTATTTTCTATAGTTTTTATAGATGTTTCTATTAATTTTAGATTAGTTGTTATACATTAACCAAATTAACCTTAAAATGAAATAAATAAATTAGTAAAAGCATATAAAGATGGTTCACTTGTTTCTTTTTAATTAAAGATTAACTTTTTACTGGTTAAACTTTACAATTCTATACGAAGTATTTGAATCAAAAGATTGATTAATATTCTATACTTTCTTTTATCATTAGAAATATCTCCAAAAGTATCCATAACTAAATCAATAAAGTTTTTTTTGCTTATTCCTCCATATTTAAAGATATTTATAAAGTAACAAGGATGTAATTAAAGCATAGTAAACATTATTTTATAACATAATGAACATGTATAATAAGTCTCATGTTTTTTTGGTTTCTTTTCTTTTTTTTTTTCTTTGTCTTTCTCATCATTTTTGAATTATATATCAAATGGTTTGCGTTAAATTTTATTAATGATAGTCAACATAGCTTCATCCTTAAACTTCCTAAATTCTTCGAGATGAACATCTTTGATTTCTTAATAGAGTCTCTAGTTCTCCTAATCTAATTCTAAAATTGCCTCATAGACATCATCAACAGGTTTTTCTTCAAAAAAATTAACTCTTTTAGAATGTACAATACGTTCTGGATTATCTCCTTTGTCAACATATGAACATCTATAAATATCAGGTTTTGATTCATTAATAAATTAATCCCAAGATTATTTATAAATCAATTTACCTTCTTCAACCATTCCTAAAGAAGCACCAATAAAGACTCTTTTACTTAAAGGACGTTTTGATTTTTTTTAAATATTTAATTAAATCCCATCAGCATTCATACCTGTTTTTTTTTGATCTTTTCTTTTAAATTCTTCTTCAAATTCATCTTCATCTTCATCAGCTTTTTCTGCCTATAATTGCATTAATTGATATAATTTAAAATTATAGTCAAGATACTGATTAATAAATAAAAGAGGTTCAGGTTTGACAAAGATAGTTTTCAATGTTGAAATATTTATTTTTTTAACTTACTATTAATGTTTATTCTGCAATTACATTTCATTTTCTTTGTCTGGATTTATAAATTCATATCCTAAACCTAATCTACCAGTCATTCCATCACAACCCCATGAGAATAATTCTTTTTTCTCTGAATTTTCAGTCAAAGCAACAGCATGATTAAAACTACAACTAACTGTAGTAAATTAAATGTCACTTAAAGGAGTATTTACAATATTGGTCATAAGAACTTCAACATATTTTTCTCTTTGAGCAGCATTAGCGCATTGATTTTTTAGTTTTTCTTAGAAATCTTAATCAAACAATCCCCAAATATAAGCTTTATTCTATTTACTTATAGCCATATTATAACGATCTCCTAAACAAAGACTCTTATATTTTCTAGTAGCTAAATCATTGTGTTTAATTGGAGATACTATATAGTAAGGTTCTGCGTCTTAATCTTTATCAGATTTTAAATGTTATTTATCATCAGTATCATCTTCTGGTTTAGCTATTCCTAAATAAGAACCAACACCCCAAACAACAATTTAATCATCAATAGTTAATGCTCCAGTATGATTTGTTCCTGCTGAAACATCTTTAAATGAATATTTAGTTTATAATAGTTTAGGATAATATTAATTATCTAAATTTCCATGTCCCAATTTTCCTCCATACCCATTTCCCCAAGTATATATTACATATTTTTAAGTGTTGTCCTCTTAATTTTTTTAGTTAGCTTTAGTTTTAATCACTCTTTCATTATACTTTTTATCAACTACTAAAGCCATTGAATGATGTGGACCAACACCTACTTTTGCAACATCTTAAATAAATGGAACTTTCTATGTTTATAAAACAACTGAATTTTTAGGTCCCAATCCTAATTTACCATCAACTGGTGAACCTACTGCATATAATAAACCACCTTCATCTAAAATTAATGTATGATCTTCTCCGCATGCTACTTATTTAACCATAAATCCTTCTAAATCTGTCAACATTGATGGAGACTCAACAAAATCACTTACAAATCCCAAACCTAATTGACCCTTATCATTTTTTCCCCAAGAATAAATATTACGTCTATTCTCTACAACTACTACATATTCTAATCCTGTTGCCAAATAAGTTACTCTTTTATTCTCTCTTATAGAAAATGTTAATACTTAACTTGGATAAGACGTTTCCGCTATTGTTTCCTATATAAATGGACCTATAAATTTTGTTCTTTATTTTACCTACTCCACTATTTAATCATCCTTCAAACCATGTTACATACATTTATTACTACCCCAAACCCAAACTTCACCTGCATCAGTTAATGCTACTGTATGAAAGGCACCACATTTAACATCTACAATGTATGATGAAGCCTTTATTTCTTTTTGTAATTTATTTATAAACTCAGTGCAATGCATACCAAAAAACTAAAATTCTTCATTTATATTCTTTGGTTCTATCAAAGCTTAAAGTAAATCTGGTTTTATCGTACTCAACACTTCATTTAATTTATTTTATCCCATTTCTTCTCCCTCATCATCATCTCCTTATTTATAATCATCATTCATTGAATTGTTAGTAAGATAATTCTTTGGTAGTAATTCAGCCTATAAATCTCTACCTAGAATTCCTTTGAATGGAAGACCAAAAGATATAATAGATCCACTTTGTAATAATGCTAACCCATAATGGTAAGACAGTGCTAATTAATAAATAAACTATTATTTAGATTTGAAATAATTAGTATCAATCTTTTGTGGTTCTGGATAATTACTTCCAAATTCATCCTTAATACCTAATCTACCTTTTGAATTTGATCCAAATGCAAAAGTTAATCTTTCTAATGTAGTGATAAATGTTGTGTTACCACCGCATTTAGCATAAACTGCATAAAAATTTTAAATGGAGTGAACTTTAATTGGTTCCCATCTATCTTAAAAATCTCCAGTTCCTAATTAACCATTCTTATTAAATCCAAATGTATGTGCATAACCATCAGTAGTTGTACATGCTGTATGCAAAGCACCACATGATACATATTCAACGACTTTTCCTACAACTGATCCAGCTTCAACACAATTAGGTATATTAGAACTCTTATTTGTACCATGTCCCAATTATCCATAAGTTCCTACCCCCCATGTATATAAAGAACCTGCTCCTTCGGATATACTGGCAGCATGTGAAGGACCAGCACAGATAAACTTCATTCTGATTTTATCAAAATCAATTCTTGTTGGTCTTTATTAATCTACTTGCATAGGTAATCCTAAACAACCAGTAGCACCTTCTCCCCATGAATATACTGATCCATATATATCTAAGGCTAATGTGTAATTTGCTCCACATGATATTTAACAAACTTTTTAAATGCTTTCTACTACACCTTTAATTCTAAAACATTCTTCCTATTCATTATAATCTTCTTCATCATCATCTTCTTATTCACCCTCTTCTATTTCTTCTTAAGATTATTCTTTATCTGTCATTCTTCCTTGTTATCCAAATTCATCACTACCACTTGAAAATATAACACAATCATCATAACGAAGACTTTTAAAACCTAAATCATAACTAAAATTATCATCCATATGTTAAGCATTTTTAAAGATCTCTTAAAATAAATCTTGGCTGCATCCTAAAATCATGCTGTGTTAATTTCCACAAGCAACTTATAATGGAACATAAGGTTTCTGTTTATGTTCTAGATGTATTTTCACTGGAGATGATTGAATTTCAGAATCAATACTTTCAGGCTTACCTAATGCCTAAAATTCATTGCTTCCCCAACCCCATAATTAAAATGCTTATGGAGCTGTATTCTTATCTCCTTCACTTTAAATTGCTAAACAATGATTTACTCCTGCTGCTAAACGAGAAAATAATAAGTCAGGATTTATTCGATTATTAACTTGTAATTTCATTATTATAAAATTTATTATTGTAATTATTCTCAATATAATTTCCAATTAGATAAATTATTCATATTTAATATAAAATAATTTTATAATTGAAACCAATCATGTTTGAGTAAGACTATAAATCAGAAGATATTTAATATATTGAAAAACCTCTTCTCAACTAAAGTAATGAACGAAAAGAAATTTTAGACATTACAGAATAATTTCAAAAAACCAATATTAAAGATGATCCATCAGAAATTCAAAGTCCCTTATGGGTTTCTGAATTCTATAAAAAATCTTTAAATGAGTTAAATAATAGTCCTAATCCATAAAATATTATTTAAATTGATAAAAGATTCTTGCTTCCACATGAGGCAAAATTTATCACTTTTTTATCTGAAAACACAAAGCTTGTAAAAGAAAAATATGCTGAATACCTTGTGGATGGTTTGTAATCCTTTTAATAATATGTTTAAACACAAAGTTAAAATAGAAAAAAAAAACAAAGTAATTTTATAAATGATGATGATGAAAGCGTCAATTTAAAATTTTAAACTCCTCAAATAAATGAGCTATATTCATAGACTTAAAAAAATTCGAAATAGCTCAAATTTTAAGAAATTATTAATTAATAGCAATCAATTAGCAGTTATAAAGCAAATATATAAAAAATTAAAGAGGACCCTTTATTTTAATAAAAGTTCACTGTTACATAAAAAATATTAGAAACATTATCAAAATTTGAAATATAATCATCAACTAAAAAAGTATCCATACTCGAAGATGCCTTGATACTCTGTTAATTATTTTAGAAATTAGCAAATGAGGACAAAAAATTAATAGAACAATATATCTTTATTTAGGAAAATTACAATTACAAAAGATCCTTCTAAGCTTTTTCAACCAGGTTATATTCACAATTATTTTAGAATTAAAATTGTGCGTAATTTATACAGAGAATGGACTTTAGAAAATCTTGAGTAATTGTTAAGAGTTCTTAAAGAATTTCCAAAAAAAATACTTTTAGAAAAAACTTTAATTTAACAAAACTCTATCAAGATACCTCTTATAAAATGATCATTATATTTTATTTATAAAGAAAATTTAATTTTTATGTTTACTATATTTTTATTAATAGATATTTAACAACAAGATAAATTGAAACCTGCTATTTTAAAATCTTTTCTCAACATTTTTAGGCGAATATTTCATCAACAGTGAAATAATTATAACCATGAACAAGTTTTTTAATTTGCATATTAAAAGCCTTATTTATATTTTGATATTCCATTATCGGAAAAGCAAAATATAGAATTATTGTCATATTTTTATGCGAACTCAATAAGAATAATTTTTTTTGTACACAGATTTTAGCATGATAAAATCATAAACTTAAAAATAAATTAAATTATTTTATACTAATTTAGATGCTGATTTAAAAAAAAAATTGATTTGTTATTTTTAAAGATTAGCATTTTGATTTGTCATTAAGAATCAAAATCTTTGAAGAAATTTTTCAAATCTTCTCCATATTTCTACATTAATAAATTGAGAAAAATAATAAATATGTTAGAAACATAGATTTTGAATTTATGATTATTTATAATGTATATATAATAAATATTAATTTAACAAAATGTCTTAATAATTTTATAACAAATACAGGCATTTGTTTGAAGATGAAATGTTTGATTAAGTGAAGCTTGGATATGATATGTAGATGGCCCCCCCATAATAATAGATTCCATAGTTTAAACAGTATCAGCAACAACCAAAATATTAATAACAACAATCTCCAATAAAGTAGGAATCGCCATATAAAATTGTGCAACCTCAGTCTTAATTCACTTAGCCTTAGGTTTAATCTTTTTAAGTTTCATCACAAGAAAGGTCAACATTGAGTAGAAAGAATTTTAATGATGAAAGAATAAGAAAATAAGTTATGCAAGATAATATTTTTAAATAACCAACATTAGAATAACGATAGTCTGATCGAGTATATTAATAAAATTAACCATAATAAATATAACATTAGGAGTAACCACTTTAAGAGAGAAAATAATAATAATAGACTTATAATGTGTTTTAAGATTAAGACATTTTAGATGATTATGCTCCTAAGAGATAAAGATAATAAATTTAACCATCAAATGATAATTAATAGATAAACAATATTCATAGAGTGTATCTTTAGAGATTGTAAAGTTGAATATATATTTTTATAGGAATGATCTTGATTATATAAGGAAAAAATACCTTGATCCAAAATAATTAGCAAGAGATATAGATTAAAACAATCCATATAAAGCTGCTTTGATGTAGCGTATTTTAGCATAAATGAATGGAAATTAAAGGAAAAGTAAATTAAAAGAAGCGTTAAGAAATTGATTGATATTTTTATTATTTAATTTTACTCAAAAATATTAAGAATAATAAGAAATTAAATAAATACTGATCTATTAGTTTATAGCTCATTGTTTATCATCTTCATTCTTGGTTTTTGTAACTTTGGCAGAATTGATAGCTAAAATAATAGAATAGAAGAAGTACATAAGATTTTTTCTCCTTATTTATCAATATCAGAATGTTATTTAGGATCATAAGGCCATTTGTCAATTAATTCTAATGGATTTTCAAGATAGCTACCATCACCGAAATTGACTTTCAAACCATAGATTTTACCCTATAAAATAAATAGAGTATAATACCCAAAAAGATGGATGTCCAAGATCATTAACGACTCTTAAATAAAATGCATTAGGAACTATATGTTAAGCAATAAAGGTTTTATCAGTAGGTCCTTTAGGAGTGAGCACATAAGCTCTAGCATGATGCTTTTCATATCCAAAGTAAACAAAAGTCCATTAATGTTCTTTGATATCAAAAGTATGAGATAATGGTTCAAATGATGGATCTTTAATTGTATAAGTACTAGCCATTAATTTATCTGATTTTGTAAATAATGCTAATGTTCTATCTCCAATAAATTTGTCATCAGCAGCAAGATCAGGGCTATTAGTAGTTAAACGAACTAAGGCAGTGAAATCATTTTCCATTTCTGGAAGCAAGACTGCATTTTAGAACCAGAATCCAATACTGTAAGATTAAACTTCTGCTTTATCTGTAAATTCAAAATTTAATTGATTTTTTTTAGAATCAAGATCATCATGATTGGTTGTATCCAATAAAGATACTGGCCATTTGAAATCTTCAGCTTATTAAGGTGATGCAGGTAATTTTCTATGTAATTTATGAATCATCTCTACTACTTTTTGTGATTCATTTATAAAGCTTCCAGATCCTAAAAATACTCTTGGATCATAGAACCAACCATGGAATGCTTTATAGCCAAATTCATTTGCTCCAAGAACAAAGTGAGCGTATCCTGTTAAAACTTAATGTGTTACTTCAAGATTTAGATGAACAGCCTTTTATTATTCTTTAAATAAGACCATTCCATAGAAATTCTTATTTTTATAAGCAGCATATACATATATCCATTCACCTTCTATATTTTCATAAGGCAATTATGCATCAACAGCATTAGAAGGTTTAGATACATCATATGTACTAAATTCATAATTTCCTTTAGTTAGGAAAGCAGATAATACTCTATTTCCTAATTCACTCTTATCTTAATATTAACGAGTGCTTGAAAATCTGAAGATAGTATGAACATCAGCTCTTTCTGTTAAAGTAGATGGAAATGCTATTAACCATCTTGTCCATACACCAATTGCATATTCATCTACTGATTCTGTTTCAGATGTAAATGTTTATTCAACTTTTTCAGGTGTTTAAATAATTCTATCTTCTTTTTCAAACCAAAGATATTTTTAATTAATTTAAATATGTCTAAAGTTTGGTAGAGTATCTTCATAACCTTTCTTCATTACATCAACAAATGCTCCTTAACCATATTAAGCAACCCATTTTTGCAATTCTCCTTAAAATCTTCTGCTATGTGGATCTTTACCTACATAAATTCCTATGAAATGAGGAACAAAATGTTAAACTCCCTTAAAAATAACAGGTTTATCCTCTTCAAATAGATGTAATAATGTATGAACTTCACCCAAATTCTCATTATAAGCCATATATAAATATGCCCAAGCCTTCTTTGAATTTCCAAGTTCAACTTTCTCTTCTAAGAATTTCGCTTCATTCCAATCTTTCAATCCTTTCAAAGTATATGTACTCAATTTTACAGTATCACTTGTACATATTTAAGCATGTAATGCTCTATCACCTTATGATTTACGATCACTTAAATGTTCTTTTTGATTGTTTGTTATTCTAAATAGTATTTAACAAGGTGAATTAACTTCTCCTTCTTTTTTCACTTATGTTTCTGCTATCTTAAACCAACCTGAAATAGCATATTCACCTACTCCACTCCAAGTATCTCCAGTGCTTTCACTTCCTTCATTATTATCACTTTCACCAATCAATTGTTATTAACCATGTTTTTATTTATGAATATAATCAACAGTTAATTCTTAAGGCAATGCAAAACTAGTATCTATTGATTTCATTAATTCTTCTCCTGATGAAATGAATGATCCTACACCAAAATGAGCTGATACTTCTGTAAATAGACCTTAGAATGGTGATACATCTTTTTCTCCTCCCAAAATCAAATGAATATAATCTCCTAGAGGTTTATGTAATAGTTTCTCATTTACTGCATGTTTAATTTCATCTCCATCATATACAAAGTAATTTGCTTATTACAATTATCTCTTGTAACCAACATATATATAATGCCATCTTCCTTCTAAATGAGTGTAAGGTATTGTACTAATCTCATTAGGAGAATCATCATTTAAATCATATGTACCAAATTAATAATTTTCTAAAACAACTTAAGCACTTAAAACTCTATCTCCTAAAGCAATTTTGCCATGTTCTACTTCATCATTATAAGTTAGTCTTAAAATCTACATTTCAGAAGGTGTATGCCATAATCTTTCTGGCCATGCTTACAAAAATCTTGTCCATAAACCAACAGAATATTCTTAAACACTTTCAATTTTTCTATCAGGTTCAGAGAATGTAATTTTTAAACCTTGTTTATCTGGATCTTCAGACACTAATGTGATTGTGTCATCTGCTTCCCAATCAAATTTACTATCAGAACTAAACAATTTAGGTGCAGCTAAATAAACTTAGAGAGTGTTAAAGTTATCTTATCTATAGCTTCCATCTCCAATATTTAATATAACTTGAGCCAATCTACTATCAAATGGTTTTGTCATAGCATCCTTTACTAAGAATAACCAATAATGAGATGAAACAGCATGCAAAGCTTATTCTAATCCTTTGTGTTCATTATCATCAGCTAATAAATAATAACTAATCTTTTAATGATGCTTAGAATAACCAAAATAAACAAATGTCCATACTTCTAATTATTAATAAGGAATCTATGCTTAATAAGTATTCTATAAAGAAAGTGGGTTTAAATTGTAGGTGCTAAATTCTACACCATCTGTATGAAATAGAGCCAATGTTCTATCTCCAATTTTTTATGCATCACCTAAAGCATCAGGATTTGAAGAGGTAAATCTATAAATTAATTATTAAGTCTTAACTGCTAATCTGAACCATCTAAACCATAGTTAAACACTATATTCTCTTGCTTCTTCATTTACTTGAGTAATATGTTAATCCTCCTCTATTTTAGTAATATCATGTTTTCCAATTAAGACTTCATATTTTTTAGTTGGAGCCAAAACATCAGGCATTACATCTTTATTCTTAATTCTTTATAATAAGCCTTATTTGTTGTCAATATAAGCACCTGGACCTAAATTAAATCTGATGGTTGTTATTTGTCCATTGAAATTTGAGTAATATTTACCTGCATTTCCTACAGTTAATTGTAAATAATCAGTTAATAATGAATGCATAACATCCATTTGAATACCTGATGTAGTATCTTTATAATGAGTAAATGCCATTGCATGTCCTTAGGTTTAAGAGATTCTCTTAAAACTGAAATAAAGATAAGTCCATTCTCCTTCAGATTCAATTTAATAAGGAATATCTCCTGCAACATTATTTGATTTTGTAATTACATCATAAGTTCCAAAGTGATAGGATTACTTTCCTAATAAAACCAAAAGGACTCTATCTCCTGGATTATCAAAGTCTTTGTATTCCTTATTACTAGTCAATCTACTCAATCCCATTAATTAAGGTCTACTATAAATTGTATTCTTATTTCCAAAATATTAGAATTTAATCCAATATCCATAACCATATTCACTAACACCATGTAAATGCAATTTATCACTCTATTAGAATTCAATATGTAAAGGTACTTCATCACTTTAAGATGAACATTCTAATATAGTCTCTTCATGATGTGCTTCTTATCCAGCTTATTATAATTTTATATGATCTGTGCCACTGATAAATCCAAAATGCACTTTTATATTTTCATTTTCATCAAATCCTCCTTCTCTAAATGCTCCATCTCCAATATTTATAACCCATGTTTTTATATGACCAATAAATTGAGTATATTATTATTTCTCTTAAATTAAAACTGAAAATACTGCTAAGTAAAAATGATTAACTTTTTCTTATTTAAATTCAGTTTCTGTAAATGTATATTTCAAATAACCATAAGTTTACTATTTCTATTATGAATATCCATAATAAATGTATGTCCATTAATCAGCATATTCTCCATAAGCTTCATCTTAAGTTACTAATTTATATTCATCCTAATTTTGATTATAAGTCACAAAAGTAAAGGCTAAATCTCCTCTAATGATTTATAAAGTTTCTTCATTTTTACCATCTAAATCTTCTAATCTCTTCTAAGCCATCGTTATTAGATGAGAAACTTTTCCAGTTACCAATGGACCACTCCACCTAACCCATCCAGAAATTGCATACTCTTCAGCTCCTTAATATTTATCAAATTCAAATTAAATTGGTTCCTCCTTGAGTTATTAAGGTGCACCTACCAATTATAATGTTTGTCTAGATACTGGATGAATCTAAGCTTTTTCTGGTAAAGTATTTTATGTAAAGATTCTTAAAGTTTCTATTGTATGAATAAATGATCCAGGTCCAAATGAAAAGGATATTCTTGCCATTTCTCCATTAAATAATGGTGCTGATGTTTTACCAACAATAAATTCAACATACTCAAGTAAAAAATCATGGTGTGTATCAAAAATAACTTCTTCAACCTCTCCATCTACACCAAATTAAACATAACCTTTAGCCAATCCTTAATTACCATGTCTAATATATCCAAAGTATAAATAATTCCAGTGTCCTTCTAATTATTAAAATTATATATCATCTTTCAATTCTAAAGTTTAAAATTCATAAGAATCTGGAGTTAAAGATATTGATAACGTATTATCTTTAGGTGTATTGGGTCTATTAGCATTAGATCTAACCAATTTTCCATCAACAGATTCTATAACATATCCTTATGTACCCATTCTGGCAATAGTGTGTATAGGTGATCTCTTATTCAAATATTTAGGCAATGTACTCAACCATCTAGTCCATAATCCAAATGAATATTCACTTTATCCATTAATTCTCATTCCATCTTCATTATGAATAATAATTTTATCAACAACATTATCTGGAGCATCGTATGCAACATGTCTAGCTTAATTAGCATCTCCTGCTATATAAGTAACTGGTTTGCCAACTTAATATACACCCATAACTCCCTCACCATAATTAAATGTCATTTCAAATGCTAAACCCTATCTGTATGCCCCAGTTCCAAGATAAATTCCAACATAACCAATCATACCATTAAATGGGGATATAATATCATCACCACCCAAAGTTACACTCAAAGAATTAACTAATTTATGTTAAATACCTTCATATTAAATTTCTCCAACCTCTCCTGGTTTGATTAAAGCACCATAAGCACGTCCTCCATCATTATCATATCCAAAATATACATATGTCCATATAAATTGAGGACTCTCTACTGTCTTTGATAAATAGGGTAATCCTTTTGCTCTATTACCCTTAATTGTATAAGTATTAAAATAGACTGTACTCTTAGCACCACCACCATAAGTATGATGTATTTCTAATGCTCTATCTCCTAAAACACCTTTTCCTGCAGTTTTAACTTTATTTGATCTCAAATTTATTATCTAAAATGTATTTGGTTCATCAACTTTCAAATCATCTATCCATCTGAACCATAATCCAACTGCATATTCTTCAATAATTAATTAAGATTCTTATGGATCAAAATGAAACTATTCTCCTTTGTCATTACCATTAAAATGTCTAGGTTTTTATATTATTGTTTCATCTATCATTGCTGGAACACTTTAAGGTGGATTACTCAAGCTTTTTAGTACTTCTTACAATGCTTCATCTCCATCAACAAATGCTGGAGCATCAATATCAAAAAAGATATTAGCAAATTATCCATTCAATCCTTTGTAATCCATGTGTTTACCACCAAATATAATTTTTACATATGATGGTGGTATGTGAGTAGCTTCTATTTCTACTCTGTATATTCCATTCCCTTCTCCATAACATACAATATAACCAACAGCTCTTCTTAATGGATTACTGTAAGAGAACATTACGAAATACCACATACTATCCATATTTTCATTCAAAACTACTGGCTTATCCTTAGTCTTCAATTTCTCACTTGTATCATATGTACTGAATACGAATGAATTATCAATCATGAATACTGCTAATGTTCTATCTCCATAAAATGAAAAATCTTCATATTCTTCATTTATAGTCATTCTTGATAAGAAATAGTATTCTCCATCTTCTTTACTATGTTCCTTTACTCCATGTTCTGTATATTTAACCCAATATCCATAACCATATTCAGATGAGTCTTAGAGTAATGATCTATCATTAAATTCAAATTATTCTGTAGGATCACCATCAAAATCAGAATTTTAATATTTTGTATTTACTGCTACAACTTTTCTTTCTTAAACACGACCTGCATTAGCTCTATGTTTTGGTGGTTAAAATTAAGTTGGTTCATTTGGATTAGGTTATTCTCTTAATGATTATATTTTTAATGAACGATCATCTGAAGTTTATTATTTTTTTTTCTTTTCATTAGATTATTATTCACCTTCTTATTTTTATTCTTCTTCTTATTTCTATTAACCCTCTTACTTTTATTCACCTTCTTATTTCTATTCACCTTCTTACTTCTATTCTCCCTCTTACTTTTATTCTCCCTCTTACTTTTATTCTCCTTCTTATTTCTATTCACCTTCTTACTTTTATTCTACTTCTTATTTCTATTCACCTTCTTATTTCTATTCGCTTTCTTACTTTTATTCTCCTTCTTATTTTTATTCTCCTTTTTACTTCTATTCACCCTCTTATTTCTCCTCTCCTTCTTCCTTTTATTCACCTTCTTACTTCTATTCTCCCTCCTACTTTTATTCACCCACTTATTTCTATTCATCAACTTTAGAAGATTCAATTTTCAAATCTTTCTTATCATCTGAATTATTAGATTAATTATCAATAGTTATTTCTTCTTTTTCACCTTCTGTTTTTTAATTATCACTAATTTAAGATTAAGTTTAATCTTATTTTTATTACTAAATAGGTTCTTCTTTTTTTTCTAATGATTCTTCTTATTTTTATTCTGTTACACTTTCTGATTCTTCATTCGTAGTTGTTTATGAAGATTCTTTCGTTTAATCTTGTTTTTTATCTTCTTTAGTTTCTAATGATTCATCAACTGATTCTTATGTTTCATTTGATTTAGATTCTTTGGTATCTTTATTAGTTGATTTTGTTTCATCAGTTTGATCACCTGTTTCTTCAGTTTTATTGTCTGTAATAATTTTATTTTCTGAAGTAGTACTACCTTCATCTGATCCATTTTTAGATTCAACAATACTTTCATCTTTTTTTGTTACTGATTCTTTTTGTGACTAAGGATTGTCATGAGTTTCAACTTATTATTATTATTCACTGTTTTCTGCTTCTTAAGTTTCTTCTCCATGTTATTATTCTTTAGACTCACTACTTCCCTTATCCTTTTCATCATTTGTCTTATCACTTTCATCTTCATCATTCAAGCCTTCAATTTTACTAACTTTTGCTGCTTATACAACTAATTCTGGTTCTTCTTGTTAAGTTTATGTTTCATCAGTAGATTCTTTAGCCTCTCCTTCAATTTCATGACCTAAAGCTACATATCTTTTATTTCCTTTAATTTCTTCTACTATTTCTTTTGGTACTATTTTTTTAACTTATTTTTTCTGTGGTTTTTAATTCTCATCCTTATATGTTGGATATGTATAATGTTAAGGCTCATTATAAATATAATCTGGGGGAGTTTCAATATCTTCTTCTTCAAAATAATAATAAATGATTTCCTCTGTTTCTTCATCGAAATTAATCACTTCATCTTCTGGATCATTCTCTATTACTATTGTTGGCTTTTTTATTTCTTGATCACATCCTCGTTTTAAATTTTATAGCTAACTAATCTTTTACCTCAAACCTTAAGTACGCTTTGCATATTAACATTAATCTAAGTATTAATGAATTTGTTCTTAGGTTTATCTTAAATGGGCTATAATTTTATTTGCTAAAGCAATTTTCTCTTCATTTGCTATAATTTTATTCAAAATTTATACATTATGTGGCATTTAATTAAGCAACGTATTCGAGGGCATCTTCTACTTTACAAGCTGCCCATTTGTTTTATGTAAATATACTTTTCAGTGATTTGCTCACTTAGCTTTCTATTTACATTAGAATTTAAGGCTTTATCACTGCTATTGTACCTTTTGCTTTTTCTACAATGCTTATAACTTAATTAATTATTGCGAGATCTTTGATCAATTGTTCTCGATTATCTATTATATCAACCCATCTTGCCAACTCTTCTATCATATATTCAAAATCAGTATGACAATTTAAATGAGTAACATCTAGATTTTATGATTCAGTATAGGTCATCCCTTATGTTAAATGTATATAAATACTTCGAGTTCTAAACTCTTCAGCTTCTATTTTTGTAGAGATAACCACAACCATCAACAACAAGAATGTTATTAAGGTCTTCTTCATTTATGTTAAAAATATATATGCTATATACCGTTTTTTTATTTGCTATTAAATTTTATTACTATCTAAATGAATCAATACAACTCCGATCATTTTGATTAAAATACATGTCTTGAGGACCGCACAATTTACAAGTCCATTCTATCCTTTTTTTAAGAAAAATTAGACCAGCTCATGAAAAACTATCAAGATTACATTCAATTTTTACCTATTAAATTTATAATTATTTTATATCACTTTTCTTAAAGTATCTATTTATCTACAAAATTTATCAATCCAANTTTCTTCATCGAAATTAATCACTTCATCTTCTGGATCATTCTCTATTACTATTGTTGGCTTTTTTATTTCTTGATCACATCCTCGTTTTAAATTTTATAGCTAACTAATCTTTTACCTCAAACCTTAAGTACGCTTTGCATATTAACATTAATCTAAGTATTAATGAATTTGTTCTTAGGTTTATCTTAAATGGGCTATAATTTTATTTGCTAAAGCAATTTTCTCTTCATTTGCTATAATTTTATTCAAAATTTATACATTATGTGGCATTTAATTAAGCAACGTATTCGAGGGCATCTTCTACTTTACAAGCTGCCCATTTGTTTTATGTAAATATACTTTTCAGTGATTTGCTCACTTAGCTTTCTATTTACATTAGAATTTAAGGCTTTATCACTGCTATTGTACCTTTTGCTTTTTCTACAATGCTTATAACTTAATTAATTATTGCGAGATCTTTGATCAATTGTTCTCGATTATCTATTATATCAACCCATCTTGCCAACTCTTCTATCATATATTCAAAATCAGTATGACAATTTAAATGAGTAACATCTAGATTTTATGATTCAGTATAGGTCATCCCTTATGTTAAATGTATATAAATACTTCGAGTTCTAAACTCTTCAGCTTCTATTTTTGTAGAGATAACCACAACCATCAACAACAAGAATGTTATTAAGGTCTTCTTCATTTATGTTAAAAATATATATGCTATATACCGTTTTTTTATTTGCTATTAAATTTTATTACTATCTAAATGAATCAATACAACTCCGATCATTTTGATTAAAATACATGTCTTGAGGACCGCACAATTTACAAGTCCATTCTATCCTTTTTTTAAGAAAAATTAGACCAGCTCATGAAAAACTATCAAGATTACATTCAATTTTTACCTATTAAATTTATAATTATTTTATATCACTTTTCTTAAAGTATCTATTTATCTACAAAATTTATCAATCCAATTTAGTTGAATAAAAATAAATACATTTTTATATTAAAATTTACTAAAAAATTCATTTTTATCTGATTCAATTATATCTTTATCTTTGTTTCTCGTTAAGTTTAAGTTTATTTCGTTGCTACAATTTTAATATACCAAATATTTGCCTATAATTCAAACTTAAATAGCTTCTCTATTTTTATTGCATAGTTCTATGATAATTTTATTGAGATATTAAATTTTATAATTCCAAAATAAATGAGTCTTAATAAATTGCAAAATTTAATAATCCTATTTGTTCAATAAAAAATAAAGATAAAACTCAAACAAATTATTATTAAAACTATTAGTTCACTAATAATCGAAAGACAATCTCTTATAATATTCAGATAAATTTATTAGTTTTACTCATAAAGGAAGGACAATTTTCATGAATTAAAGTCATTTTTATTATCATTTTGGCTCTAAGTTGGATTAAAGGCTTATTTGTGAATAATAAGTGTGCATATACTTAAATATAAGAAATAGTTCAAAATATTATGTTTATATAATTTTATAGGTTTTTTACTAGATTATGATTAACAAAAAATTTGGAAGAATTAAAAAAAATGTATATTAGTTTTTGGATTTCTAAAAAAGAAAAAGATATTTCTTAATAATATGTGAAAATAATATTGATTTTGACAAATAACAAGAAAACACTAAGAGAAGATTAAAAAATATAAATGAATAAATTTCTATAAAATTGTCCAAAAACTAATACAAATTTATACTTTAAGGTAAATTGAGACTTCATTAATTAAAAACAAATTTCAAGTGATCTATATTATCCTTTCACTACAAAAAAATTTAAATTTTATTAAATTTTAGTATAATAAAAAGGATAAAATTTGAAATAATAGCAGATGAAAATAAGAATATTTTTTTTGAATTTTCAATGACAGCTGTAGATATTAAAAAGGTAAAAAAATAGGTTTTGATGTAAATTTGGAAAATGGGTTGAGTTTAAGTTTTGATTATAATATAATTAAATAATTTATAAAATGAGACCTAAACAATCAGATGTATATAAAAGAGTTCGTTTGCTTGGACAAGGATCATGTGGAAAGGCATATCTTTGTGAATGTTTGAAGGATCATTCATTTTGTGTGATTAAGTAGATGGACATGAGATACTTAAATGATAAAGAGAAAAAGGTAATTAAATATAGCAAATATATTAGGAAACCTATAGGGAGTTTAGAATAATGTCTGAATTGAAGCATCCAAATATAATAAATTTTCGGGAGGTTTATAAAACAGTAAAGGGGAAATTATGTATAGTAATGGATTATGCAGAAGGTAATATATAATAATAATTATATATTAGGAGGTGATTTGGCATAAGTATTAAAGAATGCAGATGGATATATAGCAGAGTCAAGAATTTTAGATTGGTTTACATAAATGTGTTTGGCAATAAAACATTGTCATGATCGTAAGATTATTCACAGAGATATAAAAACATAAAATATGTTTCTAACAAAAGATATGAGAATTCGTTTAGGAGATTTTGGAATAGCTAGATTATTAAATAATACAAGAGATAAAGCAAAAACAATGGTTGGTACTCCTTATTATTTGGCCCCTGAGTTATTAGAAAATAAGCCATATAGTTTTAAAGGTGATATTTGGTCACTTGGAGTAGTTCTATATGAGGTAATTGAAATAAATATTAAAATATATAGATGTGTGCTAAGACTCCACCTTTTACAGCTGAATCTTTAGCACAATTAGCTTTAAAAATAGTACGTGGTTAATTTTAAGCTATTCCAAATATTTATTCTTCATAATTAAGAACGTAAAACTAATCTTATAATTATACAAAGATAGCCTTGTGAATTAGCTTCTAACAGTAAATCCTGAAAAAAGACCAGTAGTTCATTAAATACTCAAGATGCCTATTATTACGAACAGAATTAAGAATTTCCTTTCAGAAACTATGAAAAAAAGTGAATTTGATCATACTATTTTGCATAATCAATAGATTCACTTAACTGACACTACCATACCTTTAATTGATGATTAAGATGTAAAAGCAGATTTAACAGAATATACTTCAAAAGAGAATTATTAAAATTAATTACCGGGAATAAAGAGTCCTCAAATCAATTAATAAAAATAAAGAAAAAATAGTGATTTGAAGAAATTACCTGAAATTAAATTATCTAAACCTGAAAGACCTCCCATAACTAGATAATAAACAAGTAGATAATAATTTCATCAACTTCCTATATAAAGAGCATAAGTATCTACTCCCGACGTAGGTATTAATAATAAATTAAAAAATGCTCGTTTTATTACAAAAGAAAGTCCTGATTCTTATTAAGGTTCAGATTAAGTTATTGAAGAGGGATCTAAAAATAGTGAATAAGAAAGTCCGAAATTCTTTAAAAAAAATATTGAAATCAAACCTCATATTAAAAATATTAAGGGACTTACTAAACTAGATTAAATTTAAAAGATAAAATTAGGGTTAAAATCAGAGGATGAAGCCAAAAAACCTATATATAGAGTTCACGCTTAACATAAAATATTTGAATAAAATAAATATAAGGAACGTAAAATTTCAGAAGAAGTTTTATCTAATTATTAAAAATAAGAGGAGTCATTAAATTAATAGCATCATCTAGAAAAAATATCAGAAACTCCAGAATAAAAATTACTCAATTAATCTACATTTAGTGATTTTTAAAATTCAGAAGAAAACATTGATTAAAATAAAAAATAAAGTATTATGACACCTGCTTTTGAAATTTAAATTGAATAATAATTTCAAGTACATGATATTATTTAAAAGAAACCAGCAAAAATTATTAAAGAGTCAATTTCTAAAACTGACGAAGAAAAAAATAAGAAAAAAATATACAAAATTATTTATAGAGATCCTTTTCAAAAAAAAAAACAACCGCTAAAGCGTAACAGTGAAGAAGACATGAAAGAAATGATAAATGAACTGTAAAACGTTCTTGTAAAGAAATTACATATATAAAATAGTCGGATAAATAAAAAAAATAAGAGGAGCTTAATATATAAAATGAAATTGATTCTGAAGATTCTAGAATCTATTCTGAAGAATCAAGTGAAGATCTCAGAGATGATGCTGATACATTGCCACCATAAACATAAGTTAATACTTGGATGTAAAGTAATACTGAGGCAGTCAATATATCAAAATCATAGCCAGAACCTAAAAGAATAATTAATATTAATTAAAGAAGTCTAAAAGATAAATTAATAGATGAATTAGGAAATCATTTTGAATAATTATTTAAATTAGCTAAATTATGTACTCATAAGGAGGATTTAGGAAAATAACACTTAAAAATTGCTATAATTGAGAATCTTAGATTAGATGAGAATAGGGCAGAAATATGTGCAACTCTCCTGGTTACATTAGCTACAATTGGTTACTGATACATTAAAACTATAAGTAGTTTTTAAAGTTTTGATTTTATATATTTTTTGTATAAACAAATATATTAAGAAATTTTTTGTAACATATTTGATTTCAATGAATAAAATGAATTTTTATTTTTTTTTTAATGTTAAGAAATAAATTTTTTTTATTAATAATTAAAATAGAAACAAAATAAAAATCATGATTGATAAAGATTTTATGTTAGATTTAGAAGATGAAAAGGAGTAGTAAATAGTAGAAGCAAAAAAGTAAGTAGAGGATGATCCTTCTTGTTCATTACTAAAAGATAGCAAATTTCTTTAGCATTATCAAAGGGTTTTAGAAGTATCTGATTATCAAATTTAAGATGAAACATATTAAGATCAAATGAATAAAGTAAAATAATAGATTAGGAGTATAGATTATGAATAAAATAAGGATTTATTATTTATAAAAAATTAAAGGATGTTTACCGTAAGAAATTTCCTGAATTACTAAAAATAATAATAAATTAATAGAGTATGTTAAGATAGTTTAATTAATTCGAAATGCTATAGACTCTATAGATCTCTAGACAATAGATTTTACACAACTTTTGACTGGGTAGCAGTGAATTTAGCAGCAAAGTAATCATTAATAGAATAGCTTTCTGAGTAAGATATATTATTGGAAGATTAATTGTATAATAAAATAGAAACTTTAGATAGTTACAATTAGAAAAGTAAATAAAAAATGAAATGATTAGTAATAATCTATATTGAATCAAGAATGAAATATATAGCTCCAAATGTATCAGCTTTAATTGGAATAATGAATAGAAAATAATGATAATTTTGACACAGTTGGCTTCAAAATTAATGGCAGCAGCAGGAATAGAAAAACTTGCAAATATGCCAGCAGGTAATATTTAGATTATTGGAAGTGTAAAGAAAAATATGTTAGGAATGAGTAGAGCAATGCATAATAGAAATACTGGATATTTTAGAACTTTAGAGATTGTTTAAAAAGCCTCATGAAAATTGCAATATTAAATTTTAAGGATGTTAGCAACAAATGTAGCAAAAGCAACAAAAAGGAAAGATTGGCTATGACTGAAGTGAGAATATATGCAAGTAGATTAAAATTTGGATTAGAAGCTGAAGAAGAAATTAAAGATACAGGAATTGGATTGGGAATATTAAGTTAACGAATTGGTAAAGTTAAATTACAAATAAAGAAAGAAAAATCAATTTGTTTAAGTAAGAAATTATAATAAAGACTGACTCGAACAAAAACTCAATCGGGTAGTGGCATAGGGAGGATTAACATCAAGCATTGCTTTTACACCTACATAAGAAATAGAATTAATAAATCCAAAGGCTGGAGATTTGTCAAAAGTTCCTAATTAATATTTTAATAGAGAATCTGGGTTTAGAACTGTTTTAAGAAAAGAAAGAGAATATGGTAGATAGATTTGATTAGATTTATTTTTCAAAAACATATACTTTTACTTAACAATTAATTAATATGTTTGTTAGTTTTATTAAAATTCAAAGTGTTGATAATGGATGGCAAATTTTATAATGATTATAATAAAAAGAGGTATTAGATTGTTTAATTATAATTATAATTAATTTAAATATGATATAAAGTTCCACTCGTAACCGTTCTGAATAACTAATCTATTAACGCAGATAATAAGAATAATAGGTTGGAAAGTTGAACACTAAGCTAAGATAGGAACAATATGAAAAAACATTTGCAGCTTGGGAAAATAAGGGAAAGGATGTTGCCAATATGTAATATACTAAAAACAGGTTTGCATAATATTATATTAATAGATTACAATAGATAAGAGCTGATGCTGATGCACACAAAAATTAACGAAAAGAAAAATTGGCTGCATTGTTAAATGCTGAACATGAACAATATTAATAAGAAATCAAAGCCATGGTTGAAACTCCAGAATAGGTTAAGGAGAGAATGATGAAAGAAGTTGCAGAATTAAAATAAAGAAAAGAAATTGAGAGATCTAAGTAGGCAGAAG